TCCTCGACTGCTGGCCGAAATTCTGGGTTGGCTGCGCCTGGGCTGCAGCCGGAACCGGAGATTTTCTAGGCCAGCTCGCCCTCGTCCCCTGCCTGGGCTGGGGACTCGGGGCGGACTGCGACCTCTGCGCTTTCGGTATTTTTAACCGAGCAGGGTTCGCAGCTTGGACGAAGGGGCCTTCGAGGGAGGCAGAGGTGGAGGGCCTCGTCCTCCTTCTTTTTCGACTCGCATCTGCTTTGCATGGAGGCAAGAGCGGAGCCGAAAATCCCCTCGGGAACGATGGGCATGTCAAGCACATCCTCCTTTTCCCGGTCTGGGAGATTGGTGAGGTTGAGCCATCTAGCTCTTTCCTGCACCACCATGATCCCCATTGTTTTGCCCGTGGCCTGGACGGCGCAGCGTTGGACACGGAGACAAATGTCTGTGACCGCGGCCAACTCGTCCAGAACAGCCGGTCCAGGATTACTCGACATATCCTCACAGAGCTCCGCTTGGTATGCGGTTAGCAGTGAGGAAACGTTCAGAGCCCTGGCGGACAACGCTGCGGCTCTGTAGGACCGTTCCGTCATGGTTGACTGGAAACGGTCCACCTTCGCTGGCAGCGTTGGGTTCCTGCTTGGTGACGGGCCCATCCTCGGTAGGAGGTGGGTTGCCACCAGCAGTTCCATCGGCGGTATGCGGAGCAGGCCGAGCCTCTCCATACCGTCGCAGTCTAGGGAGGCACCCTGGATTGGGGCCTTGTTGGGAAAGGGTCGGTCCCTCCACGAGACCGACACCTCATCCAACATCTCCGGGAAGACCGGGAGGAGTTGCCTCCTTGTCCTCGTTGCTTGGGGAGAATGTTTCCCCTCGTAACGGGACCTGGCGGTCTCCTTGGCCCTTTCGGGCCACGGGATGTCTAGCCTGGACGCAGCGCGCTGACACGCGGCCTGCAGGTCCCTGCTCAGACAGGGCGAAGCTGGTGTGCTATTGCCCGGGAGAGCAGCCATCGCTCCCGGCTTTGCCGTTTGAGCCGATGACATGAAGATATATTCTTCTTGCTCATCCGAATCAGACAGGAGGGACTCAGAGGTGTCCTCTTTGTCCCCCATGTAGTCTAATTCCAGGACATTCCCCGCGGGTGAGACCATGGTGAGGTCTCGCCGGGAGCTCCCGCCTGGTGAGGCGTGGGGCTCCGTTCCCGCGTCTCTTGCCGCCACCGGGTCCCGGCCTGACACGGCGTGGGATCCCGGTTCCGCAGCTGCCGCTGTTAGTGAGCCCCAGACCGACATAGTGAGGGGCTCAGTCTCTGCAGCAGACGCCCCCGTGTCTTGATTGCCAAACGGCGAATCAGTGGACATGAGGGAGTCCTGTTCCAACAAGCTAGCTTGGTGTGCTAGCCGTCGGTGGAGGCTCTTTCGGGTGAAAAGGGCGCAATGCCCGCACGAGCCGGGGTTGTCGATAGCCTCCTGGGCGTGTTTCAGCCCGAGGCAGGACGGGCAGACCTGGTGTGAGTCTGTGCCTGCTATCTTCAACCCGCAGCCGCATGACCGAGCCTTCGAGTCCCTGACTCCTCTGGTGTGAGGGGGAGAGGCGTCCATCTTGTTCGCCTCGTGGCGTGGAGAGGACCCGCTCGTAACAGGTACGTCGTTGAGAGAAAAAGTGTTACCAACCCGTCCTTAATCCGGAGAAAAAGGGGACGGTGTGGGTCCTTTGTTCTCAAAGAATATTGACTGGTGTGTCAATATACTTCTAATCCTTTTCTCCTCCGTGAGAGAGAAAAAGAAAAGCGTCCTCGCTACCGTGGTGTCGGTAGTAAGGGGAAGCTAGCTAGCAACGGGTGCGTAGCTAGCTTGAGAAAAATCAAAACCTTACCTTACTTTCCGGGGAAAGAACGGCGAGGTCGATTTTAATACTAACTGGCGTTAGTATTACCGTCTTCTTGCGAAGCAGAAGGAGTAGCCGGCGAGCGCCCGTCGACCGAAATGGTTATATTTGGGTTCAGTCTGTGGACCGTTAAGCTTGTCCGGCTACTATAGAGATGTGCTCTGAAGCGAGAAGAGGTGTTTGAATGATGCATGCGTCGTGGCGCAAGCTACTTATAGGGGGTGATTCCCTGACGCTGACGTCAAGATCACCAGCCAATCAGGATTGGCGTAATGAAATTGATGCTTCTGTTTGCTCCGCGATGAGGCGCATCCCATAGTGAGACATCGAACGGAGTGTTATGAATGAGAACTACCCTCGTGGGGGCGCGCTCACGTGATTGGCTTAGAATTGAGGAGACATCTGATTGGCTATAGATAGAAAAAATTACAAGTACGAATCGGCTGACCGTCAGGAGAGTCTCAAAAAACCCACACACGAATGCACAGCGATCCTTGCACAGGAAGCGGTTTGTGTTTGCAGGTTCAGGGGATTTAAACCATGGATGTATAATAAGATTTAAACGGAAAACAAATATGTGAGGATCAAAAATACATATGTAAAACTTTTTTCTGTATTTTATTTACATGTAGGTATATGAAACCGAACACATTTGTGCAGTGGTGTAGTGGGGATTTTTTTACTGGGGGGACGCTATTTTAATTAGGTAATCCCAAACAATGCCACACAAGTGCGCACGCGCGAAGTGCACTCACAACACGGGCAGACAGGCCCAAAGAAACTACCGGCATGCTTAGTCCTATAGTTGCTGTACTACAAAAAGTAGACAGCGCTGCGCTCAACACACACACAGACTCAAAACCATGGACACACTGGCATATAAATTACATAAACAATTTATAGGCCTAAATTGCATAAGCTACAGTATTGCAACTAAGCAGACGATGATCTGGATTTGAAATGATTCTGATTAGGCCTAGCCTACATTGCAAATAAGCAGACAGCGCTGCATTTCTCACACACACACACACACCTTGCGTTTTGAAGACTGATAAATCCGAAATGGATGAACAAACTTTGCAGCCCAGTTTCCAGCTTTGCAGTCTCTTCCTCTTGTTTCCTCTGCCACATGTCCTCCGTCCATACCTCTGGGAAAGGTGAGCTTGAGCTAGCTAGGGGAACGTTGCTAGCGCAGCTAACGTTGACGTTAGTGCTAGCATTATCCACGTCTTTAGGCGGCTCTTCTGGTGATGTAGTACTAGCAACTTCACTTGTAGCTTCGGTGCTGCTAGCCTCTTTCTTCTTGTGAATTATATTCTTTTTAGAAAAGAAGTCAAGTAAAAAATGTTTGCCTGCCATTATAGAGCTTTTTCGTTAGCATTCTTGAGGGAAAGAGCTACCGCAAAATCGGCGGGCAGTGAGCTGGCTCGCCGTGGGTGTGTCAGTGACACACCCCCAGCTCGCCGTGGGGTCATGAGCGTGATGATGAATCATAATTCTTTAAGGAAATCGTTTTTATTTTGTATTATAATTACTGTGAAATGTATTATGTTTTTGTCATTATTACAACAAATACACACTTGATAACACTGGCAATGATTTTATATTTATTAGACTATTAAAAAAAAGATTGTGCTCCAAATAAGTGGGGGTACGGCGTACCCCCGCGTCCAACGCCCACTACACCACTGCATTTGTGTGTGCATTGAAAAACACAAGTGTGGATCCGGAAATACAAGTTTGAATCCTTCTGTGTGCATGTGTGTATTGCAGCTGCTCGGTCTTCAACCTTCCTAAATTCTCCCACACCACGCCGCTCCTCCTCTCCCTTCACTGGCTTCCGATAACTGCTAGAATCCACTTCAAGACAATGGTACTTGCGTACCATGCTGCAAATGGATCTGGCCCTTCCTACATCCAGGACATGGTTAAACCGTACACCCCAGCACGTGCACTCCGCTCTGCATCAACCAAACGCTGTGCGTAGAGGTGAGCCCAACCAGATCCAACTGGTAACGCTCCACCTCCCGCACAAGCTCCGGCTCCTTCCCCCCCAGAGAGGTGACGTTCCACGTCCCCAAAGCCAGCTTCTGTCGCCCGGGTCTGGTCCGTCGAGACCCTCCGCTTTCACTGCCACCCTTCTGGCAGCGCACCCGACCCCATCGCTGTTTCCCGTAGGTGGTGGGCCCGCGGGACGGAGAAGCGGAGGTCTTGCCCACGTTGCCTTTTCGGGCTGGGCCCGGCCGGGCTCCGTGGCAAGCGATGCAGCGATTTCTTCGGTCGTTAATTCAGAAAAAAAACCTAGTGCGCTCTGCCTTGCTACGTTAGCTAGCTGTTTATATTTGCACTTCCAGGATATTTGCACCTCCATGAAAATGGCGTATTTATATATATATATATATATGGCGTGTGTTGCATTGTGGGTAGCTCGTGACGTCACTGTGTGCGAAAGAGAAATTACTCTGGAAAAGCTGCAGATAGAGCCATAAGAAATTAATGCAACTGATTATTTATGTTTAATGTTGTTTTTATAGGCAATAATTTAAGCTTTGTTAGTTCCAGGTTTAATATGTGCAATAAGTTCATTTCAATAAGTTTTGCAATAAACATTGAACCAGTCCGGCCCTCGACTAGTACCGATTTTTTTATTTTGGCCCACTGTGTATTTGAGTTTGACACCCCTGGAAGGGAAACATGAGACCAATTAAATGCTCTGATGATACTATATTACTTTGAAAACCTGAAGCTATAGCAAAGAAACAACATGCCTTTGACAGCAGAAAAAAAAATGGGGTACTTGATGGCATGCATGCCTTTGCAATACAATGAAATACTATACTTTACCTACAAGCGATAAATAAATGTACCTACATAACTATATGCACAGTTGGTGAGGATTTAGAGTTCTGCCCTTGGTGGTAGAAGATCAATTAAAATGGGGATTTTAAGAGAGGGAGCGGAGTTAAGGCAAGATATAACGATAAAAGTTCAGCTGGTAAACAAATATCCGTTATAATTCTTGTATTATTATTTTGCACCAAAACGCAATCACCCTCCGACACAATAGGTGGCGATTTGTTCAATCAACGCTGCTTGAACACTTAACATCCGGTTATAAACACAACGAAGAAGAAACCTAGTAAGCTCATTGGCTGTTCTTTGAGGATGTTTCCGATGATTTGGCCCGCTTCTAACATGCTTTTGTTGAAAAAACACAAATTGTGAATGTGTTTCTTTTTAGCTCCATGGGGTGTTTTTTTTCCGCTGAAAAACGCAACGACAAAATACCGCTAATATATATAGATTTAGGGCCAATAACGCTACCTCTTTGTAGGTTTTTTAACGAACCGAATTTTGATATGTTTGCTAACTAGCATGTGTTGTAGAGTTTCCCACAGTCACTTGGACCGACCTAAGGCTTTGCATCAAGTGACGTAAAGAATTGGAAATACTTTTTATTGGAAAGATGAGTGGGACGACAACTGTGCCTGAAGAATCTGGTGGGTATAATTAAATAGATATTTTATTTCACATGACTCAACTTAGATTGCAATAAGCACTGAAGAAGTAACAGACGTTTACTTTGCTTGATGAACTGCTTGTCAAAGCTTTTAAAGATTATTATTTCAAATATGTATTGTGAGTCAAAGAAACAATTACATGGAGTATATTGTTGTCAATGCTCATTCCCATTTATATTGAATAATTATAATGTGACATTAATGTAGCCTACATTCACAGATATAATGAATATGATGTATTTTTAGATTGGAACAATATCAGAAATAAGCATATGTAAAAAAAAAGAGAAAGGTAAATAATCTAAATTAATATGTATATACTATGAAGAGTTACACAAAATACAGAGACAGGAACCTAGGTAAGATACGGAAGTGTAGGCACATTGATTTATTTCTCTTTATCCTTCACCTTATTCTTCCTTATCTTAATAATTCTAATGGTTCAACTTTGTTTTGTCCCTGTGCTACAGATACAGAGTGGACCCAGGAAGACACCCAGGAGCTTCTTGCTGCAATGAAAACCATTGCAGCAAGACAGAAACACATAAAGGGCACATATTTAAAAGCACTGAAACATGTGGACTGGAAAGAAGTGGCTTTCGATCCTTTCACTCCTGAAGCATGCAAAAATAAATGGGGAGATATTTTGCAGAAGGTGAGTCGCAGTTCAATCCTAAAGTTTAAGTGTCATCACATAGTAGCTGTTTCAAGACTTTTAATTATATCATACATAATGTACTTCAGCTGACTCTCAAATCTTAAAGGGATAGTTCGGATTAATATATATATATTTCTATATATATATATCGAATTAAAATGTGTGCATATAAAAAAGACAGGTAGTGAGAACACCATATTGTTTTTCAATTGTATGTTTAAATATAATAAACACAACTGACAATTTAGTGTTTCAAAATATCAAACTAATACACTCTTATGAATGTTTCTAGTAATATCTTTGTTTTTCTTGCGCAGTTGCAGAAGATTCGGACCCTCGCGGAGATCCTCGTTGAAGCTGAAGATGTCATTTCCAATCCTTTGATGAACACAAAGGTAAACCCTGCACAATCTAAATTTAGAGAGCTTCTGGTTGTAAATACCACCTCTCCTTGTTCAGTGTTATTTCTGAAATACCATTTCAATAAACACATTAAAAGTCCAGTAACCCTACATGTTTCATTCTGCGAGTTAACAGTAAGCTATTCTTTTTTCTGCAGATTCACCCAGATCACCCGAAGAGACCCACACCTCCAAATGCCATCTTTTGCGAGGAGAACTGGGTCAGTTATCATAATAAGTACCCAGATATCGGTCGACCAACGCTATTCAGGCGTCTAGCCAATAAGTACCAAGCGCTCCCTGATGAAGAGAAGGTACAGGCAACATAAACAACATTTCCTTTCATTCTGTGTTATCTAAGGTCTCACTTTTAAATGATGAATTTCTGACATTTTCCAGGCTCAATATGAGAAGAAGTTTAATCTCGCAACAGTGGAATACAAGAAAAAGAAGGAGGAGTTCAAGTAATTCATTAATACAATTACCAAATAAATGTATCACATTAAGTATAGGCTGCCTGCTTAAACACAGTGTCAAACTAATTCTTTATATTTCAGAAAACAATATGAATCGAGACCCAATAAGAAGAGGAAAAAGCTCTCAGATGACAGCACAGATGTAAGTGAAGGTCACTAACCTAACAGCCACACCTAATGTTCACAAACGTTAGTGTCCTGACTGAATACCATAATCATATAATAACTGTGTCTATGACAACAGTTATTATGAAGGTCACATATAACACCGCTGAAAAGGTTATTATTAATTAATTAACTTCAAATGAATTGAATCCAGCAAATGCAGGAAGAAGAGCAGACTGAAGATGCAATCTGCATGCCTCCCAAACCTCCATTGTAAGCCACACACACACACACACACACACACACACACACACACACACACACACACACACACACACACACACACACACACACACAGGGTTACTAATTGTCAGCAGGCAGTGAAGATGTAGTGGTTAACTTTAAGTTATTTTTTAAGTGTTGGCAGAAACAGTACATTTACCGTTTGATTTAAACCAGGGCTTCTTAAGCTTTTGTTACCTACACTTAGTTCTGTTAAAAGCATGCTCAATGTTTCCTGCCTGGGATGATAGTTGAAGAAGTTCAGTGGAGCACCAGCAAATGTATTTAACTTTGCTATATGTAACAAGATAACAAGCAGCTTGTTCACTGTCACATGTGTGTTTGTGTTTCATTAGCAATGGCTATAATATTTTCTGCAAAGAGCAACCCATGACGGGTTTACCAAACACTGCCTACACCAGTGTGTGGGCCCAACGCTGGAGTAACTTGACTGACAGAGAGAGGGAAAGATACACATTCCGCTGCAAACAGGTAAGGAGGAACACAGACAAAAGTGTTACAAAACATTAGCATCCTGGTTAAAAATCACTTGAATGTGAAATAAATACTTTTCTTTCAGATGAAGAGGGAGTACGCGGTTAAGCTGAATGAATATTTAAAGGTGAGTCCTTTACTAGACTACAGTTGAGCTACTGCCGTCAGACTTTGTGTAACGATGGTGTTTCTGTTGCTCAGACTTTTGACCAGGAGGAGCAGCAGAAGATCCTGAAAGCGAATGGCATCAAAACTCCAAAGGTGAGAAGTTATTTTTTGGTTCATGAACAGTTCTTGTGGTTAGAACAAAGGCCAAGTACCTGTAGATGTGCCATTTATTCTGTTTAATTAGAGGAGTAAACGTCTGAACACTTGGTTGACTAATGTTAAAATGTGTCATTTATGTGCAGCGCGATGTTAAAACAAAAAAAGTTCCAAAGAAGATTCCCGGCGAGTCCAGTAACCCTACATGTTTCATTCTGCGAGTTAACAGTAAGCTATTATTTTTTTCTGCAGATCCACCCAGATCACCCGAAGAGACCCATACCTCCAAATGCCATCTTTTGCGAGGAGAACTGGGTCCGTTATCATAATATGCACCAAGATATCAGTCAACGAAAGCTATTCAGGCGTCTAGACAATAAGTACCAAGCGCTCCCTGATGAAGAGAAGGTACAGGCAACATAAACAACATTTCCTTTCATTCTGTGTTATCTGAGGTCTCACTTTTAAATGATGAATTTCTGACATTTTCCAGGCTCAATATGAGGAGAAGTTTAATCTCGCAACAGTGGAATACAAGAAAAAGAAGGAGGAGTTCAAGTAATTCATTAATACACTTACCAAATAAATGTATCACATTAAGTATAGGCTGCCTGCTTAAACACAGTGTCAAACTAATTCTTTATATTTCAGAAAACAACGTGAATCGAGACCCAATAAGAAGAGGAAAAAGCTCTCAGACGACAGCACAGATGTAAGTGAAGGTCACTAACCTAACAGCCACACCTAATGTTCACAAACGTTAGTGTCCTGACTGAATACCATAATCATATAATAACTGTTTCGATGACAACAGTTATTATGAAGGTCACATATAACACTGCTGAAAAGGTTATTATTAATTAATTAACTTCAAATGAATTGAATCCAGCAAATGCAGGAAGAAGAGCAGACTGAAGATGCAATCTGCATGCCTCCCAAACCTCCATTGTAAGCCACACACACACACACACACACACACACACACACACACACACACACACACACACACATGCAGGGTTACTAATGGTCAGCAGGCAGTGAAGATGTAGTGGTTAACTTTAAGTTATTTTTTAAGTGTTGGCAGAAACAGTACATTTACCGTTTGATTTAAACCAGGGCTTCTTAAGCTTTTGTTACCTACACTTAGTTCTGTTAAAAGCATGCTCAATGTTTCCTGCCTGGGATGATAGTTGAAGAAGTTCAGTGGAGCACCAGCAAATGTATTTAACTTTGCTATATGTAACAAGATAACAAGCAGCTTGTTCACTGTCACATGTGTGTTTGTGTTTCATTAGCAATGGCTATAATATTTTCTGCAAAGAGCAACCCATGACGGGTTTACCAAACACTGCCTACACCAGTGTGTGGGCCCAACGCTGGAGTAACTTGACTGACAGAGAGAGGGAAAGATACACATTCCGCTGCAAACAGGTAAGGAGGAACACAGACAAAAGTGTTACAAAACATTAGCATCCTGGTTAAAAATCACTTGAATGTGAAATAAATACTTTTCTTTCAGATGAAGAGGGAGTACGCGGTTAAGCTGAATGAATATTTAAAGGTGAGTCCTTTACTAGACTACAGTTGAGCTACTGCCGTCAGACTTTGTGTAACGATGGTGTTTCTGTTGCTCAGACTTTTGACCAGGAGGAGCAGCAGAAGATCCTGAAAGCGAATGGCATCAAAACTCCAAAGGTGAGAAGTTATTTTTTGGTTCATGAACAGTTCTTGTGGTTAGAACAAAGGCCAAGTACCTGTAGATGTGCCATTTATTCTGTTTAATTAGAGGAGTAAACGTCTGAACACTTGGTTGACTAATGTTAAAATGTGTCATTTATGTGCAGCGCGATGTTAAAACAAAAAAAGTTCCAAAGAAGATTCCTGGCGAGCCCAAAAAACCTATTAAGTAAGCACGATCGTCATACATTTGTTCCATATAAGATTCCCAGAAATATTTAAAACTCTACAACTTGCAATATCTACCTGCAGGAAAACTAATTTGAGATGTTTTCCTTACTCACAGTGCTAATATAATATTCTGCAAAAAGCAGATGGTACTTTTCAAGGAGACATTTCCAAACTCAAGGGAGCGATTCGCCAAGGCCAATCAAATGTGGAGAAAACTCTCCTATGAAGACAAGAATTGCTTCATACAGGAGGTAAATGAAAACATGAAAGGCTACTCGATGCAGCTGCAGAAGTGGTTTAAGGTATGAAGAATCCTGTTCTGATTGTTTCAGTCTTAGACATTTAACCTTTATACTGGAACGTCCTTTAAAATGTGTCACATTTTCCATTCTTTAGACATTGTCAAGAGCACAGCAGGAGTCTTATCGGACAAGTAACCCCTCCGTAAGAACTTACCGTATTCAAGCACTAGTTTCTTTCTTTACACACTATTCTTCAATATTTCTTCACGATTGTTAACATGATTCTTTTTCAGAAATTGAAATACCTTGCTGAAAATTGCACTAAAGAACCATTTGCCAACAGAACATCGGTACGTTTAAGTGTTGAAACAAAAGACGTTACGTTATAATTAATTATTTACCGCACCAATGCAAAGCCCTCTGACTGTCTCTCAGTTTTAATGTGCTTTATCTGAAATGTCACTTACTTTTACCAGAAGTATGCTGATAAGTTTGTGGTCAATGAATGGTACACAGTTAGGAAATTCTTATTTTTGGGTTAACTGGATAATTTAAGAAGAAATAATCATTTAGATATCTATATTATATGATGTAATTCATAGGATTCATTCAATTCTATCTGCATTTTGGTTTAAAACAAGCTCTATATTCAGTCCACATTTATCATTATGTCACGCAGGATTCAGAAGATGAAATCTTTGAAGACTGCAACAGCGAGCAAGAATGGAAGATGTTTGACTTTGAAGAGGTTCGAACACATTAAAAACACATTATTTGAACTTTTTGTATCATAGATGTTTAATTCATATTTAATGTTGTTTTATAGGACGAAGAGGAGGAAGAAGAAGATGACGAAAACATCACATTTGAAATGTTTTAGATGGTGATGGGATGGGAACAGAACAGAGCTTGTGAAGTTCAGAGCCAAATTCTGGATTAAGTGACTGACTTTAATGCCACATTGTACTGTATTGAGGACAATAGGGTCCCTTTGCAAACAAGATGCTTTGGGATCAATGAAATTTAATCCTGTGTTGTGTTCACATGCTGTTTTTACTGTTAAACTGCATACATGCATCAAAATAGTTTAGGGAGAAACACGACATGGGAGTTTTATATCAGTTCTCATATTGCCTCATTTTACATTTGATGTTGGGAATTGTATTTTTATTGATTGTAAAAACAAAACTTCTTTGTCAAGCATTGTTTTTTATTAATACAAACCCTTTTTAGATGTTTTTGAATCCCAGAAATAAGATTTTTCCAATAAACATGTTGAATAAAATGTGATTCATTTTTCGATTATCCTTTGTTAAGTTGAAGTAAAAATGCACAAACGACCAGTGCAAGGGAAAAAAGGTTTATAATTACTAATACAGCCGAACAAAAGGCTTATTTAACCCCTAAATGTCAGGGGGGTAACGCAGTCACATGTCGCGCTGGATGAAACAAACACATCAGAGCTGACGCAGAGAAGAAGCACTGCTGCAAAGGAAGCCCTCGGTGGAACGTGTAGCGATCGATTGCTACTGTCTGATCTCTGTGATATAAAGATGGATGCCTGCCGAAATAGGTAAATAAACACAATTAGCAAATTCCCGTTGCTGTGGTTGATATTTGTCCTCGTAAGTAGTTTTGTATTATGGGATACAATCGTAGGATCGTTTTGGTCTCATATTATTGGAGTTGAGAGGGGAACAGCCGCAGTGCAGTAGCGGTGTTGTGTTCGGGGACAAGCCTCGCTGTGGTCAAATGTATTTCTTCAACAGCAGAAACCATTCAACCACTTACAAATGTGTTATATTGTTTTTAAATACTCAGCCAGGTTTGATACATTTGATGTGTTTAGTTCGTAGATGTAGCTGTCGTTTACCTGGAGGATACAGCGTCTTGTAACCTCTTGGCATGCTTCAATTCCTCCAGCCTATTCATAGCCACGCTCTTTGTTTTCCCCAGCAAGACTTTGGCTAAGCTACCTTCGTTAGACAGCAATGCTCGCACCGGCAGCGTTTGTAATTTGAGCTATTTATTTATTATTTATTTATTTGTGTGTTTATTGCGACATTGCAGTGCTACAACACCAAGTTATTTTCTGTTATTCGCAGGTTATAAACGAGGGAAGTGAGTCCCTGGTAGTGTTCAACGTGCAGTTGTAAGTAGCTGCATCACATTCAAGGCATCATATGTTGACCATGCGCTCATTTACATGCATTGGGTAACGCCGCTGTGTTGCTAACTGTGTGTTTCCCTCCTGCTGCAGCCCTGTTCTGGCCAATGTGTGCTGCGCTACAGCATGACCACAGCAGTGTCGGTTCATCTGGTAGTTCTGGCAAATGAAAATGGAGGAGGTTTCAATGTCCAGCCTGGACAACAGCAAGCTGGAGGTACAGTAGAGCAGAGCCACTGTGTGACGGTGGTTTAATCAGCCTTGGAAATGCCCATTACATCTGAAAACACACGGCAGGAAACAGACAGTCTGACTTGTGCCTCTGTTTCTCCCGACCCTTCATGCAGGGCCTAGCTCAGGACATCCTGTCTGACCTGGTGGAGGATGCCTGCCTGGGTCTTTGCTTCGAGGTCCACCGGGCCGTCAAGCAGGGCTATTTCTTCCTGGATGACACGGACCAAGAAAGCATGAGGGACTTTGGTGAGCACAAAGTCTACTATAGTGAAATAAAGGCGACATAAATAATGTTTGTGAACAACAGAGGAATTGTATAGCTTTTTCTCTGTGTCACACATTTGATGATAAAATCAAAAAAGATTAAAATCTGACTTCAACATGACTTTACTCAGATCTGAGCCTTATGACTTGAAAAGCCTAATAATTAAAAAGAGTAACACAAATGAATGTATTTGCCTTCATTTCCTGAATCAAGTGAGGTTACCACTTTCCTTTCCACTTTCCATCAATTTGACACTTAATTCCCCAAATCCATTTTGTTGAACCAATCCGTCAGCGTCCTTACAGGTTGCAAATCAATGACTTGGTCACACTTAAATCACACAACATTAAAAAAAAAAGAGACAAAAGTCAATAACAATGCATTCAGACAATAACATCTCTCATGCCATCTCTCATTCCAGAAATTGTGGACCAGCCGGGATTGGATGTGTTCGGCCAGGTGTACAACCAGTGGAAAAACAAAGAGTGTGTGTGTCCCAACTGCAGCCGAAGCATTGCTGCCTCCCGCTTCGCTCCACATCTGGAGAAATGCCTGGGGATGGGACGCAACAGCAGCCGCATAGCCAACCGCAGGTATGAGAGAGATAAACAGGTAACCACAGTAAAATGGACAAATTAAAATCAAAGAAACATGTACACATTTGTCCATTAAGCTAAACAAAACCCACCCATTCATAGTAGTACTATGTGAAAATGATAATAGGCAAGGTATTCAATAGTGCACATGTACCATATTTGAGTTATCAAACTTGTAATCTATGTATACTGGAGATGCCCCACCACCTTTGAGTATATTTCCTTAAATAGAAGGATAGAAAACATTAAAGTTGGTTTCAGGTCATAATGTATTTTTATTCTAATCAAACTGTTATTTGCAGCGAGTAATGCTGAGTCATTGTGTGTGTTGTGTCTAATCCTTCCCTATTTTACAGAATAGTCACCGGTAACAACACCAACAACAAGTCAGAGAGCGACCAAGAAGACAATGATGATGTTAATGATAACGACTGGTCTTACGGTGCAGAAAAGAAAGGTGATGTAGTGCCGTTATGTTTGACTTCCTTTTTAAATTGATTGTCAATATAATTCCCAAATTAAATGACCCTGTTTTTTTATCTAAAATGTAATGTGTTTCTTTTACAGCCAAGAAAAGGAAATCTGATAAGGTACTTTTACTTTCTTCTAACAATAAGTATTACATTGTTTTATCATCCTAATCCCTATTTAATTTATAAAAACACATGGAGAGGTTTTCTGATTTGTCAACGCATAATTGATATTTATCTTTTTCCACCTCAGAATCCAAACTCACCCAGAAGATCAAAATCATTCAAGCATAAGAACAGTAAGTGAAAATGAATGCCTTAAACTTCTTCTTTTGTTTGTACTATGTGTACTTGTGTATCCAAATACTCATTACTTCTCAATTTGTAGGCTAGTTATTTTTAACATATTTCTTATGAATGCTATCTAGTGCAGCATTGTAGTTTCATTATTTGACCGCTTTGTGTCCAAAAACTTCCTCCTTAGATGATTGCTTAGTTCTAACCTCTCAAAATAGTTTTGAATATCTGTCTCTTAGCTATGCATCTATGATGACTTGCATTAATCAGACGTATCAGGGAATTAACCCTTGTGTCTCACTTTGAAAAAGTTCCCTTTGTTTAAAGTCTGTTTACATCAGAATGTCTTTATTAGTCAGCATCAGGGAAATGTACAACTGTTCTTTAATACATTTATAAAATGTATGTATGTCAATGTGTCATGGTCTGTCTCTTGGCCATGACAAAATAATGATTTTAAAGACACGAGGTACGGGTAAAGTAAGTGGTTTTATTAAAATAAACCAAACTAAAGGAAAGCTACCAATATGAAGTGTGTATGTCAGCAGCAGTATCAGTCGTGTAGCTGTGGATGAGTGAGCATAATGTAGGGCAAACTGTTGTATGCCAAAACCAAAGGCGATGCCAAACAAATTACACAAACGGGTAGCTGCTCTCAGGAAGGAGGTCTGCCAGAAAAGAGAGAGCGGGCGAGACACAGATTTTGATGCATTTTTTTAGTGCAGGAAACCAAGAAAAATAGCAAAGACATGCTCCTGGAGATGCTCAAGGGTTAAAGTTCATAATTAAATCATTGTAATCTGTATATTGCATGAGTGAATTAATGAAATTCAGCCTGTTGTTTATTCCCATAGGCATGATGGGTCCTAGACATCGAATGGACAACCAGGAGAGCCCACGCATGCTGATGAAAGACGAGGCATTCCCTCAATAACACACTCAGTCACAAACACACATTCTCTTACCATAGTGTGTGCACATACACACATAAACGCACGTACGGGAAGACCAGTAACACTTTGGTTCTTTATGTTGTGAATCAATGGACGTCCATGTTATAGGTGACACTCATGGCGTTTGCTGCTCTGAACAAGCAGTCCAGACCTCTCACTGTATACTTGACAGATTTTTTTAGTTTTTCACAAATCATTGTACCAACACTCATTTTTTCTTTTGTTTTAGTTTCTTTTGTTTAAGAAGTTCTAGCTGGAGTCCAAAATAATGAATTTGACCGTATACGGTTTCACTGCACAGAGGTAGATTCTGGTGTAGTTCATGCAGCGGCCAAGCAGAGGCGGCTGTGTGAAGAGTGATCGTGTGCACATACAGTATGTTGTTTTGTTTTTGTATACAGAAATTATTAGGTGTACTTCTATTTCCTCAACTTTTTAAATCTCATTCTTTGAATAATAATGTCAAAGACAATAATTTCTAATGGTTTGTCTTTTGTTTTCAGCTGAATCACGATACAGTGACTCTGTTTGCCATTCACCTGTGGAAACTGGTGTTCAGTAAATCAACCACCAATTGTACAAGCAGATTTAGTTTATTTAGTTTCATTTTGTGGCTAGGTCGGCTTGTTTTCTAGCATTCAATAATGTCTTTGTATCATGTGTTTACATTGTAAAGGGTTACATATATCTTTGGTTTGATGTGATAGTGTAAATATTCCAATAGTTGAATTGCTGCTATCATGGCTCAGTTTGTTTCATCTGTCTAGCATAATAAATGATTTGTTACCTGTCTTTATGTCTCGTGTTAACTTGGAATTGTTGGCAGGCACTAAATGGGGGTGTAAACGTCACCCTGCTCAAGTACTTGCATTGAAAACAAAAATGACCAACAGGGGATGCTGGTTTAGAGATGTTAGTTTGGTTATTTTGGTACACCTACCATAAATACATAACATGTTGCCTTGAGTTCCCAGAATGATGCCTTCAAGTTCTTAACTCCGACATGAGTTGTGATTCATTGGGGATCGTTAATGAAGGCTAATTGTGGGCGGTAAATCATAGGATACAGATTAAATCATGCATTTAAGATGATACAGACAGTTTTATACAACTTTTTTTTTTTAAGTATTAATTTGAAAACGACAACCAATCCTTGAACCTCTTTGTGTGATGTAACCAGAGACTAAAGATGTAAATTATTTTCAATATCTCAAACTTTAGCATTATTTATTTTATGGTAATTTCTTTTATCCCTACTTTGAGTATTTAGTTTACATTGTGCTCACATGGAGTAGCCTACATACTTTTCATACTTAATTTACAAAGTATGTCTCTTATTAGTACTTTTTTTTTTTTTTACGAGTTAGCCATGTTAAGTCTTAAGAACAAGAGGAGGAGTTGACAAACTACCCAACAGCCTCCGCTTGCTGTCCAGAAAACAAGCCGTTGCAGGCAGAAGCAGATCCCGGAAGTAGATGCCGTTAGAAACGAGCTAACGTTAGCCAGCTTTTTGTTTTGCTGGCTGTCAAACCACAGCTTGACCTCATTTAAAGAAACTGCAGCTAACGCTTCGTCCCGACTTGTACCAGCGACGTGTATTTAGCAGCTTGCTAGTCTTGTTTATTGACCGAAGTTTGGCTAAAGTTTTCGTCACTTTTAAAACCACTTGTGGATCCAGAAGATGGCATCGAGAGGAGGAGGAGGAGGAGGGTTCACCCCGATGGGTCTGAGCCCCATGAATGTGGGGCATGCTGCGGGCATGAGGATGCCAGGTATGCCCCAACCTCCGGGGGGATACTCCCGGGGCATGAACAACGCTCCCCAGTACCCACAGGTGAGTTTTCTCTTTGCTTGTATTATTACTTTTTAAAAAGAGGGAAACTTGGTAACTTACTGAGCTTAAGTTAAGTGTAATGAACGTTCATTTCACTATGGTTTTTGTAAAGTTTATGTTACCATGCCTGATTTGATTGTACACACTCCTACATTTGGATTGCAAAACAATTATTTATCTTCTGACAGTCATCACACAGATTAAATATAATAACCCTAAATGTCTTTATCCTTAAATATCAAGGTGTGGACCTATGGTGTGGACTCGCACTACTTCCGCGTTGTAAAAATCAATGTAATTACTTGCCACCAACAAAACTGAGTGTTGCATATTTAAAATGTTTTATAGTGATTGATTATTTTCTACTCTAAAGTATTTCAATGTTTTTAAATAATTAGCATTACAGTTTTTGTGCATTTGTTAAAGAGAGAATCACGTGGCTGCCCTCAGCCTCCTGACAGTTAGCGTGAAACAAAAGTAATTTTATCATCTCCATCTGTCAGAGCTGAGCGTGCATATGGTGGTATACCAGTTTTCCCGCCATCTGCATGTGGTATTTAGTTAATATGCATTATTACAATTGTGTCATGTTTGTTAGTTGAAGCCATATGGGTTCAGATATGTGTTTGTCTGTTAAAGGGAGTGTCCAAACACAGTAAGCAGCCGCGTTGAGATAGAGCATTCTCATCCATTGTTGGTTATTCATTCAATGTGGTTTGTGTCAGACTAGAACTGAATCATAACACAATATGTTATCCATTAACTATTGGAACATCAATTGAAAAGCCATAAAGCAAGTATACATACATTACATAATATTCCAAATAAAACATCTGAATTAAAAACAGCTTTTTGTAGGATTTACTAAAATTGCTTTTATCTAATGTATCCCATCAAGCTTCGTTCATTTACACAGGATTTTCTTCTTTTAGATTTTTTTGTATCTACTTATTCATTAGTACTAAACGTTGTTGAACGCATGTTCTGTGTACGTATTGAAAATACACATTTTTATACTACGTCTGGCTAGAAAATCTTTTCTGCTTTTAATGGTGAAATCAAAAGTAGCATCCTATTGAAAGCATACACATATTCTTTGTAAACCAGTACTGCAGGTAGAAAATATAATCATCTGAATCATCTTCACAAATGCTTTTTTTAGTCGCCACACTTGTATTTAAAAGCAAATGAGTGAGTAAGAGAATATTCTGGAGAAAGAATATAGAAAATTCTTATGAACCACAAATAATAATTTCAGCTTTCCCTTTTATCTTTAGCGCCCAGGGATGCCATCTAACCGAGTTGGGGGCCCAATGGGATCAATGGGGGGTCAGCCGCCTGGCCCTTCTTACGGCAGTGGGAACTTGTCCATGAGGCAAGGCATGGGGCCTCCAGGCATGGACGCTTCCAGAAAACGCTTTCTTCATATGCATCAACAACAGCAGCAGCAGCAGCAAGAGGCGCTGGGAGGCCTGAGACGAGGGTAAACTGCGGAGAAGTGAGAGTGTGTGAGAGCGGGAGAATAATAATGCCAATTGATCAAGACATCCAGGGGCCAAATCAGGGACTGGACAGCCTGGGACTTAAAACTGGTGCATCTCATCGTTGTACAAAATCAATACATTCGATTTGACGTGAAAAAGCAGCAAGTCCTCATATTGGAGAAGCAATATCCTAACATTTCTACTTATTAAACCACTTAAATGATCCGTTATTAACATTGTTCCCAATCAATGAATCGCCTCAACAATTATTTAATGAAAATTGCACACCACATTTCCTGCAGAACGTATTTCTTTGAGGTTCTTAAATGTGATGTTGCAGTAGAATGAAACATTATTACACCCAGTGGGAGAAGTTATTAAAGTTAGAGTTCATGATAAATCAAAAAGTCTTATAATTACATACTTTACACAATAGAAGCCATGTGGTCATAAAGACTCAGCCGCTGATGTTTCCTGTCATGGCTCATTAACAAAATAACAACACCACTATTCATTCAGGATGTGTTTTTCTCTGCTTGTGAAGTTACTGTGCTGCTAACACAGCTCAGATAGCACAGACACGAGGGGAGAGTATCTCATGACTGGCCTTTGCTTTTAGAGCAGCAGACACAAGTCGGTATCTTTGACTTGAAACTGCTCCGTGATGCCACGCTGATAAACGTTGCGATCCATGATGTGAGGCGGCATTTACATCCACAATGAATGTCTTGTCTGTAAAGCTTGATCTCATAACCAAATTCTCAGTATACGGGGTTTGGTGTGCCAGAAGCAATAATCTAAATTCTCATCAAAGAGCCTGGGAATGACATCCTAATGAAGGGAACTGTGTCATTTAGTTAAAGAAAACAACAGTGCTTTTATGAAGTCAGTAGCGAGGATGAGGAGTCAGAGCCCTGGGTGAGGGGGAGTCGATGAAGAGAGAGCCTTTTGTTATTGCACGATAAGATAAGATAAGATAGAGCTTTATTGTCTCCCTTAGGAGAAATGTGTCTTGGGCATCGAGATAATACACATAAAACATTCAGGTCAATCAGTCATAGATACAGAACAGAGATCACATATCACATGGCAAAGAAACAAACAAGAAACATACAGGTACAGAACTTTCCCTATTGCACATACATAATCAAATTGCACTTTCCCTATTGTGTCCATATATGAACGATGAAGCTTTCACAAATAATTGATAATTGATAATCCAATGAGGTCATTCTGTTCATCTTGTGTATGTCAGTGTGTTGTTAGTTCCTTGTAAATTGGTTAATGAAGGTCATACTTTAAAAAGATCAAATGCTAAGTGATGATCCAGAATTGGCAACATAGTACAGTATGTCCTTGTTTAGCCTCAGGATGCTCTACTGTTTCAAGAAAGCATCATGGTCAATTCATTTGTGCACATAATAGTATTCTGGAAATCATCTTAATAACGTCTCTCGTTATGTTTAATAACTTGATGAATAATTATGACTTTACTATAGTCGTTAAATTAACTATCCATTTGAAAGTTCTGCTTGGAATAAATCACGTTTTTTGTTTTTTTCATATTTGTTATATATTCTTATTCTTCTACTTGTACTTTTTCTTGTATTTGTTTTTCTTCTTATGAATATTATTATCATTATAATTGTTAATGATGATTTGATGCTGAATCTCAAGGGGGTTATTCCTAATTAACACCAAACCTCTTATTTATTTCAATTTCTTTGTGACCTTTAGGCCAAAGAGACGAAAGATGGCCGACAAGGTTCTCCCACAGAGGGTAAGAAAGTTTGGACCCCCACTGAAACAAATGTAACTGGATTCAGTTTATTCACAGTCGGCTGAATTCCCTTAATATTAACGCCCTGCTGTCGGCTCTTCAGATCAGAGACCTGGTCCCAGAGTCCCAGGCCTACATGGACCTCTTGGCCTTTGAGAGGAAACTGGACCAGACCATCGCTCGAAAGCGTATGGAGATCCAGGAAGCCATCAAGAAGCCCATCATGGTACCTCATCACTAGACTGCATTCTTAGCTTTTAACAAAATGAAGGATATATTTTATAGAATTTTGAGGCCTTACGAAGTGCTGCCTATTCACAAATGTAGCTTTAAAAATATAGAATGCTCGACTAGATGCATCATTTCCTGTGAATCCCTCTTCTCGGGAAAGTAGGCAATCTGAATCAGGTGTGGAAATATAACAGAGAGGGAAAAAGAATGACTGTTGGAAAAAATGTGGCCAATAAACCGTATGAGTTTCATGAATATTTATCTAAAAAATTATAACCTTAAACCGTCTTGATTAACTAATCTATGACTTCCTGTTTTGTCAAAGATCTGTCTTTAACAATAACGTGTTGTTAAAATCTATATCCATAAGAATCCATCATGGTTTATTTATGTTTGAACAACCGTTTTTACTGGAGTTTCTGATTCATCTGCTTCTCTATGACACAGCAAAAACGCAAGCTCAGGATCTACATTTCCAACACGTACACCCCCAGCAAGCCGGAGGGCGAGGAGGCAGAGAAGGTGTCCTCCTGGGAACTGAGAGTGGAGGGAAAACTTCTGGAGGAAGTACGTGAGAAACTCTCTTCATTTTAACCTCCTCGCTCTGTTTCGCCATCGTCCCACTGTGTTCTGACTCCTAAGTATTTCAGTCTGTTTCTGAAAAGTCTCCCAGCTCTGGTTGGCCTGTGTCCTTGGCTCAGACCACGCAACCAGATGTATGTTTAGTACAGCTCTCCCCACTCCACGACACACACACACACAGAATCATGTTCCCCTTTTGAAGCGAGGAATTGAAACCACTGGCCGTTGCATACCATGAGCTGACATGCCTCCCCTCCCTCCATCAATTCCAGCACATTGTGTCATCTGGGGCCACATGAAGGAGGCTTGTTTTTTCAGTTAATTTCTCTCCGCTGGCTCATTTGGTTTAGGCATGCGTAGGAGTAGAGCATGGAGTAACAGAAAAGGGATGCGAGGGAAGGAGTTGTGCAAACAGCACTTTGGAGAGGCCTGGGGAAAAACAGCTTTTTATGGTTGTCTGCAGCTTTGTGCTTCAACACCCCCAATGTGGTCAGAGCTAAACAATGCAGCTGCACACAGCACAATATAAGATAGATAACAATCCTGCTGCCCTGTCTGTTCACACTCTTTCCTTTGTGCACTTTTTGTTTTCTAGCCTGGCAAGCAGAAGAGGAAGTTCTCGTCTTTCTTCAAAAGCCTGGTGATTGAGCTTGATAAGGAGCTCTATGGACCCGACAACCACCTAGTCGAGGTATGGCATCATTTAACAGGCATTTGCTGCAACAATCTCATAAACTCCAGGGGACACCATCATCTTCTGAGACTATTATTGGTTCACTCTCCCCAACACTTTCTTTTTTAGCCTGGTCACAAAGTTGAGTTCAGCTGGAATTGTCAACTTTTAGATTAAGTCCCTTTTATAAGAGTTATTGAATCTGGAAACATTAAATCCCAACATGTTTATGTTTTGTTCGAAGTATTATGGTAACTAAATCAATTTTAAGCTTTAATAAAAGAACATCTGTTTTTTCAGTGGCACAGAATGCCCACCACTCAGGAGACGGATGGTTTCCAGGTCAAAAGGCCCGGTGATGTGAATGTGAAATGCACCCTGCTGCTCATGCTCGACCACCAGGTATCACCTATTTTCTCAATGAAAACATGTTTGAATGGTATGGCTTGTTTCCTATTTTCAAACCACCAATTTCTCTGCTACTTTTCCATTTTTCAGCCCCCTCAGTACAAACTGGACCCCCGGTTGGCTCGTCTGCTCGGTGTTCACACACAGACGCGAGCCAGCATCATGCAGGCCCTTTGGCTCTACATCAAGAACAACAAGCTGCAGGACTGTCATGAGAAAGAGTTCATCAACTGCAACCGCTACTTCAGACAGGTAATGGAAACATGTGGAGGCTTTGCCAGGCAGCACAAAGCTACATCAACTTTGCCAAGTGTTGCTCTGATATGCTTTCACATTGGTTGTGTAATTTATTGATAAATGTGCAGAGCTCAGCAGATGTTGAGGTTTTTTTTTTTCATACAGACAATTACCATAATTCATACCAGATTTAGAATTAGTGTCATGGTTTGTTATCTGATGCCATGATGTATTCATTTAAACAATACATTTATGCATACAATTACCTTATTTTTACCCAAATGTAATTGTTAATAAGGTAAAATGTATAATTATTTTTAACTTGTAGATTTCATTTCTTAAAGATCCACAAAAAAAAGGTTATCTTAAATCCCCCAAAGTACATACTACATTGTGCAACTAATAGCATGTATATTAATGCTTATGGGGAGAAAAAAAGGTCACAAAACGTTACTTTCAGCATATAAAGTTTGCTCTGTTTTCTAACCAAATGCTGTTCAGATCTTCGGCTGTCCTCGCATGAAGTTCTCTGAGATTCCTATGAAACTGGCAGGCCTGCTGCAGCACCCTGACCCCATCATCGTCAATCACATGATTAGGTAGGAGTGTGTGGATCATTGTCATCTTTCTGTATTTGTGCATGTGCACTAATTTTTCAGGATCTCATTAATTATACAGAATCTTCCAGAGACTTTAGAGAAGTTTGAGCTCACACTTTTCAACCACCATATGACATGTTGTTCATTTTAACATCACTCTTGACTTGCATCTCCTCTGCACAGTGTGGACCCCACCGATCAGAAGAAGACGGCGTGCTATGACATTGATGTGGAGGTGGATGACCCTCTGAAGGGCCAAATGAACAGTTTCCTGTCCTCTACAACAAACCAACAGGAAATTGCTGCGCTGGAAATTAAGGTAAGGCCTGTCAGTCAATCACAACTCATCTCCCTGGCTTTTCAGATAATTGGAGTAACATTGTAACATGTTTGGTTTACTTATGTATTACTGCACTGGTTTTGTATACTGCAGATTCACGAGACGATTGAGTACATCAACCAGCTGAAGACTGAGAGAGACTTCATGCTGAGCTTCAGTAATAAACCTCAGGACTTCATCCAAGACTGGCTCAAGTCTCAGTGCAGAGATCTGAAGGTGAACATGTTCTCACAACGCTGATTACTGTATGTGTTAATGGGACGAGAGTCATTACACATAGCACCTCTCATTGCGTTGCAGTCATTTGCAGATTAGTTTTCTCAAATGAAGGGACTTTAATGCCTTGACTGCCTAAGTAAATTGACAATTTTTGACCTTATTTTGGTATTTTAAATGAAACATTTATCTGTTTTCATAAAATGATAGTTCCTCATGTTCAATGTTTTCTTTTTTTGTCAGTTGATGACTGATGTGACAGGAAACCCAGAGGAGGAGAGGAGGACTGAGTTCTACGAGGGGCCCTGGGTACCAGAGGCTGTGGGCAGATACGTCTACTCCAAGGTAAAGAATTACACAGCCTTATATAGTGCTTCACACTGAACACCGGATGGTTTATTGTAAGTTATTCTAGTTTCAACATGCACTAAGACATTTCTTTTTTTCTTTCAGGTGCAGCAGAGAAGACAAGACTTGGAGCAGGTGTTGGGAATCCGTCTCGCCTAAAGACATATTACAGTATACAATATATACTTGACTTAATCAAAATTGGAATTTGTTGGGAAATAAATAGGCTACTGTTGCAGCTTAAATGTTAACAAAGCCATCCTCACTGACATGGTATATGGGAAACATATAGGTTTGTAGTTTTAAATCAACAAGTATATTGGACCAAAGTGATTAACATTCCCTTAATTCTATGATTACTTTGTATTTTGTGTCGTTTTGAGCCTGTTCAAATAATCTTGCCTTGTTTTGCTAAATGTTTTGTTTATGGTACATTATGCTTGAAACACTGTTAGCATTGGTGCTGTGTAGGTGTTTTAGAAAGGGTGTCTGTTTACCATTTAAAAGCCATAACCTTAAGTGAGGAACAATTCAAAAATAATCCATACTGAACTGTTTTGCACCAGAGATATATGTACATATTTCAAAGATGTATTTAGAAAACATTGATAGTTTGCCTTCAAAAATACGTAGGATTTTCAAAGATGTTTCATGACTTGGATAGTAACTTTTTTTACCAACAATAATAATTATTATTTGAAGAGCTGTTTTTTCTTTATATCGATGGATATGTAATTTGAAATGAAACGTGTATTTGCTTTGATTTTGAGGACAGCTCTACATGGGAAAATGTGAGCTAATTTGAGTCCTCTCTGTCCAGCTGTAATTCATCAGCACTTTTTGGATGTTTACATGTTGTTCTTGTTTATTATTGGGGTTGTTGGGGTTATTGTTTTAATACCAGGAAATTGAACTGTTGCCAAAAGGTTAGCTGGTATTAATAAAATAGAAATACAGTTATAGTGTGCCAACTAAACAATGCATCAGATTTGTGTGTATAGTTTCTAGTTTCTGGAGGTAACTTTTAATTGAAATGCCATTTTGTCAAGGTTTTGTATGAGGGTTTCTTTAAACATTCCATGTTGACAGTATCGCTGTGCCATTTGTTTTGTGAAGAACACACTTAATGACATTTTGTGTACAAATATGTGTTTGTAATGCCTCTATTGTAAAATGTTTGCATGTTTTCTATCAATCAAAAACCTTTATCTTTTATACATTTTTCACAATAAATGTTCCTACCAATGTTTTGTGTTACAATGTTAATGCCCATGGCGTTATTCTAAGTATTATTAATGATATCGTCTTATATTCCTATCTTTTACCCTGCAGTCTCAACTGTGTGATAAAAGCTAGGCTCAGGCCATGAGTGTGCATGTCAGGGCTGGTCTCAGGTGTCTCTGAAGATGTCTCAACAGGTCTGGCTGGTTTTACCTGTATGTTAGCGCCTAAAGAGATTTCCCTCCTCAAATAACGGCCAACCCAAAAACATCCTGCACTCTTTGCAGATCTGTGTCTCAGCTTGCAAAGCAAATAACTGACTAAAGGTTTGCATAGAATTACATTTATCAATAAATGGGGAGTCAATTAAGCTTTGAACAAAAAAACTATAACAACAATAAGATAATGTTGTTAGGGCAATCGCTGAAGTTGATAAAAGCAGATCAAAGGAAATACGGTTTAATGAAATAAATAATAAAGAAAGCATATTTAAGGCTATGTTTAACACACACACGCACACACACACACACACACACACACACACACACACACACACACACACACACACACAAGGCAAGGCAAGTTTATTTATATAGCACTTTCCAACACAAGGCAATTCAAAGTGCTTTACAAAAAATGAAAGAGATTAAGAAAATGGCATTTAAAATCAGTCATTAAAAAGAAAAGCTAATAAAATAAACATTAAAAGAAAAAATACATGGATAAAAGTTACAGTGCAATTAAACATTAAAAGAAAAAGTACATGGATAAAAGTTACAGTGCAGTCTAAGATATGAATAGTTCAATTAAAAGCAGCGACAAAAAGAAAAGTCTTCAGCCTGGATTTAAAAGTAGTCAGAGTTGTAGCGGACCTGCAGGTTTCTGGGAGTTTGTTCCAGATATTTGGAGCATACTAACTGAACGCTGCTTTACCATGTTTAGTTCTGACTCTGGGGACAGAAAGCTGACCAGTCCCTGAAGACCTGAGAGATCTGGATGGTTCATAATTTAGCAGGAGGTCAGAAATGTATTTTGGGCCTAAACCATTCAGTGCTTTATAAACCAGCAGCAGTATTTTGAAATCTATTCTTTGACACACAGGAAGCCAGTGTAAAGACTTCAGAACTGGAGTGATGTGATCCACTTTCTTAGTGTTAGTGAGGACTCGAGCAGCAGCGTTCTGAATTAGCTGCAGCTTCTTAATATATTTTTTAGTGAGACCTGTGAAGACACCATTGCAGTAGTCGAGTCTACTGAAGATAAAAGCATGGACAAGTTTTCCAAATCCTGCTGTGACATTAGTCTTTTAATCCTAGATATATTCTTTAGGTGATAGTAGGCTGATTTAGTAACAGTTTTAATGTGACTGTTGAAACTCAGGTCAGAGTCCATGACTACACCTAGATTTCTGGCTTTATCTGTTGTTTTGAACATTGCACACTGAAGCTCAGCGCTAACTTTTATACGTTCTGCCTTGGCTCCAAAAACCATTACCTCAGTTTTATCTTTGTTTAATTGGAGAAAGTTCTGACACATCCAGTCATTGATTTGTTCAATGCACTTACTCAGTGTTTGAATTGGAGCATAGTCTCCTGGTGAAATTGTTACGTAAATTTGTGTGTCATCTGCATAGCTATGGTAACTTATTTTGTTGTTCTTCATTATCTGAGCCAGTGGTAGCATGTAGATGTTAAAGAGAAGAGGCCCCAAGATGGAGCCTTGAGGAACCCCACATGTCATATTTGTCAACTCAGATGTGTATTTACCTATAGAAACAAAGTTGTTTCTGTCCTTTAAGTAGGATTCAAACCAATTCAGAACTGTTTCCGAAAGTCCCACCCAGTTCTCCAGTCGGTATAGTAATATGCTGTGGTCAACAGTGTCAAACGCAGCACTGAGATCTAATAATACTAACACTGAAGTTCTGCCACTGTCTGTGTTTAAGTGGATGTCATTAAAGACCTTTACAAGAGCAGTCTCAGTGCTGTGGTTTGGACGAAAGCCTGACTGGAACACATCAAAACAGCTATTTAAATGCAAGAAATTACTCAACTGTTGAAAAACAACTTTTTCAATGACACACACACACACACACACACACACACACACACACACACACACACACACACACACACACACACACACACACACACACACACACACACCCCCACACACCCCCATGGCGGGGGAAAGGCTGTAGGTGGCGATGTGCGGAGTTATTTAAAAAAGCACGAAGAAGAAGTCTTCCGGAAATACCTCTCTCCTCCAGCGGAAACAGAAAATTCCAAGATGGAGGTGGACGGACCTGATCATGTAGGTGTATTTTTTCTTCCGTTTTGTTTGATTTATTGGTAATAAATGACTAAAGGAACGTTATAATTATGCTTTGAGTCGAATAGTTTAACCTTCATCGGCTGTAAGAAGTACCGGTTGTGCGACTCAGCTGTAGATAGTGACATCACTTCTTTGGGAACAATAAATGTGTGTAGTATTCTGCCGGTTTGCTGTCTCATTGTAGCTAACTGTGCTAACGTGCTAGCATAGGCTCACTGTCTGTTGACGTATAGCTATCTTAAAATAATCTGAATGACTTGCAGTTAGGGTCTTCTTTGTTGTAAACTATCAAATAAATAACCGATGTTACATTCAATTTAGGTTAAATAAGTGTTTGAGCATCACAAAGCGCTGGCTAAGCTACCTCATCTAAACACTATGCCGAGTCGAGTTGGCTAACGTTAGCTGCTAGCATAACTTCTTGTTAGAAGAATTATAATTGGGAGGGATGAAACCCTCTTTAATGGTCAGGCGGCAGAGCACACAGTGACATTTGTTCTCTGTATTTAACCCATCCTAGTACCAGGAGTCTAGTACTAGGAGAATAAACTAACTAGATCATTACATAGAGGCAGATAACAGATAGCTAACATTATGGATTTATTTATTTCACGAACTATAACGAAATGTAGCTTTCTTTAATTTTGTATAATTGAGTAAACACTTTGACAGCTAATCGAGACGGATTGAAATCGCTCAAAGATATGTATTACATTTGCCTGGTTAATTACAATTACTATCTTTTTGGAAACATTTAGCTTTTCTGCAAATAAAGAAATAGTCGAACATCTTATAATGATTTAAGATAAATTGATAATTGTTCAAATGTTCTTTTATTTGGCAAAATAGAGTATGACATATTGGGTATAGCTTAATAATAATAATGCATTACATCTTTTATTAATGTATTAATAGCTTATAAATGTAAACGATTGTAAATCGGATATATGTAAAGTTTCTGCTGTTCTTAGACAATATTTCGAGTGACTTTTTGCTGACATACCGATCAACAGATAAATAAGTTTGATATTTGTTTGACAGATGGAGATGGGGGACAGCAAAGGTGGCTCAGGGCTCCGACAGTACTACTTGTCCAAGATAGAAGAGTTACAGGTAAGAAATCATGATCTCGGCAAATGTTTAGTCGTTAATGTGACTTTGATTGCAGAACTTCTAAACGCTGCTTTCTTCTTAAGTTGACAGTAAATGACAAGAGCCAGAATCTCAGACGTCTGCAGGCACAGAGAAATGAGCTCAATGCCAAAGGTAAACTGTTCTTTACCTCTGTGTATTTGACATTTCATTTGATCACATAAAGTCATGTTAACTTTGATGTTTTATCTCCCAGTGCGTCTCCTTCGTGAGGAGCTGCAGTTACTACAGGAGCAGGGCTCCTACGTAGGGGAGGTGGTGAGGGTCATGGACAAAAAGAAAGTGCTGGTCAAGGTAGGCTGTGTTATTGTGCTTTGTACCACACTACTTTGAGTACTAGTTGACAGCTTAAATGAAAATGTCTGCATTATTTTCAGGTACACCCAGAAGGAAAGTTTGTCGTCGATGTGGACAAGAACATTGACATCAATGATGTAAGTTTTGAATTCACAATCCTGTCAATGGTTGGCATTTGAATAGTTTACCCATTCTGTTTTGCAAAACATTATGGCCTTTCACTTGTTGTGTTGATAGCATAAAACAAATGGTAAATAATTCAAGTCATATTTGCTCACCTGTAAGTTTATGAAAACATAAAACCTGCAGTATCCAATAACACCTCTGTCCCTCCTACATCAGGTGACTCCTAATTGCCGCGTGGCTCTGCGTAACGACAGCTACACCCTGCACAAGATCCTGCCCAACAAGGTGGACCCGCTGGTGTCCCTCATGATGGTGGAGAAGGTGCCGGACTCCACCTATGAAATGATTGGTGGCCTGGATAAGCAGATCAAAGAGATCAAGGAAGTGATTGAGCTGCCTGTCAAGCACCCAGAGCTGTTTGAGGCTCTGGGCATTGCACAGCCTAAGGTGAGCGACTTATTCAATGTTTCTGTGCGGATTCTTAAAGGGGACGTTCCCCCAGATGTAGTCATATGTTATCTTCCTCTGGCAGTGTAAAGATGGTTCTGTTGGCTTTGAATGTGTGCAGGGAGTGCTGCTGTACGGCCCCCCCGGTACAGGGAAGACCCTGCTGGCCCGAGCTGTGGCCCACCACACTGACTGCACCTTCATCAGGGTGTCTGGCTCCGAGTTGGTCCAGAAGTTCATTGGAGAGGGTAAGCTTCCTTTTTAATTATTTTATTAACAGACCATTTTAAGGCTGAAGACCTCCCTGTTTATTTGATTGTAAACTATTTGGTTGTATAACCGTTATTTCTCCCTCTCTCGTGCCAGGTGCCCGTATGGTGCGTGAACTCTTCGTCATGGCCAGAGAACATGCTCCCTCCATCATCTTCATGGACGAGATCGACTCCATCGGCTCGTCTCGTCTGGAGGGCGGCTCGGGGGGAGACAGTGAGGTTCAGAGGACCATGCTGGAGCTCCTCAACCAGCTGGACGGCTTCGAGGCCACCAAAAACATCAAGGTAGCACACATCATTATTTTTGTTTTTTTATTGCATGAATGTGAGCGTTATTATGAATATGTAAATGTGGCTTTATAGTGTGCATAGCTTAGCCCTTCACTAAACCTTTTATTGGACTTTAACTCTCCTGTATTACCATTTAAGGGTGTATACAAATCAAGTACATTATCATTTTGTTAGAGCAGATATAAGGATGTTTCTGTAACTTTTTTACAAATATATCCATTAACACTTAGAGTATCTTATATCTGCTTAAACCTACATTAAAGTTGATATACTGATTTTTATAAAAGTCTTTCACACAAATACTGATTTCAATTGTTTCTCTCTCTCAGGTCATCATGGCCACCAACCGTATCGACATCCTGGACTCGGCTCTGCTCAGGCCCGGCAGGATCGACAGGAAGATTGAGTTCCCCCCTCCAAATGAGGAGGTAGGCACTTTCACAACACAGTGAATCCACACATGTAGACCTGCTGTGGGTTTGGTTTTCAGCATCTCTTTATTGTGCATCATTAGGCCCGTCTGGACATCCTGAAGATCCACTCCAGGAAGATGAACCTGACACGTGGCATTAATCTGAGGAAGATCGCAGAGCTGATGCCTGGAGCCTCTGGTGCCGAGGTTAAGGTGAGAGGAAACCCACTAGATTCTAGCAGTTGGTTAATTAATACCTTCTTTTTATTGAATGTTCTTGTCTTTATTTTCTAGGGTGTGTGCACAGAGGCAGGGATGTACGCTCTGAGAGAGAGGAGAGTTCACGTCAACCAGGAGGACTTTGAGATGGCTGTGGCAAAGGTTTGTGTAAAAAAGTGTTGTCACGCATCTTGATCTTTCATGCTTTCATACACCTTACCACTCGCCCTGTATCTACTTACTTGTATTGACCATGTTAACGTGCACAAAATGATATTCCACCTAAATCCCTGGTAACAACGTTTTTACTGAGCTTGCATTTACCATGTTTGTGCTTCTCACAAAAGCTGTTATGTTACAAGGAGGCTTTTCTTTTGGACATGCTGGAAAAACCTTAATCACATGAAGTGTATGCATGTTCTTTTCTGTTTGCATAGTTTTCTGTATACTTGTTTCTACTAAGTCTGTCCCGTTCCCCCTCCAGGTGATGCAGAAAGACAGCGAGAAGAACATGTCCATCAAGAAGCTGTGGAAGTAAAAGGCCTTGTGTATTCATGCGCACAATGCAAACATATGTATATTTTCCTTTTGTTTATGCTTTGGTTTATAATTGTCATTCTAGAGTAAATGGTTTCCCCAAATAACAGATGGTCCATGGTTTTTATTTCTCAGTTCTCCATTATCACCAACAAATACAACATGTTCCTTTTAATACAGATTTGTGTCAAAGCCAAGTTAGAATTTCCTTTTATATGTTGTAAATACTTGATATGGCACTCCACAATATAGCTTCTATTACAGTAGAAGTCTGACATGATTGGTCTTTTATGGCATTATTTGGCGATCTAGTTCCTACATGCTTCTGAGAGGTTTTCTACTTTCACACTGAAGGATATGAAATTGCAGCTACCTGCGTGTGGAATAGTTAAATGGCAGTAACACTGGCTGACTCCTGGGTTGCGGTCCAATAATCAGCTCCTATCGTCTATCCCTTGACCTCTGTGTGAAACGTTAAGGGATAGTGGATAGGAGAATTCAAAATGACTTTCACTATCCGACGTGTTTAAATGTGCGTCTGCTGCTGTGGGGAAACTAGTTGGTTGGATGTTACATGGATGTATATACAGTGATGCAAATTAGTCGCTTTTCGGCACCGCTCGCTTTTTTAACGCTGATTTGAGTGACTTGTGGAGAACCGAGGAGTTTATCGAAAATGTATTTATAATAAACGTTAGTCTTTAACATCTATCACTGTGTATATCACCATTCAAACATCTTTTAACGGTTGAACAAACTCCACACAGCTCAGTAAACACTGAGATGTTGACTTTATTTGATCATTTCAGTAAAAACTAACGTTCATATTTCTCTCTTTGATTATAATACTGACGAACGTTCAAAACAAAGCACTTTGGCAATTTACCACATACGCTTTAAAAAGCTTAATAAGCACCGTAACTTTCATGATATAATTTCTCGGTCATAATCGGTTGTTTCCGTGAACGGCCGACTGTTGAGTGACGGCAAATGCTGCGGCCGCAAGGCATTGTGGGGCAGGTCCAGTGGTTCCTAAGCTAAAGGAAGTTTGAAACCTCCTTTCCTTTCATCTAGAGAATTGAACAGCTCTTATCATGGCTGCCACTGAGGGACTTCCGGGTCATTTCACTCGGTTAGGAAGGTTCCTAAACTAAATGGACTATTGGACCGCAACCCAGATCTGAGGACCTCAGGAGGCTTCCGGCGGTATAAACTGTCCACCAAATGCTGAGCTGATTCGACTGGAAACAGTCAGCTTGAGAAGGCTAGCCCCTCACCCAGGACACAGGCACCCACTGCCGCTCCACCTGGACCCTCTCCAGGACCACCTGCAGCTCCGCTAAGGCACCGACCGGGTCCTCCTTCACCAGGACGTAGTCCACCCAAGCCCCGTAGTTCTCGTCCATCCGCTCCGCTGAGTGTTTCATGTCCTGTAGGTCGCACTCCTGTTTGTCATAAGGAAGGGCACACGTTGATTCAGCCTTTTGATCATTATACACTCCTCAAAACAGTGTACAAAGCTCCCCTATAATGTACATTTAATATATCCAAAAGAAAAGGGACTTATGATGGCGCCGTGTTTAATGTAACTCACCGTGATCCCTGAGCTGAGTGAGGAACAGGAGCCAAGTGTTTTCCTGATGCTGTGATAGATGCGAGGCGTTACATAGATGACATAGGGTTTGAACTCAGCAGTACGAAGAGTCTTCAGTGCCTGAAACAAATCATATTGTACTTTAAAACACAAGGGTTGAACTAAATACAGTGTTTGCAATGTAGTTATATTCAAACAAACTGTCAGCATATAAGGTAGAACTTAATTCCACAACAGACTGAATGCCCTGTAAAACCAAGGTGAGTCTGCCATTAGATAACATTAAATACTAAAAACAAAATTAGGTGAGAAAAGAAACGTGGCAGAAAATCCAATTACCCTCGAGTGTGAAAGAACCCTTTAGTTCACAGCACCTATTAATACTTTGAATAAAACTCAGACGTGATGCTAAAACTTGGAATATGTTTTCTTCTGCATCATTGAGGCAGAAAAAGGCAATCAATTCTGTGAACAAATTAAACGTTTGTGACAATCTGGACAGAGGAGCACACATCTGCACGTACTACACATTTAATATTACAGATAGCGGCAACAGTTATCAGAAACATGTTGGCATGTAGTGCTGCGTGACACTTTTTATACTAACCTCTGGTTGCACATCCACCAGACAGACCTTGTTTTGATCCAGATTTCTGTTAATGGACTCCAAACTGGTGCCGTACAGATTATCTTTATAGTCCCCGTATTCAATGAATCTGCAGAAATACAGCAGCATCATCATCATCATCATCACTTCATGCACTCAAACATATTAGTGTCCAATACTCACTTGCCACTCTGAATGTCGGCCTCGAACGCTGCTTTGGAGATGAAGTGGTACTCCACTCCTTCTTTCTCCTGAGACTTCCTGGCTCGAGTGGTGTCTTTGGTCACATGTTCAAAAGCAGGATAAGAACTGAACTTTTGTATTTTCTCTTAATATAAAAACGTGTTAATATAATGCATAAATCACAATGATGACATTTGACTTGACACAAAAGAAGCATTTAGACCAAAGGAAGGTTTTTTTTGCTTTGTTCAGGACGGCAACATAAATAATTTACAACATACTATGTCGCTTTTGATGTATTTATACGCTTTCTTACGGATATTGTTGCAATATAACTTTTTTTGGACATTATACCCTGAGGGATTTTTCTGACATTATATGACATACTAAGACTTTTTTCCGACATACGCGGTTTTTGCACTAAACAATGAACAAAACATCTAATATTTGAGTTATTTCATTTAATGTAATTTTGAAAGAAAAACATTAACAGTGTATTAATTGTATTTGATTACAAATATCAGGTGACCCAAGTGCAAAGTACACGTTGGTGTAGTTGTTGTGTTTTTTTATCAAGTTTTGATTTAAAAAAAAAAAAAAAGGCAATAAGACTCACGAGGCACAGCCAAACCAAATCGTCGAGGATTTCCAGCGATCACTTTCTGTTTGAGTTCCGTTATCCGAGCTCCCAAGGAACCTGTGACCAAATAAACATATCAAATAAATTAATGGACAATTATTCAACACGATAAGGTGCTGAAGAAAACACATCTGAGAGCAAGGTGTCTTGTATTGGGGAGACTGACTGACATAATCAGACAGAGGGCAGGACAATTTGCTTAGCGATTTTGAAACTGCTGTGTGTTGCTACATTTATTTGTATTCTCTCTTATCTGATATCGTTTTATTGTATTTCGTTGTAAAGAATGTGAATCGTATTTTCCCATTAGTTTTAATTGCCATTTATATTTGTGAAACATATAATATATCTTGGTGTAAAGACCAGCATACCAGAGTCTCACCAAACCTGGCAGTGAACCTACCGATCAGCACAATGAGGCGAGGCCTCTCCCCGGGGCGAGGCAGATACTGTGATACTTCTTCATAGATCAGGAACTCTTTGTGATTGGTGTCTGGAGTTTGAGGTTCTCCTGGTGAAGCTTGGCGATCTTTCCTGAGGCGGAAACTTCTGCGCAGGCTAGCTGCAGTCAAAGAAATACAAATGTAAGCTGAACGGAGATACATGCACCACATGTTATTGCAAATCACACAGCTACTTTAACATGTTGATACAAAGAAACATATGTTGCTAGTTTAACAAACAGCAGACTGTAAATTCCATCCATTTTAACACACATTTCAGTAGTTTGTAACAAAGTATTTCTCACTGATTAAAAATGCCACAGACACGCAGAACAACACTGTTAGGAATCAGGAAGAGTACCTGAGTAAAAATCCCATGAGAGAGCATGGCCACAGAAGGCAGGCGCTGCCTTACTCTTGGGAGAAACTACAGCTCATATTAGACCATTTATTCACCCAGCTTCAATCTCACCAACAGAGAAGAAGCTTTGAAGCCATGCATGCTGCGTCTACCAAAAACCAACAAAGCACTTTAGCATGTAGCATGAGAAAGCCATTTGAGAAGCACAGAGATATACGAGCTGGCATGAGATGCTAGAGATACTGAAGAGGCTGTCGGGTCCTGCACAAAAAGCCACACTAAACAGTCCAAACACAGAAAGTGCTGAGCGAGGGCATGAAGAAACACCGACAACACACAGGTATCACTTCAGTGACGACTAAAGCAGAAGGCCAGCAATGTTTCCCTTTGCATCTACAGTTTTCACATCTTTGTCCATTCAAAATCATCACAGTTGTTTCCCTGTAAAGGTATTTGCTTCCTATTTTTACCAATAAAGTAATGCAGCAGGGCTATGTGGCTAAGGAACAACAGTGATTTGAGCTTACACCAATGAGTAACATATGCTCATCAAAGCTGATAAACAAATAAGTAATCAGTTCTAAGAATCTGGAGTGAAGCTGTGTGTATGATTTTGGTTACAGTCATCATTCAGATGATCAAATAAGATGTGAAAATAAGGTCCAAGGTGTGGCGATGCTTTCAGGCCCAACACACCCATAGAAGCACATTAAGCCCAGACGGACAGAAAAGCTGGCGAAAGGCTAACGGAGCGCTGAAGACATCAGTAGATCAGGTAAGGTGAGGGGAACAAACACATCTGTCAAGAGACGTTACATCTGGCGTTCAGTTCAAAGCAGAGCATTCAGACTAAAGGCTGACATCTGTCCTACCCACTCAATCTCCTATAACACTTCACAGTATGCTAAAACTAATTCCTGGTACAGTACAGTCGGCGAATTCGGTTGACAACTAAGGCATTTATTGTGGAAGAAAGAATGGCACTCATGAAACCCTGAGAACCCCCGTCCTAAAGAAAGATATGGATTTGCACACAGATTGAGCAGAAATGTGATGTAGCAGTGATTAGTGTACACTCATAAATCATGGCTCCTCACCTACGTCCTTTCCATTCAGAGTGCCCTCACTGTCACAGTCTTCTGCAGGATGAGAAGACAGGGTCAGAGGAGGTTCATGTGGAAGGGGCTTTACACTCAAAACAAAGCAGGTTCAAGTGAAGTGAGCACGCTAATAATATTTTGAGGCAACTGTAAAGGTAAAAAATGGGAAAATGCAGCATCATTTTGTGTTTTGGGAACTCGGGTGGGGTGATGAGAGAATTTGATTTAGATGTGTTCAATACACGGATGAGTGCTATTTTCTAACATGAAGTTTTGTCCACGTACCTCGCTCAGTCTGATCATCTGAGGTTAGCAATGCAAGGAATAACAAAGCATATAGAGAGTGACAGAATATTACAAATGCTATACTGTGATATCACTGCTCTATGTAAACTGTGATCTAAATGGATGCTTCTTTTGTCTTGTAAATGTCATATCTAAACTGTATCTGAGCTAAGACATACTCAACATATCTGCTTTCTCGATCTGCTTCCATTTCCTTTGCATATTATCCTGAATCATTGTTACATTCAGTTCAAAGAGTATCACCTTAGAAACACATCACACCGTTACATCAATACGACATCTTTTTAGAGAACAAACAAGAAAGAAGTGATTTTGCAAGCAGCCGTTGTTTTTCAGATTACTTTGATTCATTTACTTTGAAATGGTGATCAGGAAATGAAACAGTTATGTATTTCTTTTAGAGATTAACCTCGGTTCTCTTTTTTAAATCTCTCTTTCTGCATCTCTTTGGCTAAATTACATTCAACAAGCAATATAAACTGTATCTGTGGTTCTAAGCCTGTTGTACATTTATGGTTACACTGCAGGTTATTTGTGATCTACAGAAGAGAAACGGGCTTACATGCAGGAGCTTTGGGGGACATTGGGGCTGGAAAAGAGCCTATTTTCATCCTGTACCGCAGGCGCCTGGAAGGAAGAAAACAACAGAAAAAAAGATCAATTTCTCATCTAAAAAAAATGCCACCTTGTCAGATATTTTTCAGATCCTTGACATAAAGTCTTTCTCAGTTATTTATTTGACAGCAGAGGTGACTACCTCTCCTGAAACTGTTTGGAGGGGATGAGAGCAGCGCGCAGGTTACAGTCGCCCATCCTCTTGGCCTGCCACCAGGTGGCGTCCTCCTGGCTCACAACCTGGAGGACGTCCCCCCTCTTGAAAGGAAGTCCCGCCTCCTGGCACGGCGTGGCCTTGTCCTCATAGGGCGTGTAGTCAAACAAAGCCCGAAGGTAGACCTTTTGGGAGCAGGAATATTCTGTAACTTTAAGAAATAAACATTTGGATGGTATGGGGAATATAGATTTAGGATGAATGTGTCAGATAATGAGTCCTCACCCTGCTTTCCTTCAGCTTGTCTTCTTCTGCAACAGCTGGGATGATTTTCAGTGTGATGGAGCCTTGTGACTGGGACTGATCAAAAACAAAAACATCAGTGAATAATTGTAAAGAGTATGATGATATGACCCACATCTTTTTCCCATTACCAGAATCTGACTAATTTCCTCTGGCTTTTTGTTGGTTATCAGGTTCCCATTGACCTCTCGCAGCTCATCCCCTATGTGCACCAGCCCTGGAAACACAAACACACAAAAACAAGTCCGCTGAAAAAAAGCCTACCAGCCAAGAAAAATACAGCAAACATAATCCCAGTATGTGGAGTAAAAGTGCTTTTAGAGTTTGAGGCTCAGATATGAACCACAAATCACACAGTTGTCTGTTGGCATGAAGTTGATAACATCTCCATGGCTACAGCCCAAGCAACCCTCATTTGTAATCTGGAAATATGCAATCGTGTGGCACTAATCTCAAGGATTTGTTCTCTGTCGACAGTTCATAGGGGGTTGTACCACTTAATCTTCTCACTTCTCTGTCAGTGTCAGCAGAGATAAGGAAGTCCTGTTGAATAGGAAGTTTTAAGAGAAATAAAAAACATATTGCATTATGGTGTACGACGTTAACACAGTTTGACTCACCACTGCGGTCGGCTGCCCCCCCCCCTCATGATTCTGGCCACGATCACAGCTCCTGTCACCTCGTCTCTGCGGATGGTCGCTCCCTGATGGAAAAGACGAAACGATTAATCAGGCTCGGCTGTATGTCTTCTCCAGTTCACTGAGCCGATACAATCCTCTGGTACACGGTGAAAGACACTCCTCAAGTGCACATTGTTGGCTTTGGCAGGAATGATCAATAACCTGTTAGACTAAGTGCCAAAACAGTGTTACTGAAAGTTTTAGATATCTAGATCACCTCCGTGTCTGTGCTTGATTTCTGCTGGCTACATTCACAAAAGAGGGTTCCTGTTGCATTTTTAAAACCACCAAATAAGGGAAAATAGCAGATGTTTCCGACAGGTTAAATGTATTGCTGTGAGGATTCGTGTATGTTGTATAGCGTTACACAGAGACACACAGCCACACCATGGGGTTTTAAAGCCTTAAAGCTGCCACATTAAATTGAGCTGTTAAAGCCACACTTGAGGGCACAACAATAATAATCGAAGGAAGGGCTCTTATTTAGAAATATCCTCCGGTGTGAGCAGGCCCTCACCAGCGGCTCTTTGTTCTTCACCAGACGCACGATCTTGACCGACTCTTCCTCCAGGTCGTCGTCCACGTCCTCCGGCAGTGGCGGCAGCACCGGGTCGAAGTTCTTTTGGGCCACAGTGTCGTGGGCTGACAGCACCGCCTTATGAAGACAAATGCACAGAAGGTACAACTAGAATCAGAGCAGCTCCGGCTGAAAGCTCAGAAAACCAGCACAATGAGATGATATCAAAAGGGAGACACTGTCGAGCGTACATTACTTCGTGTAAGTGTGAGGAAGAAAACTAATGTGTGTGAGAGTGTACCTTGAGGTGAGGAGTGCTCAGCAGGAGGAGCAACTCTTTCTCATCGCCCTCGAGAGGACCGTTCTGAAGCTCTTCTGCCAGCTGAGGATACGAATGAGAAAAACATTGCTTGAAATATTTCTAAGTGTTGTGCCAAATCTTTTCATTAAACACATTTACTTAAGAAACGTGCATGTGCTGAGATGGATTGTGAATGTTTACTTTCACTTGGTGATGAAAGATTGCACTTACATCCTCGGCCAGACAGGTGGCGCTGTGGAGAACTGGAGTCGGGCTCTGTTTCTCATACTGCTTCAGTTTGTCATGAATCTGGGACGTACAACACACGGAAATATAATCAGATACACACATTTTAGGTTAAAACAAAGCCTGGATTTTCTACCATTATACATGTGAAGAGACACAAGTACTATGCTGTAGAATGTAAGTATGTAGCTTCTGGTAAAATAGTCTAAAACTATATACAGTATATCTATGACAGGTCAAGTCTGGAAGATGCTAGACACACATTCAGATGAATTTGTATTTTGTTTTAAAGGTGTTTAGGTTTTAATGCTAGACCTGACTAGATGTCCCTTTGTCCAACACAGTATCTCAGACATATCTGCTGTACCTTCATGAGGTAACTGAGACTCTTCTCACTGAAGACATTTCTGAGGAAGACCAGGTCCTCTTTGTGGTTGGCGTCAGGGTGGAGCTGAGAGGTGAGCAGGGCCAGGGTCTCATGCAGCCCTGAGTCATACAAAACGGAAAGTTATTTATTAATCCGACATTCAAAAACCCATTCTCAGACAAGAGCTACTGAAAAGATAAGCTTTTATATCATTAGAAAAACAATGAGTAATTGTTCATATTTTCAAATCTGTTTTGCATATTGAATGCATTTGAATCTTCTTTAGGGATCATATGAATATGAGTAGGCATCAAGAACAAAGTTCTTGCTTTGATACGAGTTCATTAAAGTAATATCTTCTTTTGCTAACAGCCGAAAAACAAATGCTGCGTGGATAGACAAATCCAAGTCCTCGTGACACTTCCTGAAATTCAAAACATTTCCTCTTTTGTTTATTTCTCCAACATTTGCGTTTTTTACTTATTTTCCATACTATAGCCAAAGATTTGAGAGAAACTACACATCTAACTTTGATGTATTGAATGTTGTTGGAAGTCGTTTGTGTAAATCTAAAAGATGTGTAAAACTCACAGAAAGGTATTTTAAACTTCTGTTTGGTGCTGATGAAGTTTCTAATAAAAGCATTCTTAATATATTGTCTGTTTAACCCCCCTGGAAAAAAAGCTAGATATTTTAGCACTTGCATTATTTAGAAGCATAAACTGTATATAAAATAGAATCAGTAAGAATGAAAAAACCTTGATCACGTGTCTGAACGTACCTGTGTTTGCAGACACGATGGGCATGGCTTCATCCAGAGGAGGCAGGAGGGTGCAGAGAGGGAGCAGGGGGGGGGAACTAAAGCCGGGGCACGCTCTCCACTCCTCTGTCCTCCACGTACGGCTAATGTGAAAAATCACAGCTGGAAATAGAAAAATAGACACAGAAAATGATTTTTTAAAAGTGGATTCATTTAAGATTTCTCAGAATTTAGGACCCTTTTTTGTTTTTCAAATATTAATCTAAAACTACACAAGGTTGAGTATTTTTGTCAAAACAAATATTTGAAGACAGACCTCTGGTGATGCCGATGGAGAACACATGAGGTTATTCGAATATAGCTCACTTGTAAAGCATATATTTTCTCATTAAGAATGACTTACTTATGTAAACACATCTTGAAAGGGAAGCCGGCCAGCCGTGAGCCATCCATGACTAGCTGCTTTCATTACTGAGCCATGGCACATTCATTTTAAACTGAAGAAAGTGAGGTTATATTACACTCAACCCTTTTGTCCAATAAGATGCTTCAACTCGTTTATCACCATGGCAATCCTGTAGTGCCAAATACTGATGACTCGCTGTTTTCACATTTCAATAGCCTCCCTGAATAGATCAATTAAATGATTGGGTCCCATTATACACTTCAGCGGGTTGGTATTGTGTGCGGTGAAGCATGTAGCTTCGATCTGCCATCAATTTAACATTTCCATTAGGATCTTAGATTTCTGAGATCAGTTGTTTTAGATAAGAGAAGATATATTGATCTGTGAAGGGAAAGGGCCTGTTACTCCAATCCATGTGCATACATTATTATTTAATTTAACAAAAGTACAATAACATTATTCAGTAAAGATATATTGGCACCTTGATGTTTATGTAAACATAGTAATCGTTTTCTGATTTTAGCTTTTACATTTGGAGAATTGACGACCTTTCTTATTACATTACATGTAAGCGACTAACTTCAGTACTGTGGACAATCCCCACAGGAGCCATTTGGGGTGAAGTGTCTCGCCCAGGGACACAACGACATCTTGCTATCCCCTGATTCAAAGTCCAGCACTCTATCCACTGAGCTACAGCCTCCCTTATGGTTGCCATTGTATATTAAATATATTTTGCTGAGGGGTATTTGCCGGACAAAACAAATAATGTGAAGTTGTTATCTTCCAGAAAATTGTGCTCTAATTAAAAAATATATAACTGTATAAGAAGTATGACTTTGCTAGCTTTTTTAATCAGTCTTGTAGGAACGGTCCTTTATTTCAATTACTTGAACAGTTTTAACATCATTTTATTTAAAGCATAATTCCCCTGAGAGGTAACTAGTTTTTGCAGGTGTAATGACATTAACCAATCAAAAGGTAGCTAATATTTGACAGATTAAAGTGAAAAGGTTGCCTTTCTTTGAACGCTGCACATGTTCCACCGCAGCCGGCAGGGTGAAGACTGATCTAGATTTTAATGAACAGTGCGCAGAGTTAATCATGTGAAACAGCAATTTATTCTTCACCTGCTCCAACCCTTGAACTTATTCTGGCGCAGTAATAACACTATAAATCATGTCTTTACCATCTAGTGGCTGATGTTCTGCTCTAGTGATGTTGAGTTCTTATTCCTACAGACATACAATCTATGTCTACACATTTCCTTTTTTTCCAGCCCTCTTTCCAAATGTGAATATTACTTTTGTAAAATAAAGTCTGTTTTCCACCTACCGTCCACATGGTGGTCTGTGTGAAACAAACGGAAAGCGACATTTACTCTGAGATTGAAATAAGAAAACAATTCGGCAGCGTGTTCTGGCTCAGGTTTGACATCTACAATCACCACAAACACGCTTCAGGCCAGAAGTTGGCAATGTAACAATCTGTCAAATGTATTTACTGCTCAAGACAGATGAGTGAACATATCAGCCTGGTGAGTTTCTTATTGTCGATCAGACAGTGATTGTTTTTGGCTGTAGAGGTCTGTCTATGAATACAACACAGCAGTTAAAAAAAAAAAAAAAATACTACTTTTCTTATTTTCAGTAATCCTGTGTCAACATCTTTGCCAAATGTATGAAAAAAGTGATTCACAACTGTCTTACGATAATTACATGCTATTTTCTATGATCAAAATGTCCCCTGATGGGCTGGTAACAACAGAAGAAGCTGCCAAGCGTTTTTCTGATTTGGAAAATAAAAGTGGCTGGAGGGGCAGGATGGCATTCTTCCAAAGTGGCAATTACAATAAACAGTGACAAGTAAAACAATTATTCAATTGTGCATTAGATCGATGAGTGGTTATGAAAATAATCATTGTAAGCTGCTTCGAGGCCATTACACATTGTAATCGACTGTTACTGCAGTCCATCAGCAGCGTGTTGATATTGATAGCACCATAGCAGACATGTGAGATAAAAATTACCTTCCATACGACTTACTGGAAGATGAACGGGTCATAAATCGTATTTTTGCCTTTCGTTCAGCCGCGGTGTCGACAAACAAAATATATATGACTTCAAACTAATTATGATTATGTTTGAATTAGACTTATGTCCCCTGCCTTAACGGTCACCTATTATGCAAAATCCACTTGTTCATGTCTTTTATACATAAACAAGTTTCCCCTCTGTGTGAAGAGATTCTGAAAGTTTCAGGAAAAAAGATTCACTCACTTTTCGTCCTGATCCATTTATATAAAAACCTGTCTGAAAATGAGCTGATCAGATTTTGGCCACTTTATGATGTCATAACGATGTTTTGTCTCGTGTAACCATTAGCCAATCATCAACCAAGGTAACCCCCCCCCCCCCCCCCTTATCACCTGAATCTCCTCCTAGAGCACCATTGTGTTCTTTGTAACCAAATCTCTCTCAGAGGGGCGTGGGGAGGGGCTCCTTATTTTCATCTAAAGTAACAGACAGACAATCAGCACTTTGGAAACAGGGCTGAAACAGAGGGGATTATGGGTAATGCTGCAATGATCTGTTTGGTATTTGGAGTCAAACACTTCAGAGACATGTTTTGTATATATATATATATCTGAGACTTATAATATATTGATGAAAGACAGTATAATAGGGGACCTTTAAAAAGGAAAGCTGTTTTTTGCCATTTGTCGGCCATTGCTCGAACTCCCTCTCTCCATTGAGAGAATGGTCTTCACAACAAAGCTGACAGTTTGTGGTAAATCCCTCGCTGCTCCTGGTGAGCCTCCCTCTCTACACACTTGGCCAGTGTTCCTGACCTTCTTTCTCTCTGCCTTTTCCTCCCTCCATCCGCCTCTCTCTCTCTCTCTCTCTCTAATTACAAGAGGCTGAGAAGAGCTTAAGGCCGGCATCGCTCTGTTTTTTTTATGTCACTCACTGAGTCTAAAATACTTAAGGTTACCACCAGCCATATGGTGGTATTATCTATCCTCTCCTTGAATTAAGACAGCAAAGCTGGCGGGTGTGTGCATCACTGAGGATTTCAGTGAACACAATGAAGCAGATTAGAAAGAAAGATCAGCAGAGAAACTGAAAAGCAGCAAGGACAGCCGGGGCAATACTGAAAAGCATTTACCTTCGCTTTTATAAACAGAAAGAAAATCATTTAAAAATGTACTTTATATCAAGAATAACTCGTCAGCAAATGAAAATGAAGCAATCATTCAAATAATTGATTTGGTAATTGACAGAAAATCTATCTTTTAGAGACATGTGTTCATTATGTATGTTTTCCTTTTTGTTGAGCTCAATTCTGTTACAGTTATAAACAAGGACATTTCAGTAACATTTATAAAAAGACAAGTCAGAAGTTAGTAGTTAGTCCTTGCTGTAAGACATGCCATCATCTTGATTTGAAAAGGAGTACAATATTTTGATTTGTTTTGGAAGAATCGTTGAATTTTTATTCAACTTTGTCAAAAAAGGAACAAGTACATATTTGTGCATACAGACAAATAACTTCTCACTTTTGTTAACATTACAAGAATGGGCACGTCTTTGGTGGAGGTCATGCACAGAGAGGGTGTTTCTCAATGTCGAGTACGCTTGCTTGGTAGCACATGTCTTCCGAGTCACTTGCTTCAGAAGCGAGGCAAGAATCCTTCCTGGCATTCGGAAAACAAAGAGTGGAACAGGCTAGCAAGTGTGCAGGTGTGCGTCATATGAGAGGCCCCGCCTTACATTTTCCGTCACAGATTTGGGGAAATTGGTCCGTGCGCAAAGCATGCAGGATTTTAAGACGCGGAGTCTACATATGTGCAGCCTCGAAATTTCTCACTACGAAGTACGCCGGCCTCTGTAGAATTCCAAGTATGCTGGACATTGGAACAGTCCTTCGGCGGCACTCGATGACGTAGTATGCTTGAAATGGTGGCTCTGGAGCAGCCTTCTTCGACATTGAGAAACACCCTGTCCTTCTAGTTCATTAGTTAGCCTGTCTTTTACATCATTTGCATAAAGATTGTATACAAAATGAATTATTCATGATTTGTTGACTCCAATTGTCAAGTTGATCTTTTTAACCATCTCAGTAACGTCCGTAGGGGAGAGGGAGCTGCTCAAGGAGACGTCAACAAGCAGGCTGTGGCCGTTTCTCAATCTCGAGGACACTGGCTTCCAAGCCAATATTTCAAGGATGCTACGTCATCGAGTGCCGCCGAAGGACTGTTCCAATCTCCAGTATACTTGGAATTCCTCCGAGGCCACGTCCTTGGTTTTGGGGCAAATTTCGAGGCTGCACATGGGTAGACTTCGCGTCCTTAAAATCCCCACAATGCTTTGCGCACGGACCAATTTCAAAAACCAGTGCGGAGAATGGCTGAACCGACGCAGCACACATTTAAATGAAAGTATGTAGTGGCGTAGAACATATGTTGGTAAATATGTTACTTTGTTACATTTGTTTGTTATCACCAATGTGTTCCGTGAAAGTAAAGCAAGTTCATAATTAGATAGACATCGTGAGGTACTTATTTTCGGTACAGTTTATGTTGAAACCATTAGAGAGAGTGGCACACTTGTTAGCCTGTTCCATTCTTCTTCGTTTTCCGAAGCCGTGGCTTGGAAGCATACTTGCTTTGTTTCTGAAGGAAGTGACTTGGAAGTACGCGACTACCAAGCCAGCATCCTCGAGATTGAGAAACGGCCTGATGCATCCTAAACTATTTCCGTCTTTCTCACCTCATGATCTTGTTTACCTTCGGAACATTTCAAAGATTCGTCCCATGCTTTCCCTAGCCGATGCTGAAACTTTAGTCCATGCTCTCGTTTCATCTCGGTTGGACTACTGCAATTCACTTTTCTCCGGGCTACCAAAATTAACAACCGCCAAACTACAACTGGTTCAAAACACAGCTGCCAGGATATTAACCAGAACCAGAACATTTGATCATATCACCCCTGTTCTCATTGCATTGGCTCCTGATTCAAATGAGATCAGACTTCAATATTTTACTGTTAACCTTTAAAATCTTACATGGACTAGCTATCATCATTAATTACCCCACGAATATCTACCAGGCTCCCACGATCACATAATGCCAGTCTCCTTTCCATCCCCAGAATTAAAAAACCATCCGTAGGTGATTGACTCCTTTAAAAGCAAACCCAAAATCTGTTTTCCTTGTCAACTAATTTCCATCACCTATTAGCATCACTTCAGTCACATGCTTTCATCACATGGCAATATTTATGTTGTTGTATAATGTTTTTATAATTTTCATGCCATGACGTTTGTATTTAGTTTTTGTGTTAGCTTTTGTTCGCTTTGTACAGCCCTTTGAGGCCTTATTTGTGATTTGGGGCTATAATAAATGTTGATTTGATTTGATGTACCACTACACATCCTAATGCCTCACCAGCATTGTGATAAAGTAGTAAAGTGTGTTCTCATTGTTTAGTTATTTAATATTATTTCATGTTTTTCCTCATGGGTTTTCCCCTGCTGGTGCTCACATTAGCTGTGCTGGATTATAACAGCGCTTCATATTCACATGTCTCCTCTTATGACTGACAGTAAATCCTCACTGATTGTTCCTTTAATGCTCTGTCTGAGTTTTGAACTTTTTCTCTCTCTGTCTGCCTCGTTGTTATTTTATCCAAACAAATCCTACTATTGAACTAGGCACTGGCACAATCTACAATCACGTCTGCGTAGTACTTTATTTAACAGGCATTGTTTTCGCAGAGCTTCACCTTATGCCACTGTCCTCTCTCTACTCGCACACAAACATGAACGCCACCTGTTTGCCAGACTTGTTTTCTGTTGGACGTCCCGAGAGGGAGCCAGAGAGGGGCGAGGTCATCGACACTCTGCTGATGCCATCTGCCCATCCCCTCTGTGTGTGTGTGTGTGTGTGTGTGTGTGTGTGTGTGTGTGTGTGTGTGTGTGTGTGTGTGTGTGTGTGTGAGAGAGAGAGTGAGGTTGAGTGTGCGTGTGTGAGAGTGTGTCCATCCTTCACCTTTGATGCCACCCACATGTCTGATTCGACATATCTGGATATGACAGATTTCATTCCAATATCCATTTAGGAAAAGCTGTACACTCATAAGTGTATTACTGTAATCTATAGCAACTACCCAAAAGCAGTACAGCCATACAAACATAATGTTCCCTGTGCTCTTTGAAAAATGGAACAGTTTAAGTATTATACGAATATGAAATGTTAGAGAATACATCTCAGAGCTCAAGGTGATATCGTCAATCTTGGGTGTTTAAATAACGTTAAATAAAGTATCGTCAGAATATCATATCATAATGTTTCTTTGGACCCTAATACAATACTTTCTGATATAACAAAACCTGCAACAATAGGACTTTCATTTGATTAAGTTGCGGTTGTTATGGAGACGTGCCATGGGAGTTTCACAAATCAATCTATCCTTACAATCCTACTTACATTTCTTGTTTGAGTTCAACAAAAACTAAACTATATTAAGTTTTAAGGATATATTAAAAAAAGACCCAGAGTCTCTTATTGGCAAAGCCTGGATTTTATTTGGTATGTTTCCACTATTTTTGCTTGATAAAGACGAACACAAAATTACAAATGAGTTGCCTATTTTCCCTTGAAATCCACTAATTGCTTAATCCTAAAGTCTGTCCGTTAACAGCTGTAACTGTGTAGGGTCACAACAAGTACGTTTATCTAATGCTAGCCAGAGAGAGAGTGATTTACTTTTTAATTGTGCTAGAAATAAAATATAATATTGCAGAGGAGGTCAAGAGCAGCTTTATAGAAGCTTATAAGAAAAACATCTCTTCAGTACACCTTCAACTCGCCCACTCACAGCTGGATAAAAAAAAGAATCCCTTCTAGAGATTGAATTTGGCTCTCAGCCTGAGGTGAAAATTGAGTGTCTCATTTCAAGATTTCAACAGCCAAATAGGTTTTTAGGTGGAGGGGGAGGGTCTTGACATGCTCGTTTATAAAATGTCAATCTGGCTTGGAGGGGGGCCAGACTTCAGAGGCTTTTTGACTGATAGCTGATGTTAACTCCCACTAAGCCTATAATGACATGTGTAAATGTACTGGGTGTGACACATGACTGCAAAAAAGTCCTCGTTATAATCAATGAATCCGATTTACTCGCATTAAAAACACCATATTGTTTACCATACTGTATGGGGAAATAAATAACCATAAACAAAATATAAGTTCCTATTCCCTTCCTATCCACTTAAACTCTGTTTAAAAAACCTGTGTATAAACCCTGACCTTCATTGTATTTCTCTGCTCCTCAGCACATCAAAAGGAGCCATAACCATTGAACACAATCCAGCAACAAAGCGTGACCAGATCAATTTATCAGGAGATCAATTAAAAAGGGGCTAGTAAGGTCATTTGTTGTCATTTAATTAGCTCAAACGTCACATTTAAAATGTACTTTACTTGGATATTGCAGTATGTCTTGGTGCATGTCATGACCACAATGGCCTCTTCTACGCCATATATGGAGTCTGCAATCAATCACAGGTGATGCTCAGCCTCATTAACATGCAGCACAGACAGGTTTTACTCGGAATGTAAAAAAAAAGAAACCCTTAGAGAATAAATAACAGAATAGAGGTTTTGGCATTTTCTGTGCTAATTAGTGCTACCTGTGACTGTCTCTGGAGCTGTTAATTTCTCTTTGTCAGAAACACATGAAGTTCAATCATTGCACGTAAAAGCATCCTTACCTTGCTGAGGCTCCTCTCAAATTCCGCGTGCGTTTTTAACCCCACGCCGTCTCTGTTTATATCCCGAGCGTGTTTTCTTTAGTTTCGTTATTTCTCTGTATTTCTGTTTAGTGCCCCTTCAGCTGAGTGGTTTTATTTCTCGGCTCCATCCAGTGTGTCTCTCAATGCGCCGCCCCTTCCCTCCCTCAGTCAGGCTGTGGGTCTGCTGCATTCAGGAGCTCCTCGTAATCTCTAACATCTAAGGTTCCCTGATGGAAATACACTAACACTGCTTGTTGCTGAAGGGGAACATTAGGAGAAAATGTGCGTTTGATAAGGAAGTCCGAAACACTAACGTACAATATAATTTATATTGCTGTGTAAATCTTTGAATAATTGTATTTATGTGTTTAGGGGCTACTTTTTGCCACTTATTATTTTGGTTACATCTGGTTTCAATTGTTGGATATTCTGAAAATAAAAAAGGTTTGTTACTGGTTTTAAAACACGCTACAACTGAGGACTGAACCAAATGTTAAAATAGGGAGATGTAGATTGTATGCAGTCATAATTTTGACTGCATTTTCAAATGTTCCTGGCTCCCATATAAAACAATGAAATGATGGAAAACCAATCACCGTAAATCTTAGGGTATGCTGAAATGGATTAGAAAATGTACATACACAGTAAGGATTCAGCCTTGTTACTGTACATGTTGCATATACAGTCTATGGTTGCATTTCTATCCTTCGTTGTATACAAAATAAAACTCTTTCTGCCCTGACCCTTGTATTCACACTGATACAAAATAAAACACGTTCTCACCATTCAGGAATCATGAAAATCTCATTGTTGGATCATTCGGAGGACTGAGTCTTTGTACTTTCTGGCAGTTCCTGAAGGCAACATAATGTGCACATATGCTGCAAGCTGCACGCCTTTTTGGTCCGCCTCTTTCAAATCCATCCATTGCTATTCATCCCCTCCCTCCATGTCTCCCAGTGAGTGGTACAGTACATGCTTTGGCTGATGGTCAGAGATGTTGAATGAAAAATGGACCACAACATAGAAAAACGCATAATTCACAACTCCCTTTATATGTCTCTCTTTTGTGTTTTCACTTTTCTTTGGACCCTTCTCTCATCTGGTTGGCCTAGTTGTTGCAGCTCAAAGAGACCTTGATGTGTTCAGACATTTGTGACAGTGGGAGATGAACAGAGTCACTGCATTTTCCCTGTGATCACACGATCAAATATTGTCTCTCTGGGTTATTAAAGGGATGATGAGAATGCATTTCATCTTAGCTCAGTGGGTCAGATACAGGATCAGAGCTCAGCATTGTCCTAATGAAAGACTCACTGTCGCACAGAGTAAAAGGGAGATATTGTTATAATTAGGGATTATATCTAAAGGGTTTAAAAAAACGAAGTGATACAGAGTGATGATAAAAGCAGTTTTTTTATTCAACCTTCTCAAAATCAAAATGTACAAAAGGATATAATAAAAACAAATCATAAATACAGACATTACAAGTTTCTATTCATTTATTGAATGAATCTCACATGAAATCATTTAATTCATTTTCTTTCTTTTACAAAATGTTTTGGTTGATTTGTTTTGCGTCCTCCCTCCAAAGGAAATGACGAGTTTTCAGTCCTGAACGCCATCCAGTTTAATCCCTGATGACGAGGTCGAGTCAAATGTCAGAATCTGGTCTTTGCTCCTGTTTAAACATGCAATGCAATGCAATTAGATATATTGTGTCCTGGTTTATGTCACACATTTCATTCATAAGGTCATAAAAGGGCGATTGGAGTGTATAAAAATACATCCTCAGTATTTGAGATTAAATTCATACATTTCTGAGAGAAAATGCTCAATTCTCAAGCAAACACTTCCCATGGCTTTGAAAGGTTGGATCAAACTCATGGCAAAGCAATTATTATTTATTTTACCTACAATGGTCATAATACAGCTTCCAACACATATCAAATGAAATCATCTTGCAAATCTGTTTTGTGAATAGTATCTCACTAAAGTCATGTTACATAATCATTTGAAAGGAAAATATAAACTGTGAACTGCTACTAAGACTGTCACTATGAAGCTTTTCAATGAAAGAGTTGAACAGTGTTAGAGACACTTAATGCCGCCTGTTTAACATCTGTTATTCTGGACTCACAGCGTATGTGGGGTTTTGGAAAGACCCAAAACTCTCATCATCAATGGGTTCCAACAGCTGGAGAAAAGAGAAATAAAAAGCTTCAATAACTCAAAACATAAACAAGCACACATTCACATATAAACATTTCACTGCCTTCCCTTCTACAGTTGGCAAAACAGTAATATAGCTAATTTATTTTAACACTTTTGCCTGCATTAAAACATTCAAAGCATGTAATTATCCATGTTTTCAGAAACTGAGCTGTTTTAGGAAACAGTTTAACATGCGTCTCCATGGTTACCTGTATGCTGGAAGCCGTTTGTTGTGTAGAAGTGACGTCGATATCTTCCACGTCTGAGCCGTATGCCGGGTTCTCAAAAGGCTCCTAAAACAGTAAGGGAAAGTTAAAAGGGTTTAAAGGATTAAACAACAAAATAAAACTCTCTGGGATTTAGTTAGTTGGAACTTAAAACCTAGTCAAAAGGATTAGAGATGTATTGTATAATATATCTGTCTCTCTCTCTGATTTGCCTTTGTTTGGTGTTGCATTTTTACTTGAAACCCTCGTGTTATTATATGTATCTAATTAGTTGTGCAATTAAATTAGTAATGAATGTGAAACAGACCATGTTGACAGTAGGTGTGTTTGCACTTCTCGAGGGCTCGTCCACAACTTTAACTTCCTCCACATACAAAGGGTTCATCACGTTCTCCTGAGGAAGGAAACACAGTATATCATATTTCAAATGATTAAACTCCAAAACCAGAAGTGATTCGCTGCATCGGAGCACAAAGTAATGCTTTTACTGAACGTTTCTCGGTAAAAATCACTTTAATTTGTGAGCAGTAGAGCAAACATGAAAACAGCAGATACAAGAAATACAGCAAGTTAATATTAAAAATATAACATTGCAGCAGTGGGAAAGAATCATAACGAAACAGTCTGTTCTTGATACTACATCCCTTTGGCATATACTCTCAAACTACTGCCATGTAGCATGATATGCAGCCAGCAAGCAAGAGGGGGTATTTGCAGAATCAATGAACTCCACAGGGAGGACTGATTTCTGTTCATCTACCTCGTTTGCAGAGGTAGCTGCCACTGCGCTCGTGGAAGGAGGTTGTTCTTCAACTTGATATGCCGGGTTCTCAAAACTCTTCACGTCTGTTTCCAACATGGACACCAACATACAGGGAACCTGACAACAAACAAGAAGACACAAAAAGTCGATAGTACTAAGCACTTTGTTTATATGAAGAGTTGATAGTCCTTGGTTGCCTCCTGAAACCTGGGTCTGAATAGGAAGCAGGTTTAAATTATTGAGGGCTTTCAGGCTCTGATGGCAGACCTTTATTATCCACATTATCATGACAGAGAGGATATCAGAGGACAGGAGGAATAATGAGAGAATAGTGGATGATTTATGTCCTTCATAAATGTTTCACGCAGTGTTTAAATGTCTCGAATATCATTTATTGTATTTAGGTATCAGATCAGTTTTCCAGGGAGATACTCTGAGTTGATAAAGCTTTAGGCTGCTTTTGTTGCTGCTTTAAAACACGAATACATCAAAAAACCTGTTCAGAATTTATTTATCAACCCTTTTTCATGATTGACTGCTCTGCTACTTACCGCTTCACAATTCAGCCCCGCTTCACTCTCCTCTGTTCTCGATGCATTTGGAGACGCACTATTTCTATAAAAAAGAATTTAAAACACACCGTCTATTCAGCTGAAACAATGCTGTGCGCTACATTGCATACAAACAAACCTTGAAAGTGAATGAGACACTTGTAAAAGAGAACTTAAGAGTAAATAGGAGATTCAAAACATTCTGTATTGAAAGCATATCATTAAACTAGTAGTTAGAAGAAAACTGTGGACATGTAAGGAAACAAATATTTTAGATTTATTAGGTTTCTGACAGAATTAACCTATTGCATCTTTTACAATCTGGCTTCATCTCACCTGAAGCTTGGCAGGTTGGGCATGGACGGCATCAAGGGCATACTGGGCATTGAGGGCATTGAGGGCATACTGGGCATTGAGGGCAGATGGCTGAACAGGCTGGACTTCTTCCTGGCAGCATAGACCAGAGTGACCAGCAGAACCACGATCAATACTGTCACCCCGATCGCTATGCCAACTGAGATCAGACAGAGGAAAGAGCAAAAGGCAGAGTATTAAAATTGAAATAAAGTTAAAGTTTTTAATGTTGTAAGGTTACATTTCTGGCTTTTAAATCAAATATACTTGAGGATGTGACCGCGTCATATTTGTTTTTCTGGCAGTAATCTCCCGTCCACTCTGGAGGACATCTGCGAAAAAACAAAACAAACATTAGAGTTATAACATTTTAATACACTGCGGTAATATACAATACTTATTATTAGTATTGTAAATTCATTAGTATGGAATAGCTGTTTCACATTTATATATTTTGTACACTTTAACTGCTCTACAGTGGACAATATTCATATGTTATCTCAAATTTGACATTGAAAATGCAAAATAAACAGAGTAACTTGATTTCAATTTTGTTCGAGCAATATTTCAGTCGGAATAAAATGACTCTTAGAATTTGAAAGTGTAAAGATTTGACCTTTAAAATTTGCATTATAATTTCCATTCAATCCGTTTTGGCTTCCACATTGAAGACTAACACATTCCTTACTTGCAGAGAGCCTTGTTGTCATCAAAGTAACAGGTGCCTCCATTTTGACACTGACACTGTGGGGGCATGGTGGGCGGGGGATCAAAACCTGAAATAATAATATATATTAAAAACCATCAAACCACTGTTACTACCCCAATGGAGAAAACAAAATACATCATAATATATATAATTTAAATGTCGTAAGGAACGTGACTGAGATTAATATGCTACAGATTTGCCAAAGTATTTATTATTGTTATATTGCTTTAGATTAACTCCTACATGGCATTTGAAACATTATTGAATCCCCCCCTTCTTTAGCTTTCCTGACTTATTTTTTTGATATTGAAATTATAGTTGCAGGAAAAATAATTCAAAGAGAAAATGATTCAAGTTGTATCAATATCACTGCAATTGAGGTATGAGATTCATTCCTGCAACTTCAACACATGATGCCCCATAACTGTAATTCACTGAGTCTTTAATGACCTGCATCACACTCGGTGTGGCTGCCGGGGATGAAGCCGGTCCCCTGGGGGCAGGAGCAGGTGTACCCCCCCGGCCGGAGCAGACACAGGTGGCTGCAGGTTCCCTTACACGGACTCTTCACTGCAGAGACAGGGGGGGGGGGTTGACTCCTTCATTTCAACAAGTTGAAGTGCATGACTCACATGTTTTTCAATAGTAATCAGAAATAGACATGTGAGAGGTATGATATCAATGCAGTGAGCAGGATTCTGCTTTCTCCTTCCTTCACGAATGTTGTCATTACTGCGAGGATTTCTTCACTTTTTTCTGTCAATCATGGTTGACTTTCTTCCTAATCTTCATCTTGAACTGTGTAGAAATACCAGGTTTAAAAAACATGAAAAAACATGCAAAAATGTACACGTCATGAATATGAATCATTAATAAAGCTCAAAACTATTTGGTACAGCCCCATCATGATGTCTAACAGAATACAAACATAATATATTAGTCAATACAAACATGAAAATAAACAATTATTAGTTTTATAGATACAAAAATACAAACATGATCCTTTCAGGTATGTACGGCAAACTAAACAACATATGCACATTATAGTCTGTAATACAGCACAGTATGTGCTACTGTGTGTGAACATGTGAGTGTAGCTTACTATCTAGAGAGTTGTATCTCTGCTGCTGGTACACAGAGACCTGGGTCAGCCACGGCCCCCCGGTCAGAAGCTTGGTTTTTGATCCGCGGCCAAATTTGTCCTGCCGAAACACCTCGCCTTTCTCCTGAGTGCTCCAATAAACGTGATCCTCGAACACACTCACGCTGAAGGGGTTCCTCACATCTAGAGGAGGAGAAACAAAATGTGTAAACCTTACAGTCTCACACACAACAACTCATGTTCGCTTCCTTCCTCATCCTCATCCTCATCCTCACCGATGTAGACGGCAGTTCTGCGTCCCTCTCCTGAGGGCAGAACAGACTCTATGCGGCTCTCCTTGGAGTCAGACCAGTAGACTCTGTCGCCGTTGGTGAAGTCGATTGACAGACCAGTCGGCCAACCCAGGCCGTCGCTCACCAGGACTTTCCTCTCCTGCCCATCCAGCCAGGAGCACTCGATCTTGGCAGCTTCCCCACGGTCTGCCCAGTACAACATCCTGCAGAAACAGAGCAGAGGTTAGATATCTGCGCTCTGAGATAAGGTGCATTAAGGTGTGTCTTCCTTTAAGGTCTTTCATGGAAAAAATCTTCTGTTGCATTATGAACCATCCAGACATTTCAGTTTGTCTGGGACAGGTGACCTTTAGCAAACTAAAGTCCCACCCCAGTCGTGGGTTGACGGCCACAGCAGACGGATGTCCCAGATCAGTCTTGACTAGTTGTTTTCTGTAGCGTCCGTCCAACATGGCCACCTCTAACCTCTTCACCCTGGAGTCTGCCCAGTAGAGGTTCCTACAGGCAGAAAAATAACTACTCACAACATATGTCTTTTTATCAAGAGTGTTCTTTCTTTATGAAAACAAGGACCTTTATCACTGGTATGAGTATTTTGACTTTAGGGACATCACCTAAACTTAAAAAAGCTTAATTTGTTGATTTGATTGAAGGTTTTTATGTATCACATTCGTGTAAATAAAATAAATAAATAATTGAAATGATCAAGCGCAAGGCATCAGACTGAAGGACTGTGATCAGATAAATTCAGACGCACCTGCCCACCCAGTCCACAGCGATGCCGTCTGGTGTGGTGATGTATTTGATGCCGAGGTCGACAGCAGCACCGATGTTGTTGCTGCCATCGTCCACTGAGGGGATGTACGCTCTCTTAATGGCCCCCGCTGCAGAGTCCTTACCGGCTACAGTGAAGTACACCATACCTGAAGAGACAAAAGGTCACCATCAAACAATTTAAGATTTGTCATTAATGTTTTTTGAGCGTTTTATGCAGTTTTAATCTGTGTGTAACCCACTGAGTCCGGTGTCGTTGTGGTCCCAGTCGTAGTCCAGAGCCATGATGTGCTCCTCTTCTCGGAGGAAGTCGTGGTAGGCCTCCGTCTGCAGGTTGAACCTCCGGATACGAATGTTCTCCGGAAGAAGCAGCAGGGGGGTCGTTCCTGAGGCACACAGACATTTATATTTATAATTTATGAAAAAGTGGGAGCAGAAACAACTTGTATTTTTCTTTATATTTACCCATCTATTTATTTCTCTCCACTAATCCACCTCTTCCCACATTTCCATCTGGTCACAGTTTGACACACTTACACAACACACTTACATGCATAAAAACACTTACAATACACCCACTAACCACTGATAAATCTAGCATGGCTAAAGAAGTTTCATATGTCTTACTTGTGTTAATGTCTGTATATTTCATTCCATCGTTATTAGTCAAATGTATCACTTCTTTGTACTGTGACAAATTAGAAATAGAAACATAAATAAAAATGTCTTGCTCACCCTCAGCCTCGCACATGTTTCCGTTGCCCACTTTCCGGTAGCCTTGGGAACACTCACAGTCGTAGCCACCCTTGGTGTTCTTACAGACCTGAGGGCAGGTGCCGAACACCTCACACTCATCGATGTCTGCAGCAGAGAGAAGAGATTGTGAGAGTTCAAGTTTTTCACTGTTTGGCACATATGGTTTTTAACTGGAATGATGAAACTTTATTAAACATTCATATTTGTATGAGTTTTGACAGCAGAATCCTCTGTGTGCAGTCAGAATCAGATTATTAGTCGCACAGAGGGCACATTTACATTGTTACAGCAGAAAAGAGCCAAAGACAGCTTAATGTTACCTAAGAAGCATGCATACAAAAGTATTAAAGATTCAAATTAGAATTAAGAAAAAGGTTACACAATTTACAAAATACACATCCTTTAACAGTTCTGAGGATTTGGCAGCCAGGTATATATTGCAGTTATTAACGGCACATATATATATTGCACGTATTGCACATATTGCACATAGTTGGTTGGTATTTAACAACAAGGGGTGTTATAGTCTGTGTTGTTGTGTGTGGGGGGGGGGGGGGTCTACTAGGGGCCATGGTGGTTATATAGTCTGACCGCTGCAGGACGGAAGGACCTGCGGTATCTCTCCGTGAGAAAGTGGGTGTTTCTCAATGTCGAGTACGCTTGCTTTGTAGCACATGTTTTCCGAGTCACTTGCTTCAGAAGCGAGGCAAGAATCCTTCCTGGCATTCGGAAAACAAAGAGTGGAACAGGCGAGCAAGTGTGCAGGTGTGCGTCATATGAGAGGCCCCTCCTTACATTTTCCGCCACATATTTTGGGAAATTGGTCCGTGCGCAAAGCATTGTGGGGATTTTAAGACGCGGAGTCTACACATGTGCAGCCTCGAAATGTCTTGCTACGAAGTACGCCGGGCTCGGTAGAATTCCAAGTATGCTGGACATCGGAACAGTCCTTCGGCGGCACTCGATGACATAGTATGCTTGAAATAGTGGCTCTGGAGCAGCTTTACTCGCTATTGAGAAACACCCACTGTGTGTATAAGTTCAATAACAGCAGGAGGATTCCAAAAGAGTGTGTGTGTGTGTGTGTACCCATGCAGGTGTAGGTGCTGACTGGGTCCACGGTGTATCCGGGCCGGCAGGAGCAGATGAAGCCGGTGCCGTTCAGGTTGGTGCACTCGTGCTGGCACAGCTTCTCATCACAGTTGCGATCGTGGCCAAAATCTGAAGCCAAACAACACAGAGCGGAGAAACTCAGACACATTTAAAAAAAAGATTTAGTCTCTAATGTAGGAGACGCTTACTTTTGATGAAATACAACAATGGCTTTGTTAACATAATCAGATTACTGCCTCGACTCCAGGTCCCAATTATTCCCTGCACCATCATGTATACTTCAATAAATGATCTCAAAGGATATTTACGTCCTCTGGTGGTGTTCTGACATGGCTGCCTCAGAGTTTTGCTTTAACTGTGATTTTCTGTCTTAAATTATGTTTATTTTTAAGAAGCTGACATCTAACAGGTTTAAGAAAAGAGACAATTATCCTATAGTTACGCATTCCATTTCCATTCATCATCATTATAAGAACATTTTTCGAATAATACGAAAGGGTTCTTAATAACAAGAATCTTATCTTATAATTACAAGATCTCTTTTCCTCATTATTTGACACTGCATGAAAAGTTATTATTATAAGAAAACAAGATTTTACTTGGAGAATTCAATGCGCTAACTTAAAAGATTGCATGTCCAAATCATTGAATAATATCAAGAAAAATATCTCATATTTATACAACATGTGCGTCATCTTTTTCTTGTAATTATATAATTCTATATATAATGTGATCTGCTATTATCTGTGCACATAATGTAGCTATTCTTGTGTTTTTAAATATTGAATAAAACATGCTGGATGCAGATATCTGTAACTTGGAAACATTATGAAATCACGGCAAGGTCACACTTGATAGCATCGTGTAATAACCACTATTGAAAAAGAGGATATTTATAGTCGGTGTGTTGTCGTGCTACTCACTGCAGCCTAATTCATCGGTGCGGTCTCCACAGTTGTCGTTGTGGTCACAGACGTACGGCAGGGCCACACAGTGTCCGTTGGTGCATTTAAACTCTTCCAAAGTGCAGGGTGGCAGCGTGGGCTCGCGGCCTGAGAAGGACACAGTTAGAATGAGTCATCAACACAAGTACGCAGGAAGGTTGAGTGGGTACTAAACCATCTGTAGAAACACGTCCACCTCCACTAGTTTTACATTTAATTCAGAGCTTTTTCTATACTCTTCAACTGTGTATATAGCCAAAAGAAGATGGATAAAGTGTGTGAAAATTGGACTCCCACATACTATATTTTCACTATTCAATTTAAGGCTTGTTTACAGCTCCTACTGCGAAACAACAAATGGCTTTAGACGAGCTAGCTTGTTGTCCACCTGCACTCCGAGCACAACTATTTAATCCCCTCTCAAAATAATTTGCTGTGATGATGTTTAAGCTGATTGTGCAACAATTCCATAATACAGACTTGTTCCTTATCCCTTGTATGTTTCAGGCTTTGTGTGCCGTGCATACACACTGATGTCATTTTGGGATTTCCCATTTCATTGGCATAAAGGAGCGAGGTTCAGGAGGCATTAGTGATGTCCTCACTAATCCACGGGGCTCCCAGAAACTGATGATTAGTGGTGCACTTGCTCGACCTGAATTTATTACAAATCTGGTTATGGCTATGTTAAAAAAAATAAAGAATAATAACAATGACGGCTGTAAAACCTAATTGATTACATGCAGAGGCACAGTGTGCTCAGTGTGTGTGCACATTTTAGGTTCTGCTTGTTACTGTGTTTTAACATCTCTTTGCCTTAAACTTCGATCATTAAATGTAATAGTAACACCAAATGTCTACATGAATACTTTGTTGTGCATCTCTTGCCTGTATATAATAGCTACCTGTTCCCTAGGGATACATTATGTTTTATCTTATCAAGTTGTATTATATGTATGATATTTTTGTCTATTTGTCTCATTATCTGTATATTTGTTTGAAATGTAATAAGGTACAATAGTCATTCTTGAAACTGTGTGTAATTTTGTGAAATGACAACATTTGAAGATTCCATCTTTAGTGCTTTTGTTTGATTACATTTGAGTTCTGCCACATTTAAAGTGGAAACAAAAAAAAGCAATCACAATTGGTTAATGGCAATGTTTCCATTCCAAACTGCCCTGATGAACTCTGTATGCTTTTATGTGATTGTATGTGATGTGCGTGGGTCATACAGAGTTCTTCCTTCTCGTCGCTGCCGTCCCCACAGTCGTCCTTCTGGTTGCACATCAAACCGGAGTAGAGGCAGTAGCCGTTTGCACAGCGGAACCTGAACGGCAGCTCGCAGGTGACGTTCACTGTAACATATACAACACAAGTATGAGTTAAGACCAACCTCTGCCAGAACATATTATTAAAACACACAGCTATTTGGAATCATGTTTGCTTTTGAATTCTGCAGCTGTCTTGTCTTGATATCTTTGTTGAATTAGGTATAAATTGTATTAAACAGGGGAGAGCAGTTGCAAAGAAAAACAGTTTGCTTTTACCTGCTCATGTATGAAACTATTAATATGAGGATTAGGAAAATATGCTCAATCCTTTATATAAACATTAGGATTAGGGTTAGAATTGTGGTGTACCTGAAAAATGCCTTAGGGTAGTTGATCAAACAACAAGAAATACAGAGAAAATACTTTTTCACAGGGCTTATATATATATATATATATAAATAAAATGAAGGAAAGATTTCTCACAGCATAAAGTGAGCTGTTCGTCGGAGCGGTCCCCGCAGTCATCTACTCCGTCACACACCCAGCTCTGGCTCACACACAGACGGTTCGCACACTGGAACTCACTCTGAGGACACCAACGGCCTCCTGGGTAACGAGTAGCTTTGGAGTAGGGAAAAATTATAAATGAACAGATTAACAATCTACAAATGACACCATTGGTAATCTCTTTTTCTGTTTTTGCTACGCCACTCATTGCTCTCGTTCAAACAGTCACACCCAAAAGCTGCGAAGTACAACCAGAGTCTTGGTTATGGTAACATTTGACTCATTATATTCTGGGATCAGGGTTGTGACACTCCACGCCAAGCCACAGTTTCAACAGAAAGATGTGAATGTACGCCTTTTTTTGGGGAGCCTGTTTGACTTTATTAGATTGTGGAAACTAAAAATATGACAAGAATCAAGATGGAGAAAGGAAATTGGAGTGACAAAGGCTCCTTGCCAAACTTGAAATAGGAACATTGTTATTGATGTTCGATAGCTTAAATCATCCCCAGACCAAGTCTTATGGGTGCTTATAATGTACTTTTTTGGTGTTGTTCACTATCAAATTCAAATTTAGATAGAACTGTTAAACTGCTGACAGTCTGCCGCCTATTTGTTTGTTATGTTTTTTCTACTGTATATTTCTGCATATTTTAGAAATGTTAATTAAAATGTATTAATACTAAGGGTATGCAGATACCTCATACACACCCACTAAAAACAACAACAAAACACACATGCACTCAAACGCTGCAGGAGCCAGGCACTCTGCCATTACTCTTCTTGTTTCTACTCACGACAGCTGGTCTCATCCGACAGGTCCTGGCAGTCGGGGCCGGCCGTCACACTGCAGAGCGGCGGGGACACAGTGACCCGAGTCACACTGGAAGGATCCTGGGCGACACGTCTGCAACTCTGGAGGAGAGCCAGGATGGTAACGAGTGTTATTTATGACAGAGAATATTTCATTTCATTTTTTTTGTGTGCAACGCCTGCTCACCACAGTCCCGTTCATCCGAGTTGTCCCCACAGTCGTTGTCATGGTCACAGACCCAGTTTCCAGGAATGCACTGTCCGTCGTCACATCGATGCTCACTCTCAGAGCAAGGCCTCGGCTCTATGGACCAGAATCACAATAACAGAGACACATATTTTGAGTATGAAATCCTACTAGTAAAGTCCTACTGGTCATGCATAATCTACACAGGCTGATACTAAAGCAAGTTTTTTAAGGAGGGAGGTTAAGTCATCATTAAGGAAAGGTTTATCAGTACAAGTTTGCAACTGCCAGATTGTTTCACACCCCACAAATACATGAGGAAAATATAACCCCTGAGGGAAACAGGATTCTTTCTGGGTTGGGATGGATTTGGCTATAAGACATAGCGTATGACACTCACGGCAGTTCCTTTCATCTGAGCCGTCCCCACAGTCGTCGCTGCCGTCACACTGCCAGCGGATGGGGACACAGCGGTGGTTGTCACATCGGAAATCTCCCAGAGGATCACAGGTCACCTCCTCTGTTGGCAAACAAAATCAGACACAGAATGACTGATTATTCTGTAGTCAATAAGAAAAAAAAAAAAAAAGTGAGCCCATGATTAAAACTCAAGATATGCTGTTGCAACACACATACAATCTGATGTGCATAGTGCAAAGTGGTGTGTTAAGATCCTACATCACCTACAGCTTGTGGTCGTCTCCAATAGACTCTTGCCTTTAGCTTTAACTATCTCCTTTGTTGTAAAGCAATATCCAATGTTTTTTGTGCCTTGCTAATTAAATGCAGCTGTGGAAACATTATGTTGTTTCCTGTTTGCTTTTTCTAACAGCACAGTGAATAGCTTTTCCACATTTCTGTTCATCCTCAAGAAACTCTATAAGGATTATAGACATCAAATGTAAACATAAAACATATAAAGTAATAAACGGTACTGTATTGCAAAATATGATTTTCTTCAACTGGACTTCGTTACAGCCCTACAACATGACATAAACCCTCTGCTGCCACACTGACCGCAGCCCTGCTCGTCGCTGTTGTCGATGCAGTCGTTGGTGCCGTCGCAGCGAGCCCACTGAGGGACACAGCGGTAGTTTGTCTTACAGGAGAACTCAGTGTCCGCATCACACTTGTAGTCCGGACCCACTGGGGGAAGAAAGACAAAAAGAGAGATGAGAAATTGAGAAATTGTAATTAAACAAAAATATTAGTAAGTAACAAGAACGTAAGAGATGAGAAGTTGTGAGCAAGACAGCGAGAGAAGAAGGATTAAAAGGGAAAGCTCTGAGTAACTTATTTATTATATGAAAGTTAATAATGATACAACATGGTTTGGGAGAAGAAAACAAAGTACATTCACTGAAATGTTCAATATAATCTGATGACAAAAAAACAAGTTTAATTGACTCAAACTATACTATGGAGGTTGACTACATCAAATAAAACTAACAATGACTTTTGAAGTAGATAACATAATAATAGCTGATAAAGTGAACCCTGATTCACCAACACCACCATCTCCTGATGTCCCACTTACTGCAGGTTTCATACGGCTCATCAGATCCGTCCCCACAGTCGTCCTGGGCGTCGCACACGTAGCTGGACGGCAGACAGCGTCCGTTAGCACACTGGAACTGTCCCGGTGTGCAGGTCCTCTGGGAGCACATGTCTGCGTCTTCGTCGCTGCCGTCTCCACAGTCATTCACTCCGTCGCAGTGCCAGGAGACTGGGATGCACTTCTTGTTCTTACACTGGAACTGGTTTTCCTGGCATCGGTGGTCACCTGAGAGGATAGAAAGCAGCTTGACTCATGTTTGAAATGTTAAGGTAAATCCAAAATGAACAAATTGCCTTAGCTAAGTCTTAGTGGCTATGTTTGATTTTAAGTGATTTCTTTAACTAATAAATGTTGTTTTTCAGAATTTGAGCCAAAATGTCACCTTATCTAAATCCAGTGAAGTTGACCTAAAATGTCAGCGTAAAAGACCTTCAAATTAAACTATCTATATGGTTTCCCACAATGGTGCAGTTGATTACAGTTGCTATTATTATCATCCCTATTTTTATGATTGTTTACGTACTGCAGAGAGCTGCATCCTCATCTGAGCTGTCAGGGCAGTCGGAGTGGCCGTCGCAGAGGAAGCCGGGGTAGGTGCAGTTTCCATCCTGACACTGGAACTGGCCGATGGGGCAGATTCGAGGCGGGCAGGTCTGAGGTTCATCTGAGCCGTCACCACAATCTGACTGGCCGTCACACTTCCACCATATAGAAACACACCTAGGGACCAGAGAGAGCACACACTGGTTACCTCACAGAATATAAGTGTAAAATGATCTAATCTCTTCTACAGCCTTTTACTCTTTTGTTTGTACCTTATCTGCTTTGTTCATATGATACAGTTTTCTAGTTTTTCAGCTCTTATTTTTTAATATATCTATATATATTTAAGTAATACTGCATAAACACCAGAGAGAGTGATGAAAATAATCCAGCGCTTTAAAGGATTGAATTGAAAATGTTCTACAATATTCATCATTTGTACAATTCCCCAAACTTTAAAGCTCGGCAAATGATCACTTTCATCACTTTTCAAAGACTGGCTAGATGAATGGCATTCTGATGACTGTGAAGTATCAGCTGATTATTTATCTGACTGACTTCTCGTTGTCCCCGCATCTGAACTGCGTGCTTGAGCAGTCGGCGACACACTGGATCTTGAAGCCCACAGCGAGGCCGATGAAGTGATCTGGACACTGGCAGGTAGCTCTCTCCCCGCCGGGGGCAACCAGACACAGGTGACTGCAGGTCAGGTAATGGGAGGAGCAGGGGTTTTCACCTGGGAAATAGGTTGATTAAACATATTTGTCAATTCGGCAGTCTATGGAGACAATAGGAATACAACCTGCTGTTCAAATGTACGTACTGCGAGGCTGCCTGTAGGGGTGGGAGACGCGGATGTCATAGGGCCGATGCGTGTTGTTGCCCATGATTGTGCGCTGCTCTCCTGTGTACTTGTGAGCCTTCTCCACTGTGTGTGTGTTCCAGTCCGTCCAGTAGACCCAGTCCTCAAACAGGGAAGCAGCAAAGACATGAGGAAGTGTACCAGCAATGGCCCGGTGGCGGTTCTTGCCGTCCATGTCGGCAAAACTGAAGGTGGACACAGTGGAGGGTTAATACACGATGAAAGAATGATATCTATATTATCGAGTATCGATGATACTATTATACAGGAAACACTTCGGGAACTATTTCAGATCCCCATTTAAGCATATCTGATGGAAACTCATAATAATCTTGTGTCTGAACTTCTACACTCACTCCAGAAAGTTCAGGTGGGAATCAGCGAAGAAGATCTTGTTGGTGGTGTAATCGATGGTCAGAGCGTTGGGCCACTCCAGCTTGGTTGTGATGATGGCACTGATGTTGCTTCCATCCATGCCGACTCTGCCGATATATGCTGTGTCACCCCAGTCAGTCCAGTACAGCCATCTAGGAAAAAAGGGGAAATTGTTGGGGGAATGTCGCTATTATAAATCTTCAGTAAAAAGCAATTAGCTAGTGTTATCTAATATGAAGAGGCGTTTTATTACCTTTCCTATCATCGACGGTATAAGATGAGATAGACAATGTGCACTAAATGCTTACTATTAGATATTTCTAGGGGTTTAAAAAGTCTTAAATGGTGGCACAAACCTCTGTTAATCTAAAAAGTAAAGTTACAGTTGTTTAATGTTCTTATTGATTATTCTATAAGAGCTAAACAATAAATACACAAAAACACGGTCTGAATGGAATCGTATAGTGTGTAACACCCCAAGGTTTTTCCATTTGTTTTGCGATATTACATATCAACTGAGTGTGTGTGTGTGTGTGTGTGTGTGTGTGTGTGTGTGTGTGTGTGTGTGTGTGTGTGTGTGTGTGTGTGTGTGTGTGTGTGTTAGTACCCATATTTCGGGTTAACAGCCACAGCACGAGGTCGGCTGATGAGATAAGTCGTATTTCCTTCTGTGAATTCTCCTGACAGCAGTCTCTTCTGGTAGCGCCCATCCAGCTCCATCACATGAACCGATCCGTAATAACCGTCCACCCAGTACAACTTCCTGCAACATACAAAACGCTTTTACTGATCAACCAGACAGATTAAATACTAAAAACAGTGTTAGATATTAAAAGAAGAAGAAAATGAGCAAAAATTCTCCTGCAGATATGAAGATGTTTTTTTAAATCAAATTTGCACTGGTTATTTCTTAATAAGGTATCTAAACAGTGATTCAAAAAGTCAGCTTAATGAATGATATTCCATCCATTTCACACACCTGCCCACCCAGTCCAGCGCCAGGCCTTCAACTCCTCTTGCATCGTCTTTCACCGTCTCCCTGTCAGTCCCGTCAAAACGCATCCTCTCAATCTTCCCCGTCCCCGCGTCCACCCAATAAAGCCTCTTCTCTTGGTCGTCAAAATCTAAAGCCACTACATTGGAGAGCCCCTGGAGGACGATACTCAGATGTGACCCATCGGTGGTTATATTTCGGATGTAGTAGCGGTTGCTGTACAACAGGTAGGGCGCAATGCCACTGTTCTGACGACAGGTGCGTCCGTCCGGTTCACGGAGGTACCCCGGGGCACATTTGCAGTGGTACGACCCGACAGTGTTCTCGCAGATCTGGCTGCAGACGGCGGGTGTGCTGGTACACTCATCGAGGTCCTCGCACGCTTTGCCATCGGGCATGAGTCGGTAGCCGGCGTTGCAGGAGCAGTAGAACCCGGTGAGGGTGTCGGTGCACAGCTGCGCACACTTGTGGACTGACGGGCTACGGCACTCATTGATTCCTGAACAGAACGAGGAATAAGGGTGATTTGGAGGAAAGACAGGAAAACAGATTTATGAGTTCAAAGACCTCAATGTAATTTTAAATGAGTAACAAGGATTTTTCACAGATGAATATAACAATAAATCAATTAATGGATTGACAAAAAATGATATACAAATGTGGAAATGTATTGAACTTTTATGTTATTCATAAATAAATATTTCCTGTTTTATCTTTGCTGGAATATGTACTCTTATCTATATAAACGTGTTCAAGTAGAAACCCAATGTGCTAGCTATAAATTGTATATGGTGTTAACCTGAAAATGTGCACATTATGTCCCATTTAAGTTCTTGTGTATATTCATATAATATTGGAAATGGGATATTTCTTCTATTGATTCAACTTAGTTCAAGAAGCACACTTTTCGTAAAATATGGTGATTTCTGAAAAAGAGAGGCAATATTTCGGGTCATAAAGCACCCAACTACACAAAGATTTCAGGATTGTGCATAACCTTTTTTTGTCTCCACTGAAATAAAAACATTTATACAACTCTATGGTGGTGAGGGATTTTCTTTAAACCAAATACACTGTCTCGTTGTGGGAGAGAAATGCTGTTTTTCCTCTTTCATCACTTCACATCCCTTTTGTCACATGACGCCACATTTCTCTCACCGCATCCTTTCTCGTCGCTGTTGTCCTGGCAGTCCTTCTGTCCGTCGCACACCTTGTTGATGTCGATACACTCTCCTGACTTGCACATGTACTGCGTGGGAGCACAGGTGGGCTGGGTCGTGACGCACAAGCTGTCGGCCTCATCCGAGCCGTCCATGCAGTCGCTCTCCCCGTCGCAGGCGAAGGAGGCGGGGGTGCAGGCGCCGTTACTGCAGGTGAACTCGCTGCTGCTGCAGGTGTCATAGCTACAGCCCAACTCATCACTGCCGTCCCCGCAGTCATTCACACGGTCGCAGCTGGGGAGGAGATGAGGAGGGAATTAGATTTCGGACCGGTAAACGAATGTCTATTTGTATTCTCTCACACAATTCATACTTACTGGTAGGGGAGGAAGATGCAGAGCCCGTTGGAACAGACAAACTCATTCATGTGGCAGGTGCGGTTGGGGCAGTTCTGGAGCTCATCGGCCGCGTTGGCGCAGTCTTTGTCCCCATCACACACAAAGCTTAACGGCACACAGCGCGGGTAGCCGGGGAACCAGGTCAGACAGGTGAACTGGTCCGAACTGCAGGTGCGTTGGCCTGGAGTGGGTGAGGATGAGAGGGGTCAACAGGGAAAAGAAGAACTAAGTAATACCAAAAAAGTCACACATTTAGACATTACAAATGTGTCGAGGAGGCATTTATTTTGCTGAAATATTTTCTAGCTTTTAACCCAGATTCCCACTTGAATCCTCACACAGTGAAATGAATAAATGACTCACCGCACTGTAGCTCTGGAGCCTCGTCACTGTCGTCCCAGCAGTCGTTGTTGCCATCGCAGATCAATAACTGGGGGATGCAGTTTCCATTTGTACAGGTGAACTGGCTTGGGCCGCATGTTTTGATTTGATCCTCTGTATTGCATCGAAAAAAGAAAAAATATTTTTAAGATGCATTTAGAGACTACAATTACAGACCAGTTATCAGCAAAAAAAGCTGAACTTTATGATTTGAACTACAAAGTCTTAAATGCCAACATTTAAAATGTAAATGCAGAGAACTCACTGCAGGAAAGAGGTTCATCTGTCCCGTCATTGCAGTCTCGGACGGAATCACACACCCAAAAGTCTGGGATACACTTCCCTCCATCGCAGCTGAACTGATCCGGAGAGCATGTGCGACCCGCTGAAGAACAGGAACACAGATTCGCACAAATACCCTTGAGTTTTATTCCCATAGGTGAAACATGTCTGTGAGTGATACTATTCTTTCCAGCATGCAGTATTGAACTTACCGCAGAAGAGAGGATTCTCATCGCTGTTGTCTCCACAGTTGTTGTAGCCATCACACAGGTTCTCAGGGTAGATGCAGATGTTGTTGCGTTCACACTTGATCTGCCCTGCAGGACACGTCCTGTCAGCTGGAGAGAGCAAAGATCAAAACATCAACCACAGGATCAAAAACACATTATTACTTCTTTAGCAGCACAGAATCCCACCTGGAAGGAGAATATTGCTTGTGCAGTGGAACAAATGACATTAGAAGAACAATTTCATAAACATTTTCCAATCTTTGAATGTCCTATTTTCCACCGTTATGAATTATGAGGTCACTCACGGCAGTCGATCTCGTCGGAGGTGGTGTTGTCTCGGCAGTCGTTGTGTCCGTCACAGACAAAGGCTGCACTGATGCAGCGCCCGTTGGTGCAGGTGAACTCTGTGGAGGGGTTACATGTGGGGAAGGGGCACCCTCGTTCGTCACTGTTGTCCCCACAGTCGTCCGTGTAGTCACAGGCGTAGCTCATCGGCACGCAGCGGCCATTGTCACAGGTGAAGTCCATGGCGGAGCAGGTGTGGAAGGCTGAGCAGGAGGAGCAACAGAAAACAGTCTCAAATGTATGTGTGTTTTATAACAACAACATAATGTGTGTGTCCCTTTTCCCAAGTTGACATTGTGTGGCACATTTTATACCTTATAGGGTTAAACGGACAAAAATCATCAGTGTCTAATTAACATGTTTTTCAGTCTGCATGCTTATTTGGTTTGGATTGGAACCATTACATTTTTCAGTCAGATTAAACCTCTTCTCTCACCACACACTCTCTCCAGCTCATCTGAGTTATCGTAGCAGTCGTTGTCGCCGTCACACTTCCAGCGCGCTGAGATGCAGTCACCGCTGAGACAGGTGAACTGCTCTGGCTCGCAGCGTTTCCCCGTGTCTTTGATACAGTCTTTGCCGTTGTTGGCCAGGTACCACTTCCCCTCATGAGGACACTGGCACTCAGGGCCCAGTGGACCTGCAGGAGAGATTATGGGAGGTGAGGGAATTTGATAATGTGGAGGAAAGGAAGGGAACACAGAGATAATCTGTCTTTTTAATTAACGTACTGTGAGTACAAAGAGGTTTTATTAAGGATGTTCAGAACTTTCTCCACTTGCTTTAAGCTCACTTTAAAAACAAAACAAAACACTTATCTGAGTGGTGTCAATCATGGTAACAGATCTATGTTTTTTGGAAGATTTTACTGTTAAAATGTATTCAGTTTTGTTAGCCTGAATTACAGGCAGAAAAAAAAACGATGAGTCTAATGGATACAATAACTGTCCCCAGCAGGATATGAAACTACAGTATTAGAGGGGCTTTGGTGCCTTGTTTAGTAGTCTGCTCTTACCAGAAACACAGATATTGCTGCAGCCTCCGTTGAACTGCTGACAGGAGCTGTTGCAGCTCTCCTGCGTCGACGCGGAATAAACATGGATGTCGTTTGGTCGGTACTGCATGTCCTGGGCCAGCACTGCAAAGTCAGAGCCATCGTCCTTCCCTGCCCTAAAGACGGCTCTCTCAGTCCAGTCGGTCCAGAAGATATCCTGTTTGAAGACGGTCATGGCGTATGGGTACTGGGCCCCCTGTACGATCACTTGTCGGTTCTTCCCAGTCAGAGTGGCCCTCTCAATTTTGTCTCTGTAGCAAAAGGGAGTAAAGGAGCGTTGTCAAACATTATGAGCAGTATAGGATCTACTGCAACAGTAAATGTAAACAAAACTGGACTTACAATGAGGAGTCAGCCCAGTAGAGCATCCTCTCCTCGTAATCCAGAGACAGGCCGTTGGGCGTGGACAGGCTGGTGTTGATGATGGAGGTCTGGAAGTTTCCCCCCAGTGTGGCCCTCTCAATCTTAGCTGGATAGCCCCAGTCAGTCCAGTACAGGTAGCTGGGCAGAAAGAGCAGCGTGAGAAGGGAGGAGGGGAGCTTCATAGTCTAATGTGTAGACCTTTAGTAGTAAAGTAATGGACTGTGGCTCTTACCCGTAGCAGGGGTCAACAATGATGCCTCTGGGACGGTTTGCATGGGCAATGATTGAGCGGTTCATCCCATCCACCCCCATAGATTGGACAGTGCGGCTGTAGTAGTCAGTGAAGTAGAGACGCTTGTTGACCCAATCATACGCCAATCCCTCTGGGTCATCCAAATCTGAGCAGAGTATCAGAGAGCAGAGGATGATAAATAAAGAGAAAAACACAAGGATAAGATCATGAAGGGAAACAGAAAAAGTGATGTGGGAGAAAAACAAAACGGGGAGATAAAATGTTTTCAAGATGGAGACAAAACAAAGGGGCCACATAGTTAGAATTTTCTGTAGTAAAAAAATTATGCGTAAATACTTCTACAGAAAAGATCAGGCTAAACTATAAAGAAAATTATTACACTATTTGTGGAATAAGATTTCATTGGAGGCTGCGTGGGGTGGTTTCATAAAAAATGTATTAAAAATCATAAATGTAATAATTTCCAAAAACATGTTTTTATTTAATTTATTATTCGGTTTGAATAGATATTTGTGGGCATTGAGCCTAATACAAACATTATTTTCACTGCAACAGTAATCCTTGGTGCCATACAACCATAATAACGTATTTTTCGGGTAATGACGTCATAAAATACGAAAACACCAATTCAACACTTCTTTCAAAATCCCCAATAGAAGAATTATTATATATTATTATATTATTATATGATATTTGGTACAGCCCCATAGTAACATAGTAAAAACAAACTCACTTGTAGCCAGAATGACAGGCGGGGTGGTGATGGATGTTGTGGTGACGTAGCCAATTCTGCTCCGACCAATTCCCATACTCTGGGTGAAGAAAATTCTCTTTTCTTTGAAGTCATAATCCAAAGCCATCAAGTTGTAGCCTAAGTTCACGGTTGGATAGGGGGTGCTGTGATCTGCAGGATCTAACCTCATGCTATTCAGCGTGGAGTCTGTGGTGAAAACTAGAAACTCGTCCTGTCCGTAACCGCATGTTACTCCGTTATTAAGGAGTGACCCATGAGCACAGCCACATTTCGGAGCCTCCTGGCCTGACAGGGCGAAGCAGAGCTGCTGGCAGCGTCCGTTATCTTCCTGACACGGGTTGAAGCCCACCTGGTTGGCAGATGTCGGCTGGACATGAGCATCAAAGATAGAGACATCCATCAGCCCGTCAAGATTGTCCAAAATAACCTGGTACCATTGAAGAAAAAAACTAGTTATTTACAGGAATGAGCATTGAACATTCACAACCGAAGTTATATACATTTAAGTGTCTGTCTAATAAATGTAGCTTTGAGTCCACATGGTGCGTATCCCCATCAAATCGCACAAATTATACAAAGAATTTAGTTTTCTCATGTAAAGGTCATTAAAAAAAAAACGTCACCACGTTGGATTTGACTCTCACCTCTGGCTGGTCGGTATTGGCCGGGTCCTTACTGGCCTGTAGGAGCTTCCCTAGCTTTTTATCCACCCACAGCATGTAGTTTCCAAATATAGCCATCCCTGTTGGAAATGGATACCGGCTCCCGTACCGAACAATCTGTCTCTGTGTGCCGTCTACGGCCATTCTGGAGATCATATCAAGAACGTCATCTGTCCAGTAGAGGAAATCATTGGTGTAATCAATGGTCAGGCCACGAGGGGACGCTAAGCTTTCTGAAGCCAACACAGTGCGGTTTGTGCCGTCCAGCGAGGCTCGCTCGATTTTGGGTGTTTGGCCACCGTCAGTCCAGAAGAGGTAGCGGAGTTTAGGGCTAACAGCCACATCACGAGGCTGGTCCTGCGAAGACTTGAGGAGAATCATCCGGTACGTGGTGTTGATGGCAAGCACCTCCAGGAATGTCTCGCCTTCGAAGGCATTGGTGAAGTATAGGTTACCTGAGAAAGTTAATGGAGAGACATAAGGGGTTTTGATCTGCATGCAATAATACAATGAATTATTAGTGTGTGGGTGATCCTAGAGCCGCAATGGTAAGATTATAGATAAATACAGGAATGGTTGAGTGGCTTTGTACCTGCAATCCAGTCTACAGCGAAGCCCTGAATGCCTCCTTTTCCAATGCCAGAGTTGAGGACAGTGCTGTATCTTCCTCCGTCTGTCTTGGCCCTGAAGATGCCCCTGTATGAGGTGGAGGTGCTGTTGTCACTCCAGTACACAAAGCCAGATTCAATATGGAGGTCTAACTTGCCTTTAACGGAGTAGGAAGCTGGAAAAAGAAAAACGTGCTGCTTGAATCAACTGATAATTTTTGTATTTATAGCCAACAACAATAATGCAGAACAATATAAAGCCAACATACGTCCCCCGACAGGCACCATAGCCTCAGAGTGGTCGGAGCTGTTTATGTGGAAGCCACGGATGTACTTTGATGTGGAGACAATTGCAAACGACTCATATTGTTCACAGCGGGAGCCGTCTGGAGAAGGGTTGAATCCTGTAGTGCAGGCACAGGTCTTCTTATTGTCTGGTGTTGGAAGACAGAGGTGGAGACAGCCCCCGTTGTTGGAGCTGCAGGCGTTGGTGGTCCCTGCTGAATCTGATGGGGAAGAAAACATTTGACTTGATAGTATGCTCAATAGTGCCAAGTAGTTATTAAGAGCATTCAAAAATGCATTAACAAAAATGGTGTGTTATGAAAGTGATTAAAAATAAATGTAATGCAAGTTGTAGTCTATACCCATGTCTGTCCAATATGTCCTCATTTTGCCAATTTTTCATATATGTCAACATAAGAATTAATTCTTGAGTTATGGCTGTAAAAAAGGGTTCGCAAGGTCACTGTGATATTGGCTTTTAACCATCAAATAAAAATGTGTACTTCCTTGAGGCCACGTGGAAATTCCTGCTTCCACAAAATCCCCTCCTGCGATACCTCAAGAATAATATAGACATGAGGTCCCCATGACCTTGAATTTAAACCACCAAAATGTAATCAGTTCATCTTTGAGACCATTTTAGTGTTTGTGCCAAATATATAGAAATTCCGTCTAAGCCTTTCAGAAACATCACATTTACAAGCATGGGACGGATAGATATACAGACAACCTGAAAACATGAGTCGTCGATGCAGAGGCATTACAACACTAACTATGAGGGTGAAGGAAGGCAAAGGCCTTATGAACACAAAAGCTATTCAAAGGATGAAACACAAGTGGTGCTAAATCCGGCTCTGTGCTGTCCTTGAGGAGGACACTGAACTCCTACTCGCTCTCTCATCCGCAGTAATTAACTGTTGCATAATATAACAGTCAGTCTGACTGAAAACACTAAAAAGGCTCAAGGACAGACAACTCAGAATACAATCTAGAAACCAGTGAATCCACTTACTGTCTCTGGCGTGCACTTTTAGGGCGCGCAGGCCAGACATGCCGCTCCTCATCACCACCATGTTGGCCCCATTGTCCTTGTCCACCCTCTCGATGACCTCGTAGTCCAGGTCGGTGTAGTAGAGATGGTTCTGGTGGATCGTCAGCCCCCATGGGTGGGACAGGCCGTTCACCACCGCCATCCGGGTGACTCCATCCATGGTACCACTCTCAATCTGGGCAAGGAGAGCAAAGAGGTGAGTGAATGTAGTTTAATCAGGACCGGGATGAAGATGACTAAGATATTAGCACAAGAGAATAAGAGAACCTGATTAAAAAACATAAGATTTGTTTGAACATATAGAATTATTTGGGTGGAAATGACATGGTGTATAGTGTAAAATTCAACATTTCTAAGAGAACAAGTACAAAACCAGTTTTAGGTTGACATATACAGAACAGTCTGTTAAACATATGTATAAAACAACAACTAAAAAGGTAAGTATACTCAGTTCAGGTTAATTAACTCACACCAACATCTCAAAAGTGCAGTCTGCAAGGACATTTTAAGAAACGGACAACATTTTATTGGTTTTTCTGGGACTATATTTCGAACATGTATACTGAACATACCACCCCTGAGCCCGAAACACCCCAGTAGAGTTTCCTGGTGGAGATGTCAGCAGCGATGTATCCTATGTTGGCCAGGTTCTCTGTGTAGAGGTTCCTGGGGTTCCCCCCGTCCATATCAGCACTGCCAACCTTTGGGGGAACTCCATTGTCTGACCCCTTATCTGTCCAAAACAATTTCCTGTGAAGGGAAAGTGTAAATGTGAGAATAATGTTTATCAAAGTTTTTTTGAACCTCATCTTTTCTTAAAACATTTATATATGGAGAACGTGCTTATTTAAAACTACTGTATTAAAATGTTAGAATATCAAAACTGTGTCGCCTGTTTAGTTTTGGGTGGGTTATTTATATTACAAAGGACATGACTCGGATTGAGAGGTTGTTGCTGGAGAAATAAATCCTCTTCATTTCCAATTATGTGATGGCCCTTCAAAAAAGAAGACTGCTTCGTCCTTGTCAGGCTGCCATTGTCTGCTTGTTTAATGCTGTCCAATTAATCACGTCCTGGTCTGTTGGTTCAGTCTCTCTAGTGCCAGCAAGCACGTACTTACAAATCAATAGGTAATGCTCTCGCCTTCAGAAACACACATCTTACCCTCAGATATTGACACTTGATGATTTGTTCCTTCCAGTTATTTCCCCATGTCACTGAGTTGAATGAATATAGCAAATATACAATATGTTGAACAGATGCTTTACCCTCGGGCTGGATCCAGAGCTATTCCAATGGGCTCTCCTGCTCCCTCAGGTTTACCAGTGAAGGTGATGAGGGTCTTCCTGTAGTGCTGGACTCCATCCACACGGATGACCTAAGGGAGGTGGAAAGTTAGGTACTGGCTCAATAATTATGTAAAAACATAAATGAGGTGTTAAAACACTGATATATGTCACCAACAAATCCACAGCAAATACTATGAATTGTAGATTACAGAAAACTAAATAATGTATAGTAAATTAATGAATTAAACCAAAATAATCAGACTAAGAAGACATCCAAGACACATGTATTGTAAAAGGTTATATAAATTAACACTACAGCATCCCCTAGTAATCTATTACATTTTTCCCATGTGTTTTTTTTCCCTTTATCATTCCTACATGTTTAGTCATTTGTTTTCAAGTAACTCAAACTTTTAAATTCTTGATAGGTTTTTTTAATTAACTGTTTTACTTGATTATGTATTTACTTATTGTGATGTTATGAACTATTTATCGTGTAAATTGGAATGATCCACATCCAGGCTCCCGGGTGTGTGCTTTCTTCCTGTATGTTCCTGCCTGTGTGCATGACATAAGCTGTTCATAACCAATTGCCCCTTGCGGGATTAATAAAGTTGTTGATTGATTGATCTAATGTCTGGTTTTATTTCACATTGTTCTTACCTCTATGGTCTTCACAGTGGGATTGGTGTAATACATAATCCGGCCTATCCAATCAAAAGCCAGACCAGACGGCGAGCCCATGAAAGCAGCTGGAGCAAACTCAGACCTGTTGGTACCGCTGGTCTTCACTTGCCATATAGAACCCTGATATAGGAGCAAAATCAAAGACCCTGCGTTAAAACAAGCATTTGAGAAACTAAAAATAATCATTAAATGTGTAAAAAAATAACCAAAAACGGGGGAAAATATCTATCTATTATATCATGAAAATCATCAACTCAAGCAAGGCATTCTGCAAAGTCTAACATTTATCTTCTCATCTTAAGCAATAAAAAGGTATAAGACAATGAACAGTGGTCTTTAATATATTTGAATTGTAATCAAAAGCTGTCATTGCATCACAGTAAATTAATTCTATATCATAAAACATTTCTACATGGTTCAGTTTAGGAACTCCACTCACAGTGCTTTGGACCCAATAGATGAACTGCAGCTGGTCATCGAAGTCGATGTCCCGCCCCTGGCTGATGCCGGACACTGGGGCCATTGCATTGTTGGAAGGGTCAGCGGGGTCCAGGGGAATGCCAACAATCACAGAATCTCTCACCACCATCAAGAAGGGAGTGTCATCTAGAAAAGAATAAAAGTATGGATTAGGAGATGAACATAATTCTCTAACGTAACAACACCAGACTGACCACTAGAAGCTCCACGCGTGGCGACCTATCAGTCCCATTCAGGAAGAGTACTTTTGGTCAGTTATCATTCTCGGTCACAGCAATACAAAACTGGAAATCCCTACCCACTCAAATCAAAGACATACATACATATACCACCTTTACAGCTCACTTAAAAACATGGTTCACTGAGAACTACATCTGCACACACTGGTCTGTGTTGGATGTGGCGTGTGTGTTACATGTTGTGATCATGGATGTTGCCCCTCGTTTCTGTTATGTGATTGTGATGTGCTATATGTGACATGCATGTAGTAACGTGTGTTGTTTGCATGTTATTGTTCCTTTCGCCTGTATCTACTTGTCTTTCGTCCTTTTTTTATAACTAATGCTGTTGATGTATTATGATTTTAAGGGTGTCCATTATCATCTGGCCGGGGACAACAGCTGGAAATTAGCAATGTTTGCTAAAGCTGCCCCATTTACTGTATTTTGTGACAGTTGATCAATAGGACTGTCCACGACACTATAAACTAATAAACTAAACTAAACAAGGGGGTGTCAAGCTCTAAGAGAGAACATACATCTAGCTTCATCTTCAAATGAATCAGTCATATGGTTTATGTGTACAGAGATTTAACATGTTTTATCCGATATACTGTAAAATAAACGTACCTTTGACACAGGTGCGTTTGTCGGCATCGAGCTTCCAGCCAGACTGACAATGGCAGGTGTAGTACCTGGGTCTGAGGCCTGCCAGCAGACACAGCTGAGTGCACAGGTGCTCTCTGCATGGGTTGATGGCTACACACAAAAACAGAGTCAACTCCAATTAGACATTTGTATGACATTTGACAGCATTTATTATTTTCAGCTATCTCTGCTGCTACTACAGCTATTTATAACTGCTGTGCACTTGTATTACTTCAACACTGCAGCAGTTATGTGGTTAGCATAACATTAGGAAGATGCAGCACAACAAAAAGTAGACCTTAACCTTGGAAGTTACCTGTGGGCTGTTTGATGGGATGGTCCATTACGATGCCCATTGGCTGGTAGACATTGGTCATCAGAGTGGTGATGTTGCCACCGTGGAACTTGTTCGTCCTCATCACTTTGCTGGTGTAGCGCTCCGACCAGTAGATGTTGTCCTCAAAGATGGTCATACCATGAGGGTGCTGGAGAACCTGGATAAAGGGGAATTATGTTGTTTATTAATCGAAGGAACTCTCTATTTTACCATGAGTCACATCTAAAAGTAAGGTAGTGTTACACTCTCCCTGATTTGTTAGATGTGTTAACGGTTAAGACTACCTTCTTGTATACGACTTAATTATGTTTGTCAATGTCAGAGAAAAATATATTAGTAAGAATTGATCACACTTATTCTCAAAAGATAAAAATAGTCACAGTTTTTTGTGTATTGCAATTTCAATATGGCCTCAAATGAATTATAATTTATAAAATGGAAAACAATTTTGATTTCTATTAACGAACAAAAACAAGCTATAAAGTAAATGACTGTCTTGATTTTGTTATTGTCTTGTCGTGCCATAAGTAAAATGTCCCCTTTGTTTTTTCTAACACCGAACAACTGAATGAACCTGAACCTACCATGTCACTCGCCATAACCTGATAGCGGTTATTGCCATCATAGTCACAATAGTCAATATATTTGAGGTAGGCGTCAGCAAAGTAGACCCTGCGGGTGGTGTAGTCCAGGGCGAGGCCGTTAGGCCAGTAGAGTTTGGTGCTGACGATGACTTTTCTCATGGCTCCATCCATGTCGGCCCGCTCGATCCTGGGGTTCTGACCCCAGTCGGACCAGAACATCAGGTTGGTGCTGGAGGAGGAATGGCAGTGTGATGAGTTTTTTATTATATGAATGTGTTATCGCTTGCTGTAAGTACGGTAACCCTGAAGGGAAGATTCCAGATTCAAGGCTTTACTATCATGTGCACATTAGTTATTACAGTGTAGATATGGCAATGACAAACTTAAGTCACAGGCTCTAACAGTGGAACAGTGGAAGTGAGAAAGAAAGAAATTCTAGGGATCCAAGTCTGATTTAAAATATTGTTCTCTTCTGTGTTAAAACTTTAAAAAAAAGATTCTGCCAGGATAATATAAAAAATTCCTGGAAAAGAGAATTAAGTTATTACAGGTAGAAACATCTCAGGTGTTTGTTGTTGTAATACTCATTTTGGCCACAAGAGGCTGAAGTGTACCACTACTACACTAAAGGGGATTTTATTCCCACTAGTTTCACATATATAAAAAGATAGAGAACCTACAAAGATTATTCTTATAAAAACATGTGTTTTATTTAAAGGGGACCTATCATGCAAAATGCACTTTTTTATGTTTTTCGGGGAACTCACGCAGCGTCAGAAAATAAAACCCTCTCTCTTTTCCTCCGTACCCAAATCTCTAAAAACGGGGCTACAACGGAGCTGATCCAGATTTGCGTCCGATATGACGTAATAGCGGAAATGTAGGCTGGCTTTACACCCACGGCCCTATCAGAAACGTTGCTATCAGAAACAATGCCCGACTGTTTTGGACGTAATATGGTCGGTGCATGTTTACATTAGCATCGCTAACACTCAGAGCTAACCTGTACTGCACAGAGCATGTGTGTGAAGAAGCAGGAAATAAAAAGGAACTCACCTTGTGGTATAACCGGCAAGAGAGAAAGCCTTTGAGCTCCAGACTGTTTCAGAAATAATCCTTGATAATCCATGATATGGCGTTTCATCACCGCAGTATTTAGTTTAGACAGTAGCTGCCGGTAGAATCTCCCGCATGAGCTCAGCTTATTATCAATTTCCTTTTTTTAAAAAAAGCTTTATACCCAAAATCAGCACTTTTGAAACAGGAAGTGAAACAGAGGGATATGAGGCATGGCTAGAATGGGTGATCTGTTTGGTATTTTGAGCAAAACACTTCATAGACATGTTTTTTATATATTTGTATATATCTGAGACCTATGCTATTGCCTAAAAATAGCATGATAGGTGCACTTTAAGTCATAAACACAGGAGAACAAAACAATTTACATCATTTGGATCACTATCTCTTCTTACTTCCATAGCTGCCGTAGCTCAAATGTGATGTAACATCAAATTAAAAACCATCTAAATACCCATGTCAGTTTCTGCTTAACAGTCTTTACTTACTAGTTACGGGGGTCTAAAACCAGTCCCCGGGGGCTGGTAACATTCTTGGTGAGAAGGACTTTCCTAAAGCGACCGTCCAGAGTTGAGACCTCAATGTTCTCCATCACAGAGTCGGTCCAATAAAGGTTCCGCCCCACCCAATCCACAGCTATACTCTCTGGTACCATCAGACCGGTGGAGAACACCTAAACAACAGGGACACATCGAACACAGTTTGATTTAGTTTAAGCCTGTCTTTGTGTTTCCCTTCAGCAGCTATGTTCAAATTCTATTCATATATTCTATATTTTGACGTGTATGTTTTCCTTTCAGAGAAAATGTGTGACCACCGGTTGAAATCTCTTTTAACACATCTGTGCAATCATTTCTCTTACTTCCCGTCTGTCGGTGCCGTTCTGGAAGGCACTCCATATCTTCTTCTGCGAGGCATCTGCCCAGTATATTCTGGAAGTTACACGATCAAAGTCCACAGTCACGATGCTTGAACCGCTGACAACTGGGCGCAACAGGGGGGGTCTCATGTTGATCCGATTGGCGATGATCTGGCTTCGCTTGGCCACCAGAAGTGTAGCTGCTCCTGGGTCTAAGGGCAGAAAAATATCTTGTTTCCTACAAATCTGAATGATTTCAAATATAAATAATATACTCAATGAATAATCTTCTGCTTAGTTTAAATGTGGTGTTTTGATTTGTTAGTATCTTACTATGCTTTAGGTGGCTGTAAATTATACATTTAGGGCTTTTTTAATTTATTGTCTTCATTTCAAACTGATGTGGCTTATTAATACACACCCAGAATCTCAGTGAAATGTTCTTGATATTAGACATTTATTTATTTGTGATGCTACTGTGTGTTGTTTACCTGCAGCTTTACAGGTGCGCCCATCAGGCTCTAGGATGTAACCCTCTGAGCAGTAGCACCGGAAGCTTCCTCTCTCGTTGAAGCACTGCTGGCTGCAGAAACCTGGGATCAGACACTCGTCGATGTCTTCGCAGGTCTTGGAGTCGTTGAGAAGCTGAAATCCTGACGGACAGGTGCACTGAACCCCAAACGGTCCTTGGACACAGCCGTTACTGCAGCCCCCGTTGTTCAGCCCACAGTCGTCTTGGTCTACATGAAATGACAAACACAATATCAAATGCATCTTGTTTGTGTAGGATGACTCTGTCCTGAGGCTAAATGTGATATCTAATAGGGTTGCACGATTTGAAAATAACAAATTGCGATTGTTTTGACTAATATTGCAAATACAATATGTGGGGGGATTGATCATTTTAGCCTTTTACTGTCATCTATCTTCAATACATATTTATATATTATCATGGTATTATTTGTAAGTAGATCTGGACCAAACAAATATATTTAGTTAAGTTTGTAAAACATAATTTGTAGGTCATGATATCTCTGCAGTTCCACAATACATTCAAATTAATACTTTAACCTATATTTAGACTTTACAAATGTTGTTCTTCCTGCCATTTGTATATCGCAAATTATTTCAATAAGTTGTTGAGCCCTCATATACAATGTAAGATACTTCAATAACTCACTGCAAATAGGCGACTCATCGGCTCCATTGGGGCAGTCCCTCTGGCCGTTGCACACCTTGTCCAGGTCGATGCACAGCAGGTCCGTGGGGCACTGCCACTGTCCAGAGGGGCAGCTGAATGGAGGGGTGGGGCAGTTCTGCTCATCACTCATGTCCCGGCAGTCGTTGTCGCCGTCACACAACCAGCTTGCTGGGATGCATATCTTGTTGGTACACTGGAAATAGTTGGGCTTGCAGGTGATAGGGGCGCAGGAGTTGTGTTCGTCAGACGCGTCCTCGCAATCTGGATGGCCGTCACACTCCCACTCCTTTGGGATGCAGAAACCATCCGTCTGGCACTGGAACTCCTCATCGTGGCAAAGGCCTGGACCTCGGGTGGCTGGGGGAGCAAAATTACTTTAAAAATGAAAGTACTCTCGCTTAGAGTAACTTAAAGACAGAGCGAGATGTTTAAATTGTAATGGTTAGCATTTTAATGTATTCAGGTAAATTATTATTTTCTATCAGATTCAATAATACACGCATTCTATGATACCATATATCTAACAGAATAAAAGTGTTGCAATCAGCCATAATCACATCGCTTATTACAACAATTATTATGTTTGTTTGCTTACGACAGTCTCGCTCGTCAGAATGGTCCCTGCAGTCAAACACTCCGTCACACTGATATCTGGAACTGACGCACTGGTCCCCACTGGCACAGGCAAACTCATGGGAGGCACAGGCGTACTCTTATGGTGGAAAGTAGAACAATAGTCGGTTAAATATTAGTTAACTAAAACAATTTTTAAAGCAAAAAACATGAATGGGTATTTCACAACCTAAAATGTGGCTCATTAAGGTGAATTTATTATCAACATAACAAAACAATAAAGATTTAAGTTATAAAGATCCATACCACAGTTTTTCTCATCAGAGCCATCAAGACAATCCTGGTCTCCATCACACACGTAGGAGTTGAAAATGCAGCGGTGGTCGGGACACAGGAAGTAGTTTGGAGAGCATGTAGTGATGGTCGAATCTGTCAATCAAAGCTCTTTTATTAGACTTTTGTTGCACGAAATGTACAAAAAGTGTTTGGTTTGCTCAGTATCATATGGAGTAATATCATGTTACAGTACAGTGACTGACAGTCCCCAAATACTTACTGCAGTTGTGTTCATCCGAGCCGTCGCCGCAGTCGTTGTCACCGTCACACAACCACATTTGAGAGATACACCTGTTGTTATCACAGGTAAAGTAGCTGGGGTCACACGTGGTGGGAAGACGAGTGGGACAGTTCGTCTCATCAGAGCCGTCCCCGCAGTCATCCATGCCATCACAGCGCCAACCGGACTGGATACAGTGCTTGTTGTTGCAGGTGTACGCGTTCGGAGAGCAGGTCGCTCCTGGTAATGATTAATCAGAATCAGAAACAGGTTTATTACCAGGTAGGTTGACACGTACGAGGAATTTGACTTAATGTCATGGTGCATACATAAAAGTAAAACAAAAATTAAAAAAACACAGATAGAGAACTATTTTAAGAAAAATATAATAACGTTAAAAAATATTTGAAAAAAATATATATAGTCAAATATAGCAGTATTTACATTGAAATAGAATGGAAAACAATATGGAATAACATTCGGCAGTAATAAAAAAAGAAAAATTATGGTTTGCACATTCATTTTGCACACACACTTTTTAAATATTATACATTCACCTGTATCGGTGCAGTTGGCCTCATCAGACTTATCAACACAATCACTAATTCCATCACAGCGGTAGGAGTTGGGCCTGCAGCGTCCTTCATCACACTCAAAGGCGAGGTCTCCACAGTTGTTATCAGGTGGGGGGACAGAATCGTCTTTGATGCAGTCCCTCTGATTGGCCTGAAGTTTCATGCCATATGGACAGCCACACACTCGGCTGTAGGAGGGGGTCGGGAAACAGAAGTGGCTGCAGAGCCCGTTGGCCACCACATTGCAGCGGCTGGTGATAGCTGTCAGGAGGAGGATGAAGAAAGAGTCAGCAGGTCTCTGGATATTATATCTGGTTTGGTCACGGCACAGCTATCACTCTATCCATGCAGGCACTTAGTATTCTGATTTGAGATAGTGATATATATCAAATGTTCTATTGTTGCTTTGTCACTGCCCTTCTTGCTTACTAACTAGCTTTTAGTCCTGTCCATACACACAGTTAAATAAACCAAGTTTTCCGTGAAGTTCTGGTGCCAGTTAATGTGTCCTGGAAGATTTCAATGTCCCGGACAAAAAGGAGAAGTTCCAGTTAAATATAATATTTAAAACAACAATTGAAAGGCAGGTTATGTAAAGATAACATCATCAAGATGGCTGGCATATAGATTGTTAACACTACGCTTCCACTATAATCAATTTAACTGGCATGAAAGCATGGTGTGTGTATGCACCACTGAGGTCCAGTCTACATTTTTTTTATATGATGTTCTTAACCATCCTGCTTCAGTTAGTGCAGGCTGACCTGTCTAACTATCCCCAGACTCCAATGCTGTGAGAGCTTACCGCTGTGCAGGTCAGCTGTGTAGGCCTTGACGTTCATGATGCCGGTGACTCCTTGTCTGATCATGATGTTTCCTCCTCCATCCCTCTTCCTCATCTCGAATACTCCTTTGGTCCTTATATCAGCTACATACAGGTAGTCTGCAAAATATATATGGTTCAGGAATTGAAACCAGTAAAGGTACTCAACATTTTTTTACATTCACAACAAATGAAATTTAAGAACACAAATAATGAGTGACTTATGAGCTCAAATAAGTGGTATTATAATTTCCCCCAAAGCATGATTTACCCTATTCTAATAACATAATGTCCAAGTCAGTATAAGAACAAAGGTATTACACACACACATCCCTTATGGCAGAATGGAAATATGAAGACATTTTATTTTTCTTCTGGAATTGAAAATTAATTTTTGTTACCCTCTGTTCACCACAGTCTAGGTCAGTTCAGCAATATTTAGAAGTTTATATTATATAAGACCTTTGGTTTTATTGTATCAAAGCTGAAGATAAACCTGAATAATTACATATTTAATTTGAATAATATTGTGCATGTGTAATATTAGATTAAATGGGAGGTATGAGGAGAGACTAACAGACTCACCTGAATAGATAGTTAGAGAGTAGGGTTGTGTGATCTGGCCGATATTGGTAAATGTTTGTCTGTCGTATCCTTCGATGCCAATGTGACCAATCTGTTCCAACTGGTAATCCACCCAGTACAGCCGGTCCATCCTGTTGAAGCCCAATCACAAGGAATCAAGCAGCAAATAGGAGGAATACTGATAAATAAAATAAAATGCCTGAGAATAGTTTACTAAAGGTCATTACTGTGCTTACACATAGTCAACAGAAAGTCCATACGGCCATCCCAGCGTTGTGTTGACCAGAGGAACTGCGTTACTGCCGTCTGTGAAGCCTTTCATGATGACCGCGGGACGGTACCAGTCAGACCAGAACAAGTAGCTGTGGATCAACGTTTTATTAGACACACAGAGGACAAATCAGTTTAGAGTAAATCAAAAGGAAATATATACATAATAAAATCAGTAGGGATGAAACTCATGAATGTCTTATAATCTATTTTCTACAATAATCAATTGGATCATAAAATAATAACCATACTAGTGGTCAACAAATGATGTCTTAAATGTCTTGTTTTGTCAATCCAAAAAAACAAAGATATTCAGTTTGATATAAAATACAAATATGGAAAGCTTGACATGTCCATATTGGAGTGTCTGAAAACAGAATGATTTGCCATTTTCGCAAGATCGTTGGTTATTGTTTTTGTCAAACGTCTAATATATTTGTCGATAAATGGTTTCAGCTTAAGAAATCACTTACCTTTGATGTCTTACTATGGATAATACCTGAACTTTGTTGCCTAAAGTATTTATTTTTCTGTATTTTTCAGAGGCAAGACAATCCATTTTAATTTCTGAACTTGAATAATTCAGTTCATCATAGTGAACAAAATGCATATGGTGGGTATGTTAAGGGACCGTTAAGTATACTGTACTTTATTCCATTGATATTCCTGCAACGTGAAATTCTCCTCAGAGCCAACCAATCTCTCTTCAGTATTTACACCGGATACGTTTAAGCACTCACCCAGCACTGGGATGCACTGCGATTCCTTTTGGGTTCCTTAATCCCGTCACAACGTCTCGTCTTGACTTGTCTGCGACTCTGAAGGCCACCACCGACTTGTAAGTGCTCGTGGTCCAAAACAAGACCTTAGAGGTCCAGTCGTAAGCCATGGCGTCAATTATTCCCACTCTGTAGCCCGTTAAGATCTGTTGGACTGAGAATGCATAAGGAAAATAAATCGTAAACTCAATCCTCATCGCACACAGTGCTGTCGTAACAGAGCATTATAATACATCTGAAAAAGTAACCCACCAGTGCCATTGAGGTTGGACTTATAGACGAGGCCTCTGGACCTGTCGTTGTAGAAAATGGCTTCCTCTTTGCCGTCAAACTCCACAGCTGAGCCAGAGAAAGACGTCCCGAGCCCAGAGAGGGGCAGGGTGATGTCCTCCTGCAGGGACAAGTTCAGTGGGATCCCCCGCACCCCCAGAGAGGTGGCCAACAACAGGAAGTCCTTCACCTCTGTTTAAAGAGCAGGTGGCAGCGATTACTAGCAGGAAAAAATGCTTTCTAAACATGTTTCCTTTTTTTTAACTGTTTGTTTTAAGAAGATCGTTTAGATACAACATATTTGACATGGAAAAATGTGTAATGATCATGCATATTGTGCCTTAAATTTGATTCGAACCAACACTTTTGAGATTATTTTTGATAATAATTCCTATTGATGGATAACTTGTGTACGCCAAAGTCAGCATAGCATCACCTTGATAAGCAAACCTTTTGAAATTGCTACCTAAATAAATCAAAAATAATAATACAAAAATATTTCAATTTATAAAATGTGTGTAGATCTCGTCAATTTTATGTGCATTACTTATAAATAACATCCGAAGGCAGAACATAAGCAATAATATGAATCGAGTAAGAAATCAAGGTTAACTCACTATAGCAGGTCCGGCGGTCTGAATGCAGGTCGTAACCATGGCTACACTTGCAGCGAAAGCCCAGACCGTCATTGTCGGAGCGGTGACTCAACACACAAATCTGCTGACAGCCTCCGTTGTGTCGGCCGCAGGGGTTCATCACTGAAGGACAGTTGTGTTTTTTTTATAATTATGTAGTATTAATACATAAAGATAACAAATAACATTGAATCTTGTGTTGAACAAAAGGAAATAGAGAGTTGCACATTCTGGTTTATTTTAAAGGTCCCCTATTATGCAAAATCCACTTTCTCATGTCATCTATACGTAAACATGTGTCATAACGATTTTTTGGCTTGTGTAACCATTAGCCAATCACCAACCAAGGTACCCCCCCCCCCTGATCACCTGAACCTCCTCCTAGAGCACCATTGTGTTCTTTTTAACCAAATATCTCTCAGAGGGGCGTGGGGAGGGGCTCCTTATTTTCATCTGAAGTAACAGACAGAGAATCAGCACTTTTGAAACAGGGCTGAAACAGAGGAGATTATGGGATGCTTCAATGCATAATCGGTTTGGTATTTCGAGCCAAACACTTTAGAGACATGATTTGTATATATCTGAGAATATATTGATGAAAAACAGTGTAATAGGGGACCTTTAAAATAATAGTTTGAATTGTTATGTAGGAATTCTCGTTATAGGTTGCGTGCATTACCAACGGGTTGCAGGGCAGGGTGTGACACTACAACATGGCCGGGGCGCTTAGCGGTGCGATAGAGGAGAGCTGGGTTGCTGCCGTTGAACCGGTTGGCTCTCACCACACCCATCTTGGTCCAGTCCGTGAAGAACACGTTGTTTTCAAACACAGCAATTCCAAATGGATGTGGAGCCTGGGTTGCACCATTTAGTACCATTTTCCTGGGAAACAACATCAAGAATAGATAGAATGTCATTATACATGTACAATGAGATAAATAAATTCTTCTCCCTTTCAAGGGTGCCATCAAAACAAAAAACATCACAACATAATGTCTGTCTCAACATGGTCTCAGTGTTTTATTTTGTAACTAAACAGGGGCAGTTTATCCCAAAATCAAAAATACATATTTTTCTTTTACCTGCAGAGCTATTTTTCAATCTAGATTGTTTCGGTGTGAATGTTGGAGCTATTCGCCTAAGATATGTCTGCGTCTACAAGTGGATGTAATCAAGACTTGGTTACTCAAGATAATCAACGAACCTTGTTGTAAGCCGTTTCAAGTAGGAATTATTTTTTCTACAGAAATACGTCCACTCAGCATTGAACAGAGCAGAAGGAAGCTTGACTTATAGACGAGAAGCTCATGTTTATTCATTGGCGGGTATAGTTCAGAAGAAAGAAAATAGTTCTTACATGAAACTGCACAACAAGGTCTGTGGATTCTCTAGAGTAACTGGGTCGTCATTTCTTAATAAGGGACATTTCTGTGAGTTTTTCAAATGTTTTTGGTGAATTCAGCACCACAAGCAAAGTACAATGTAGTTCCATCATATTTGAGAGAAAGCAGACATCTCTAATACTGTGCAACTCACTAAGCAATCTAGATTGATAAAAAGCACTACGGGAAACAGGAAAAATATGCACTTATGATTTTGGGTGGTTCAAGGTGGTGACTGACAACATTTTCTGTGCAACCTTTACCTGTCCAGACCGCTGTAGGTGACAGTCTCCACCGTGTCAAAGTGGCTGTCGGACCAGTAGACCCTCTGAGTCACGATATCTAAGGTGATTCCTGTTGGAATGCCAAGTCCCTTCTTCACCAGCTCAATACGATTGCTGCCGTCCATGAAGGCGCGTTCGAGCTTCATCTGCTCACTGGAAACGCCCATGTCTGTGAAGAACATGTAGCTGCAAACAAAAAGGAATAAAGAAATATAAATCAAGTGAAGTGGGTACAAAAACTCATGGTAAAATAAAAATGATGGAGTTCTAAAAAGGGATCTCTTGTAAAGTAGCCACTGCTTTACTTCTTATATTTGACCGTAAATAACTAAGATTAAATAATAAGGAAACATGTCATCCCAGACAAATGACAGACTAAGACAGACACAGTGTTGGACCAATATTTACACACTCCAATATTTAAGTTTCACTCAATCTAAGAAAAAGAAATAATGACATAAATGACATGCTTTGTTAGATAGCATTGCGTTATCTTACTAAAACCAGTTGTTATTAACATGCAGCTCATGAAATCATGTCTGATATGGTTTGCCATGCATGCTGTTCTCAACAGCTTTGGTAACAGCTTTTAAATACTAAAGCACTTAAACACACCCCACTGTGGGGTCCAGGACCAGGCCGTGAGGAGTCTGCAGGTTTTCAGCCACCAGTGTGACCCGATTCCCTCCATCAAAGTCGCACATGTCGATACGCTCCATCATGGCCTCTAGGACGTAGAGTTTGAAGTTGATCCAGTCCACAGCGAGGTTCTGCACATTCTGGACTGCAGCAGTCAGAACCTCCTTAATGTTCCCCCCATTGTAGTTCACAGAGTACACCTGGCAAAAGAATGATAGGTTTTAGGATGAGGGGCTTTTGTTGACATGAAAATCATTCTGGGCCCCCAGAGCTTTGCAGTGTAGCTGTTTTGCAATCATACAAAAGAAGGTGTGGAGAAATTGAGGGGAAAATGCACTGACAGACAATAATCCCGATTGACAGACCTTTTTGGTGTTTGTATCACTCCAGAAGACTGTGTCGCTGTGCCAGTGATATGCCACACCTACAGCATAACCTTTGCCCTGGGACGGCACCAGAGTTCTGACAAAGCGTCCATGTATATCCGCCATCATCACATCACCCCCGTTGGTGAAAATGAGCTGTGGCAATCCAGCTGAAGAAAAATGCAAAGAATACCTCAGCAGTCCTCTTAGATATTTGATATGATTTTACAAAATATACATTTAAGTATTGTCTCCTCAACTATGTCATATGGACAGCCCACAGATTATGTTCCAGCAGACACACATTGTATGAAGCTACTCTTTGACTCTCTGTACCTGACACATTGGCTTTGCACACGTGACCCTGCTCCAAGAAGTATCCATCAGCACAGCTACAGTGGTGTGTCCCAAGACGATCTTCACACAGCTGGTCACAGATCCCCCAGATTTGACAGTCATTATAGTCTGGGGCAATAAAACAACCATTTTAGGAATTAGGGTGAGATATATACCAGAAATCTGCAACTTGAGTATCGTTAAATTAGACATCTCTAAGGTTAAAATTACGAAAGCTCTGTTCTAAGTTCATCAACACAAACTGACATTTTACAATTAGGTGTAGTATATGTCGTAAACTAAAATAAAAACATATAAGAGAATATGATATGCAACAATGTGAGGAGATCTGAGGAATTAACCAAAACAAATCCATCTCCATCAATCACCTCAAGTGCTCTATTGTTACAGTTCATGCTTTCTTCTGTTGCCTAACTACAGTACAGTATGTTTAATGAATATATAATTTGTTTTTACAAAAATAAAAATTATATATGGCACTCACCTACACAGGAACGGCTGTCATTGGCTACAGTGAAACCATCTGGGCAGTAGCAGCCCCCCCCCTGAGGAGACGGGTGGCACAGGTACTCACAACTCAAGGCAGAGCATTGGTCCAGGCCTGTAAGCAAAATACATACAAATCAACATAACGGTTGAATCTAGGTTGCAAATGAAGTTTTTATTTGGGATGCTGATCTATGCAGCTTTATCTTCAAGAGCATCATTATCAGTTTTGTGACCAGCATTATAGCCATCATTAACTGAGTCTGGAAGCCCAAATGACCTGCAAAAGTTAATCTTAAACCAGGTGAGTGTGAAGGCAGCAATAAGGAAGAATAAAGCATCCTATCAGCTGACTTCTGAGAATCATTTATGAGTATGAAGCCTAAAACCCTTGCACCTTAACTTAAAGACGTATTAAAGTGTTGCAAATGTCGGATGTTTTACATGTGACTAGATGTCTGCCATTGACTAAACAGTCATTCAGAGTCATTTTGGTCAGGGTTTTTTCATTGTTACTCATAAAGACAAGTACAAATAGGCAAACAAAGCAAGCTTTCTGAGGTTGACTGTGGGATGTTAAGGTTGTTATGTTAAACACATGTTAATCATTAATGACTTACTGCAGGTTTTCTGTGCTGTGGAGTTGGTCTCATCGGTTCCTCCAGGACAGTCAGGTTTTTCGTCACACACTTTGCCCACTGGTATACATAATGTCGAGCCCGGGCATCCCCACTCACCAGGGTAACAGGATCCAGAGTTACTATCTAAAAAACAGAAACAGATGTGATTAAAATATGAACTGTAAATGTTTTTCTTTCTTTATCAAGCTTTTTTTTAATGTTAAAAGCAATTTTCTATTCGATACATTTGAACTTACCATGAATAAGCTAGTCTTGTCATGTTTTAAGTCTTCTCATAACGTGTTTTTTAAATGTAATCTTCCAGTATTCAGTTCAAGTAATCATTTGTCCTTTCTTTCTCATAGTGTTTTATTCATTTTGAATGACACTCCTCAGCAATACCTATATATGGTTATTAACTGAATTTCTAGTTCATACTCTTAGTCCATCTGTAAGAAAAATGGGTTCTTACCACATCCTCTCTCATCACTGAAGTCCCCACAGTCGTTGAACTCGTCACACACCCAGCGCTGAGGAATACAGCGGCCACTCGAACATGTGAACTCACCGCCACTACAGCTCTGGTACGCTTAAGAAAACATAGAGAGAAATAACAGATCTTTAACTCATCTTTACATACCTAAAACAGCTAAAAACAGGGGCCTATCATACTTTAATTTCACAATGATATCTTATATGTTGTATAGCTCTACAATGCATATCAAAATGCTGTTTAGCATTAGACCAGTAAGCAAATACTGAATTTAGTTTAGTTAAATTCCTCCCTTTTTAGTTAAACGAAAAGGATGGTCTTTTAACAGCAACTACACACCATTACAACGTATTACAATTTAAGGTGACACTCAAATCCTGTGGAGACACTTCCTTCCTTACCACAGCCTTGCTCATCGCTGTTGTCCCCGCAGTCATCCCAGTGGTCACAGACAAACGGACGAGGGATACAGTAGCCGTTTGCACACTCATACTGGTGGATGGGACAGTGCTGTGTCGCTGGAAATTAAACAAATACACTGATTTTAGAAGTGAGTGGTCAAGCAATTGAAGTCAAACATCTCTACCTAAACTTAAGGCAGAGGTGGAAGAAGTACTCAGAATGTAAAGTATGCAGAATAAATAATTGCTCTTTTCCCAGAATTATGTTATTCTACAACACTATAGGCTATTAGGTTGTTTTTAAAACTAAGTAATCAATACATATAGGAGCATTTTTATATTGTTTATTGTGGAGCCAATTCACTCACCATTTACCTTGTTAAATAAATAAATATATGTATAGTACAGGACTGCATCTTATCAAATGTCATATGATTTTACGTGTTACAAGTAACTATGAGTGTTAAAGGATTGTAGTGGAGTTAAAAATAGTACAATATTTGCCTCCAGGAGGTGATGGAGTAGAAGTCTAGGTAGCATAAAATAAAATTACTGAAGTACAAATATGTCAAAATAGTACTTAAGTACATTACTTGAGTAAATGTACTTGGTGACATTTCCCACAACTGACTAAAGAGAAACCTAAAAGCTGATCAAAGGTTGAACAAGTTTAGCTTTACTAGAGCAAATAAACGTCAGCAACGTAGATGAAAACGAGAGTAATACCTACATAATTGTTCAATTTTAGAAAAATAATAAGCATTAGATGAAAGCATTTCACATTGAACAGTTTAACATAACGTTACATTGAGATATAGCATATTCCAACGCAAGTTCATAGAGCTAATGTTTGAAAAAAAATCGTTTGACAACACTTACGGCAGTCTTAGATGTATTCCCGGATTTTTAATATTCATTTTGTATTCAGCTGGGATATTAAATTACTTCGCTGCTTAATAATTAAGAGCTATTTGAACCTTTCATTTATTGCGACATATTAGCTACCTCAATCAAAACAAAGATGGCGGCCGGAAGTTACTGCCTACTTCCTGTAATGTAGCCTACACTACAGTACACTCCACAAGACAATTGTGGATCAATTGTTTAATTAATTATGGTAGAAAATAAGATAAATATAGGTATACAGTATCATAACAAATATTTTAATTTTTAACAGCATCTTTTTTATGAGCAAGTCACCTCCAGTGAAAAATCTGTGTTTGGCTGTGGTCCAAATTATAACCAGTTTAACAGTCTAACACTATGATTGATTCACACAGGTTATATGGTCCGGCTGGTCATTTATTTTGAAGCAGGCATATTTTTGTTATCCTATTAAACAATAACATTAGGCTACAACATCTCTCCACAATGTTTAACATATAATCTAAAGCAAATACTTTGATATAAATACAAGCCCTTTTCTTTTTAAATGTAATTTAATGGCCAACAATTTTTTTTAGTGGTAAGCCTACAAAACAGAACATATATCTTATCATTTAAATGTTGGGTTTTGCGATACGTCTCAGCTACTCACTGCAGTTGAATTCATCAGAGCCATCTCTACAGTCCTGCAGCCCATTGCAGTGCTGAGTGTTGTTGTAACAGGCCCCATTGGCACACGTCTTCTCAGTACAAGGGGGATAGTCTGCAAAAAAAACTTGTTTTATTATTTTCATAAAAGGGATTTTAAATTCGCTTAATGCTGCAAATAAAATGATTCCTATAAAAGTATTAAGAAAATATAAAGGCACCTGCAAATATCTGATATGATATTAATGTACAGTGTGGAAAGTCTTACTGCAGTTGTTCTCATCAGAGTTGTCCACGCAGTCCTTTACGTGGTCACATCTGTATTTGCTGGGGACACACTGGCCCTCCTGGCAGGTGAACTGGTCCGGGCTGCAGGTCCGCCCACCTGAACCCAGAGCATTTGAGATGGTTTGGTTGCTAAATGCTTTGTAACAGGGAAATTACTACTCGCAATTTATAGAATGACAACATGCTTAGGATAGAATGTAATTAAAGGTATTTTTTGTTTGTCCAGAATATCTTTGTCACTGACATGGAGAGCAATGAACACAAATATTGGAAAAATGAAATCAGAAACATACATTTGTTTATTACCAAACTACTAATAGGAATTTTGGGACAATGTGTTTCTCTTTCTTCATTTGAATTATATAAATGATTAGATGCTGTATTTTGAGCCAATGTTCATGACGTGTGTGATTTGTTTTTTTATTGTGTCAGTTTCTCATTCTTAATAACGGTACATCAACAATCACTCTGCATACCACAAGTTCTTTGTTCATCTGTTCCATCAATACAATCTTCCTCTCCGTCGCAGACAAATCCCGAAGAGATGCATTCGCCGCTTGTTACACACTTAAACTCCTGCGAGGTGCATGATGGAGGTGCTGCCACAAAGAAGAAAAACATTGAAGAGTTTAAACTTAAAGAATAGGGCTGTTTTCAATCATAGTTTTAAGTTTATGTACAGCTCCTTTTCTTTCTCATTCTTTTTTTTCTGGCAAACTTTATTTACCCAGTTAACAGATTATTATAAATCACTGAAACTCACAACAGTTCAGCTCATCTGAGTCATCTGCACAGTCTTTAGTCCCATCACACCTCCAAGCTTTGTTGATGCATTGTCCAGAAGTGCATTGAAACTCTCCACTGCCACAACTTCCTGCAGAGAACATAATACAAAGACAGATCTATGAAGTTAAAACATCAGCCATCAGTCATCTTTTTATGATTATGGTGTGGGCTTGACCTTCATGATTCGAGTTAAAGAGGTCATTTACACATTTAATACAGTTTATTTACTGTTCCAGTGACAAATGAGTTACCGTGTTTATGACAGCTGTATCCACACTCTGTATGCAACTTTTGAACCTTAAAACATGTGATTCTACAATTAAAGGATGGTCAATTCTTCACCATGAATGAACAGCAGATCACATGACCCTGGAGTAACAGGCAATCATTTCAAATGGATAAATGATGTCTGAATTAGCACAGAGAAGTGTGCATTGTATAACAGCATTCACAACTGTTCAGCATTTTATGAAATGTAGAATAAGGTGACAAAAACTCAAGAAATTGTATTTGTATTGAAAAAATATAGAACTACTAAAGCTTCGCATGAATACATTACCTTTTATTATTTTAGGGTTAGGGTTGAAGGGTGACATGTTATCATCATGTGTATGTTTTAATTATTTTAAAGCAGCTATAATTCTCACCAATTTTATACATGCAATCATTTCTTAGGGTGTTAAACTACTCTCATTTTATTAAAGCAAGAGGAAATCCCTTCAAACTCAATGTTTTTCTATCCATCTAATTACTTAGCATTTACATATTTGTGATTACTAGAAAACATATTTTTCGAAAAATCAAGATTATACACTTACCTTGAGCAAGATGAATTCCTTGGGACAGCAGTAGGAGAAACAGAAGATGAAGACCTTTTAGGTCCATGATTTAATGTTGCTGTTAGTTTGATAAAGTGTGTACACTCATGCTACATCTGACTCTGTTTATAAGCCTGGGGAAAGATACTGCCTTTGACACTGAGATGTATGACCCTGAGCATCCAGCAGACCAATACTGTGACATGGAGTAATACAGCTTTTTATGGCTCGCTACTTTACATAAACTTCATCTAAGATGAACTTTTACCTGTTGCTATGTTGTCTACATCAGCAAGAAAAAGCAACCACTCATTTAACACTGCGAGTTAATACAGACCATATAGTTCCTGAGTACAGTTATCACGAGTGCCTTTCATCCGTTTTTTAAGATCTAAAAAAGGACCTTTAAGAACACGATATGCTTTTGTATGTTTTTTGGTTGAAAGCATGCTATGATGTGCATCTTTTTTTTAACGTCTTCAAAATTGCACTGTTGAGGAACCTGCGATCTAAGTTTTTCGTGCATTACATAATTACACCGTAGTTTTGTATGATGACAATAAATGTTTGAATCTTGAATCTGTGACACATGTTTAAGGCATTGCAACCACAACGTTCCTTCCTGCAATACATATTGTTGGTAAACCAAAGTTATTGTATACAGTGAAAGCCGTTCATGGTGTTCAATAGCAGTGCTTATGAAATGACTACTACTTCTTACTACTTACATTAATTTATGCAGAGGTCTTTGAATTCCACCCTGCTGGGAAACAATAAAACGTATTATCATTAACATTTCACAGAGCAGCGTGTTGCATGTTAATATAAAAAAATTGTCCCATTATCGAGAATTGATCGTAGCTACTGTAACCATGTCACAGTACATGTGCTTTATTGGTTTGAAGCAGAAAGGAACATTACTTTGTGACAGAAACAAGAACAGTTTAATATCTACTAGTGGAATTGGATTGTTTGTCCCTGTTGCATTTATCCTCTTCAGTAGTATGAGACAAAAACGGCAATAAAGCTACACTCAGAGCTAAATAATATTGTTCTGGCTGGATGTGTTATACCAACAAATGAACGGATCAGATGTTAACATGAATGATGTATCCCTTACAAACAAGTGTACCATTGTGAATTGGATATCATGTGTTTTTTCTGATTGATACACCTGCTGTGCTTGTAGAAATGTTTCGCCTCATGTTAAACTACATTTATTACAATGCTTTAAAGCTGACACATGCACATACATCTACAAGGATTTTTAAAGGGTGAATTTGTTTCAAACAATAGTAACCTAGGAAAGGTTAATCAGCAAAGCACAATAGTGTACTTTGAGGACATTTCAGTGATTTAATTAGTCAAAAATATATTTGGACTGTTATGGAGTGTTAACCCCGTCATCATCACTGCTTGTGTTAGTTAAACTTTGGCGCCTTCCAGTGGCAGTACAAACAAATACACACTGCAACCACCTCTACATATTTGATTTCACAAAAGCCGTTAAAAAACATCATAATAATAATATTTATAAAACTTATAATAGGTTGATTAATATTTAAGATGTCTTATAGTTAAGTTAACTATTTAAATAAACCATGAATATCATAAGTAGTGTAAATATCAATATTTTGTGTGTGTTTAATACAATGTCAATTTTTTATTGTTGAAATTAGGTACATTTCCTAAGGATAATATGAGTGACGAAAAAAAACAACTGAATAAGTATAAGTATTGTTGTTTTATTTTTCCATGTTGAATACAGCTTGGTATCAATAAATTGATTGGAAATAAAACAAAATATGCTCATAGCTGTACAAAATAATACATCAAACTGTTTCAATGTAGTAAACATTTTACCCAAATTATACTGAAATATATAGGGAGGCATCTGACATGCCCTAATTTAGGAATAACTCATTAAATGGTATGCGAACAAAGGAAACCCGTCTCATTCACAACAGCTGAGTTAAACAGAAAGATAATTCTCATGATAAACAACACATTTCACATACAAAACGATTACCTGTAAATTCATGTTATGTGACGATCCTCACATAACATAATCATTTATTTATAATAATATATCGAACAGCTCCTCGTTTGAGGGTTTACAAATGTGAAATCGTTAAAGAGTAATATCTTAATTGATTGACAAAAATGTTGAGAAACCTTTAAAAAGACCCCCATTGTATCTCATATTCTGAACTTTGACAAAGATTAAAGAAATACACACATTATTTATAACAGCTTATAATTAGTAAGAATAGAGTTTACACTTTTTTCACATTTCTCCAGCTATTGCACAGGACCAGGTGGTGTTTAGGAATAAAGTTATTTGTGGGGGAAAAAACAAAAAAAGGAGGATGTTGAGGTGTTCCTGACCCAGTTTCTGATCTGGGTAAATGTCAATGAAGGATTTGTGCTTCCTCATTAGTCAAACCGTCTTAGTGCATGTAAGGGCTGCTCTGGCCTTGGCTCTGAGCGTACGGGTTGTTCTGAGGTCGACTCTGGGAATACGCGTTGTTCTGCGGGCGAGCGTAGAGGCTGCTCTGTCGAGACTGAGCATACTGGTCCTCATTGTCCTCGTAGAACCGCTAAAATGGAAAGAGAATTTTTGTATTTAATTATTTCAAAAACCAATATATTACGTTTATCTTAACCTGATACATGTTTTCTCTTCTGCTCAGCATTTTTTATTTTTCTGTTGGTCTGTTCTCCTTTTTAAAATTTTTACAAAGGACATCTTACAAGATATAAAATATATGGGGGACCCTATGGGGGATATATGTCCCATGTCCAATTATATCTATAGCCTCAATATTTTTGAAATAACAAAAAATTAACGTTTTGAAACTATATTAAACATGTGTTCTAACAGATTATCTGTTATACATCCATATGATCTGTTTTCTTTTTTTTCATTACCGCCTAATTTTATTCCATATTTTATTCCATTCTATTTCTATGTAAGTACTGCAATATTTTACTATATTTTTTAAATATTTTCTAATATTTTGTAATGTTCATTTATATGTATGCACCAGGACATCAAGTCAAATTCCTTGTACGTGTAAACCTACCTGGTAATAAACCTGATTGTGATTATTTGAGTAAAGTAAGTGTAGAAAGTAACACATCATTTTTACAATAGATTTTGTCATGAAAAATATGAACTAATCCTCTGAACAAAAACAACACATTTTTATTTATGAAGAAGCATGATCATTTAAATGAATGGATCTCAATACTTTTCCAGACCTCTTTGCTTTAAGGACATTGTTTCCATTTTATATTCCTAACTATTTACAAACTACCGTCCAACTTCTGTCCTCTGTCTATCACACAGAGTCATGCTCACCGAGTTCCTCCCAGCAGGGATCAGGTTCTGCCGGCTGTTGCTCGGAGTCATCTCCAGGTTGGTCCTGCTGTCCCAGTTGCTGGTGGTCGTGGCCCGTGGGATCCTAGGCACCCCAGCATTGCCAAAGGCTGACTGGCCGTTACCTAGCCCATTAGCCGGGGCTACGTGGCTGTGGGCTCCCAATGGCGCCTTGACAGGGAGTTGGCTAACATAAGAGTTCCCAGTGTCTGCTTTTTTGCTCTTTTTGGAGCTCTTTTTCATTGGGGATCTAAAAAGAGTACATACAATTACAATCAACTTTAGCTTTATCTGTCTTGTCTGCACTATATACTTCATTGTATTAGTAGATAGATTATTCTACAACTCCATCTGTTGCCAAATGTGTGGTGCATTAAGAAAATGTCAGGTTAAATGCAGCTTTGTCACAATAGAAAAGGTTCATAATCAATATGATGGGTGGGAGATTGAGAGATAAACATGGCTAAAACATGACAGAGTCAACAATGAATGACTAAAAGTGGGCAGGTGAATAGATGTGGGGCTCACCTGACTGCCACTACAATCAGAACAATGAGCGTGATGAGCAGCAGTGCCCCGAGCACAGAGCCAACGATTACCAGCGACCGCTTCCATGCTAACAAACACAATGACAAGGACATTTACAACAAGGCTATCGACATTTTGTACAACTTTTGACATACAAGTGTTTTAAAATGAAGGTACAACAAAGTCATAATGGACCCCGACTTTTCTTTACATCAAGGTCTGTTCACAGGTCTCATGTAAAAGTTATAAAGCCTTTTGTAAAATCTGATAAATGTGTCTTTTTAAAAAGAAAATTAAATGAGATGTCATCCATTTTGTATACATTTTATAGGTTATTGATTTCTTCTGTGTCATAATAAATATTTTTGATAATGCATTATTTTGTGGCTGTCGTTTCGTCTTAATGGTCAAACAGATACTTTGTATACTCACAATCGGTGCAGTTAAAACCAGAATAACCAAATGAGCAACTGAAAGACAAGAACAAATAGTCATTTATAATTTCATTTTAAACCAAGCCCTTTGTATGAGTTGTATTTTTGTTTTTATAATATGATATGGCATTTCAACCTTACCTTTCACAGGCATTGGATCCAACAGATATTTGACCACTGGGACATGCTACAAAGATAGCAAAGTTTCAGGTAGTGTCGTTTAGTTAAACAAAGGCTAGTATGTCACACACACACACACACACACACACACACACACACACACACACACACACACACACACACACACACACACACACACACACACACACACACACACACACACACACACACACACACACACACACACACACACACACACACAATCTGTATGTCTCTACCACACTAAATGCCCTTACCATTAATGCATATCCTTTCACTGTGGATGGTGGTAATGTAACCAGGCAAACATATACAGGTAAAAGTTCCGTTTCCAGATTCGCATGCAGTATTCTGACCACATGGAGTGTCCGAGTCCGACTCCTCACACAGTTCTCTAGCTTCAAATGGAGAAAAAATAGTTGGTACATCTAAATCCAAAAAATACAATGGTACAAAATAAAACTCACTACATAATAAGAAGCATGGTCTGAAATGTACAGCATATTTATAGTTGCACATTATCACTCGCCGGCTAAATTATACTCTGTACACTGTACAAAGATCACCATATATGCGCAAAGACCATGATTGGGTAACCTTGTCTGCTGGGGATTCACAACCAACAAGCACAAAGAAGTTTAATATATAAAAGCAACAAAAAGACACTCTGCAACAACTAAACTAAACAAATCAAATATTAAAATGTATTTTATGTTCTTTTTGCTTCACGCTGACAGAACAACATTTTATTCCTGAAAGAATCCAAGGCTTCAGGCTTTGTTAAAATGATAGTTTGTTGCATTTGATATATTATAATAACACTTTTTTTTCAAACTATAATGATTCATTTACATTTAATGATTAAATGAAATGATCACTAAGTGAGTTAAGTTCTTAAGACTAAACAGCATTATATGGTTATGCAAGTCACAGCCCTAACATTGACAACTTCAAACAATAATGCATACAGCTTTTTGAAAGAACAAAAACCCTCTTCAATTACATTCGACCTGCAAGTATATCTATTTAGATTTAAATAATATTTTGATAAATCTCTCCTTAACACTAGATAAAGAACTGAGGTATACATTTGATAAACTTACCAACGAAAGATGAACCCTTCAATAGGCAGTCCTCACAATCCGCCCTTTTCTTCAGTGTCGCTGTAACGTCTGCTGTTACGATGCCAGCATTTGCCCCGAAGATGATCTGTACATCTGCGCTGACCCTAGATCCTGCTCTTGACCAAACTTTTGGTGTGACCTTGCTGTATATAGACAAATATCACATGTAAATTATATTATGTGTATTATATGATATTTACATTCTGCCTTATTTAAGAGCAACATTGTGTAAATGTAATGTAGGAAGTATGGTTTTAGATTGATAGACAATTAGATGGTTAACACATTGTGACTTACCTGAGCTTCAGCACTATAGATCCAGAGTAACTATCCGATTCAAAAACTCCAGTCAGCTGTGTTTTAGGAAAAAATACCATATTGTTAACCACTTCGTTAAACTTCACTTTGATCGTTGTGTAGCAAAATGCCACATTCATTACAACATGCATCCAGTTTAATACCCAGGTGTAGCACTGGTGAGTTCATGATCTATCACTTATGTCACTGAACTTTAGAAACAGGACATTTTGCATCAACATTATTTAATGTGTTTAAAAGAGAAAAAAAGTTGTATTACTCAAAAGGAAAAAATAGAAGCCATTAAAAAACTAAATATAAGAACGTATTGCTTACCTCGTCAGTGATTATTTTGGATGCATCAAGAAATTCCTTTGACTTCGTGTCATCCATACTTTCCTTGTATTCTATTTGAAGAACAAGGTTTCCAGGAAAAACTTCGGCTAAAATAGGAAAACATTGTCTTAGCATAAAGGACACACTCCTGTCATAACCATTTCAAAAATAAATAAAAATACGTCTTGCCAAGAGTTAGATAAGAAAATAAAGCCACTTTCTTATCTGACCAATGAGCGAAAGACTACAGCCAGCAGCTGGTTAGCTTAGCATAAAAGGGAAGCTAGCATAAAATGAATTATTGTCAGGAACACGGTACAAACAGGACTTCTGGATGTCACTGTTCCTGTCGAAAATATAGCCCTGGAAAACCCCAAGTAGCTGTTCATACACTTTTTTTGTGTGAATTCAACAAACAAATTATGACGCGTTCATTCTCAGGTGCTTGAAGATGGATTTACCCAGGCTAGCTTTTTTCAAGTTGTTCAAGGTGTGGATTTGAGCTAAGTAAATCAACCAAATTCTGGCTGCAGCTACTTATTTCTATTGTTAAATCTTCTCATCTTACTGAATATTACTTAAGACGTTGAACTGTAGCTCTAAGTATTTCATGAAATGAGTAAGTAGCACTTGGTTCCTAAAGATGCTTATCATGTTGACCAACCTGATACTACGACTTCAATGAATCTTAGCTTAAAACAAAAAAAAATTAACACTATACTCTTCATCCCACAGATAGACCTTACATACAGGCCTACACTTTAATATTACAAATCATTTAGCCAATTCTTAGCATGGACTGGAACAACGTCATAGAGGACAAATACTCACCACTGTCACAAGTTTTGCTGATATCATTGTAGAAATCACCAGCAAAACACAAGCATGCAAAGGTTTGATCGGCACGAGGTTCACAGGTGGCCCCAGCGCCACATGAGCTTTCATTACAAGGGTCTAAGGCAAGTCAAAAGAAGATGACAAAAATTCACAGAACAGTACATGATAATCATTTTTGAAACAATGACATCTTGGAAACAGATAATATGTTTTTTTGACAAGTGACATTACTTGGAAGCACTGGCGTTGTAGTTCCTGCTGTTGTTGTGGTGGCAGGTCCTGCTGTGGTGGTAGGTCCTGCTGTAGTAGTAGGTCCTGCTACGGTTGTGGTGGGAGGCCCTGCTACGGTTGTGGTGGGAGGCCCTGCTACGGTTGTGGTGGGAGGCCCTGCTGTGGTTGTGGTGGGAGGCCCTGCTATGGTTGTGGTGGGAGGCCCTGCTGTGGTTGTGGTGGGAGGCCCTGCTGTGGTTGTGGCGGGAGGCCCTGCTGTGGTTGTGGTGGGAGGCCCTGCTGTGGTTGTGGTGGGAGGCCCTGCTGTGGTTGTGGCGGGAGGCCCTGCTGTGGTTGTGGTGGGAGGCCCTGCTGTGGTTGTGGTGGGAGGCCCTGCTGTGGTTGTGGTGGGAGGCCCTGCTGTGGTTGTGGTGGGAGGCACTGCTGTGGTTGTGGTGGGAGGCCCTGCTGTGGTTGTGGCGGGAGGCCCTGCTGTGGTTGTGGTGGGAGGCACTGTTGTGGTTGCAGATTTTAATATGGCTTTAGGTTCTGCTGTGGTTGTAGGTCCTGCTGTGGTTGTAGGTCCTGCTGTGGTTGTATGAGAGAGGTAACCACTATGCTTGACATTGTTTTCTCTTTAATATCAGAATAATAGACATATTTGTACTGCGGTATGAGCGGATATTAAGATAGAATGAAGGCTTGCGGATAGGAAATTCTCAGTTCAGTTTCTTGTTGATCCAAACTAAGAATACATATTTTAATGTGTCACATTTATGAAAGATTTAAGAAAAACACAAAAAAAGAGACATAATTGAAGAGGCCTAAAAATTACGGGTCCAACGTCTAAAGCTCAAAAACCAGACTGGAGGGTGTATAAGGAAACCCAATATACTTCCTTGATTGAAATAGAAGGTGACAACAAGGGTCATAAGATAAGGTCAGATTGTCTGAATTAACACAGTAGTTAAATATTTACATTTAATTGCGTTTAAACCAATCCTACATAAAACAAATAGTTGTTAGGCCAATCTTATAGGCATTATGAAAAGTGGGCCTTCATTTCTGACTAGCTGTATACCTGGCTTTTCAATTTTGAACAAAACTGATCAATTCTTTTTTTGAGAAAATAGATGCATACATTAGAAATGTTGTTTCAGCCCTCAGTCTATATCATCACTTCCATTTTACCTGAAAGGGTATCACTTGATCTAGAACCACGCAATATCTTCTTTGGATCTTCTACTTTCTTATAAAAACCCATTTCAACACAAGATCTGTGATGATTATATTATTGCTCTGGATAACAACCTTTTACATATCCATCAAAAATAGACTGTGAGAAAAAACAATATGTTCCTCTGTTATAAAATATACATTACATTTCTCCTATTAATTTGCGAGAGGCTAACGACTGATACAAAATAAAGATTCAGCCAACTTACCAAGACAGGCCACAACCAGCAAAATGCGGAGGAGTTTAAATTCTCGAGCCATTGAAAAATAACTTACTGACAAATGTTACCAAGAGAAAGAGAGCCAGAGAGGCGGGTGAGTGGACGAGGATTAAGGGCTCCAGTGTCCTCCACTGGCAGTTTTAATCATTGGCCACTCCTTTGAGGGCGGCACCGTGTGCCAAAGTACATTTCCCTCCCAGAAAAAAAAGACTTGGAGGTTCCACTTCCCATGTCTCTGTTTGTTTTTGTTAAAGAGCAGAAACTGAGTCAGATCTTTGAGACATATATCTATTCCCATCATAAACACAACATATTTAAATTATAGAGAAAAACCAAAGAAGAACAATAGGGCTGGCCTGGCTGTTTGTTTGCCAAATGATCTTTGGGAAGTGTAGCGTGAAAGAGGAACCACTTAATGAATAATCACAAACTGTCTTAAAATGACATAAGAGAACAGGCTAACATCCTCTGTACACAGCAAAGGGCCTGAGTGATGATGTGTTTGGGACAATCCTGAAAGTCAAACCTAACATCATTGATTATGGCGAAGATACGCTTTGTGTTAGAAAAAACAGTTTTCAACATAAAGTGTTTCACAAGACATCCAAGTTAATAGAGATATCTAAAATTTAACAAATGTGAAAACATTATCTTAAGTCAGGTAATATTCCTCACACATCATCAACACGCAAATCTTCCCATACGCTGCAGTAAATCATTAAAAAAAATTGCAATATAGATAATTAATAATACATTTGTCTATCCAACAGATCATCGCATACAGTTCATTTCTGTTGTTTTCTGCAATTGTGTTTTTGTTTATTTGTGTAAAGATACCAATACAATGTCTTAAAATTCTTATCTTAGACCTTTTCCTTTAGGAACAGTCATATCCCACACAGCTATGGTCATGTTGTTTATCTCTTATATCATAGCTACTGTATGTTCAGACATAATGTTTAAACATAGCATTTTATAGCCATATACTGTTCATATTTCTCTAAACTTCTCAGGGAAAGTGGTTTGTTTCTCTTTTGTTTGTAATAACGATTAATAAAGGCACAGTTTAGGAGAACCAAAAAAAGGAAGCAATGGCCGCCGTCAGTAAGGCGGATAAGATGAAACTGTTGGAATTATACCAGGTTTTTTGTATATAATGAGGAAGCTTTAAAGCAGAGGAGTGTTTAATTACAGGGGTTATAATAAATATGATATAAAACTAATTACAGTTTATGATGTCACGTATATGTTTCCTGGCTCGACAGCTGAAACCATGTGAAAACAGAATTGGAGGATTGACGTCGCCATTTATGACAAATTTCAGCTTCTTTCTTGTTCAAATAGCACGTACAATTGTACATCTAAGCCTCAGACTTTATAAGTTACTTATAGAGGCCGAAATGAACAGGAGGGGCAAAGATTACATTCCTTGCCAGTCATTTTATGAATTTATGGCCGTTTCACCAGTCACCATTCACTCCTGGGACAGCTTCTGTAAACATGATTTCTCCACAGCACCATTTTTAACATGATTGTGTCCGACTCCATACAGCGACACAAAAGAAGCTGCACCCATGACGCTAAATGCCATTAAGAACAAATGTCTTAAAATGTTGCTTCAGAAAGTGATTAAATCCAGTTTGAACTGTCTTATCAGAAAGCAAGTGGACAATAAACCAGGGTGGGCCGCAGGAAAATGTGACCTTTGATTCAGAGACGTCATAAGATGTGAGATATTGTGATCTTATTGTTAAACTGTCTACAACATAAGCATTATGAGACCTCAACGTGAAAGTTTGAACATTTGGTAAATCAAAGTGTGTTATCAACCTTCCCCTTCACAAGTCTGAAGTTATGTTTTAATATTTTAAAGTTAATTGATATATCTTCTCATCAACACCCATAAAAAGGTTTTATCTCCAAGTTGACTTTGATCCCAGATCTATATCTAAATGAACACACAACTGACTAAAGTCTTACGCCACTGAAGCGTCACCATGGGCGTCAAATGGCTAAAATAGCCTTTAGATAAAAACAGTTTGACCTGTAGGTAAAAATGGTTCAAGCCCTTGTTTCCATGGGTGTTGATTTGTAGATAAAAAAACAACACTTTAGTTAAAGTGGGGGTTCCACACTATGAATGATTTTAATACAATTTTTTCATATTTTCAAAACACTGGATTGGAAACTGCCCTCACTCTTTAATTAAAGGGGACCTATCATGCAAAATGCACTTTTGTACGTCTTTTATACATGAATATGTGTCCCCGGTGTGTCAGGGAACTCACCAAGTGTCAGAAAACACAACCCTCTCTCTTTTCCTCCATACCCAAATCTCGGGGCTGCAATGGATCTGATACAGACTGATACAGATTTGAAAATAGTGTGACGTCAGTGACGAGGAGCTCCGCCTATATGGCCAACTCTCCACCAATCAGGGGAATGAGAGGTTGCCGTGGCATGGTAACAGCATGGTAACATGGCCCCCTCCTTTGCAGGGGGGCGTGGTCAGCTGCAGCGCATGCAAAGACAGGGTGGAGGAGAGGAAAATAGAGCAAAATGAGGCATGGCTAAAATGCATGATCTATTTGGTATTTTGAAGAAAAAAAACGTATAAATATACCTTATATAGGTATGGCCCTACAATATATTATTCAAATATAGCATGATAGGTCTCCTTTAACTTATGACTATATCTAAGTAGTTCATATTTGGAGGAAATATGATACATATGATAATACAGGGGTTACAATATACTGTGAAATATCATGATACTCAAAGCAAGGTGATATATTGAGATTTAAAAAAAAGTCTAATTTAAGGAAAACTCAAAGCATTAAAAACACACCAGCATATGCATAACGTCTGAGTTAAAACATTTCACATTATATCAGAACAGTGGGATCTGCATGTACCTTTATTACAGTCTCTGGGACATTTAACATTATGTCACTTTATTTGAGAAGCCCCATACACTGGGATGGTGCCTATCTTTGCAAAAATATTTACTGAGTTAATCTTTAAATGAAACCAATATTTGAATTCGATAGTATTTTTTGGGGTCAATGCAGTATCACAAATATGATATCGCTGTTCGGTACTGTACTGATTGTTTCTTACACCCTTGTTAAAAATATGCCTATATCCTTTAATTATAATAAGTTTAGAAACAGACATGACTTGTTTTTAAAATGCATGTCAAACTGTTTCACTATATATGTAAATAGACATCATTTTTGCAAATTCATAATTGAAATACATACATTCAATTGTCAGGCCTTTGGAGTGGATAGATTATAACATTACAACATATGATATATGATAGGACATTCTCTTTACCCAGACATCTACATTATCACACCAATGGGATCTACTATGTACAAACTATCCAATAAATCCCATTGCTTTGTTGAACTAGAAGGATTTCACTCTGTATTTCATCATCACCTACCTTCAAAATAATAATAAATAAATAATAAATTGGTTAGTAGCGAACCATGGGTTTATTATTAATTTTGTATATGATGTGTGTGACTTCAACAGTTTATTTTGGATCCGGTAAATGATTAATCCCTGCACATTTAGACATCGACGATATAATTCCCCGGCTACATTTGTCAGCGGCAGGTTTTATGAACATGTTGCCCTGAGTCAACAGAGGTGCGATGGCAGAGCAGTAATTGCATCTGTGTCTCCTGCTAGCTGTAAGTCCAAAGTCACTCGCAGTTACGGCCATCCTCGACCCCACCCAGCCTGCTGTTCCTGGCAGTGATTAGAGTTAGAACATGACGTTCATGATGGAGAGATACCAGCTTTGTAAAAGGTGGCAGTGCCAGTCAAACCCACTGAGACCCTTAACTCTGATCACGAGGCTCCTTCAACAAGAGACTGCTCAGAGATACTTCTCATCTGTGTTAAAAACAATGACATAAGAGCTATAAACACCAAGACAGGAAGCTAATGATTTGCACACATTCTTTGTACCGACTGAATATTGTTGGATTTGCTTATTGTTGTTGTTTTATAACCCTTTCGTCAGACAAGGACTTAAATACAGGGTCATTTTGAAAAAGCCCAGAATATCCAGAGGTAACTAATTACAATTAACATTTACTCAAGTACTGTACTTAAGTACAATTTTGCGATACTTCCACTAGTGTATTTCCATTTTATGCTACTTTGTACTTCTACTACACTACAATTCAGAGTTAAATGGTGTACTTTTAGTCCAATACATTTATTACACACTTTGAATTGCTTTGCAGATTTGGATTAATGATGTGAAATATAATCAACACTTAAATAAGACTTTAGTTCCACCTGGAAAACACAAGCTACCCTCCAGTATACAAAGTCATTAAAACTAGCTGTACTTTTACCTGCTTTGATAAACACAATAATAGCATAAATAATTATAATCAAACCATAAAATATATTATTTGCATAATGAGTGCTTTTACTTTTGGTACTTAAGTATATATTGATGCTAATTATTTTTCTACTTTTACTTGAATAACATTTTGAATGCAGGACTTTGCCTTGTATCAGAGTATTCCTGCACTCTGGTACTTATACTCTTACTCAAGTACAAGATATGAGTAGCCTATTTCTACCAACTCTGCTGAAAACTATGGTTCGAGACAAAAATTAGTTATGTTCAAGAAACTGTAACATTTAGTTACATGGTTAAGCGCTGTGGTATTAGTGTATATGACCAGTCTATAACGCAATATAAACCATTTAAAAATGCATTGTTGACCTATCCATAAACACCACTACCGCTGATCTATTCCAGACAAAAGGCCATAATAACAGACTCTCTTCAGTGTCTGGGAAACAGGTTTCACAGCTGTAGGGTGAACAGTGTGAACACTAAAGAATCTGGTAACACTACGTTCAGCACCTATCAGGAGGCAGCATGTAGGCCTACATTTCAACCACTATAGTATAAATGATCTGATAACGTTTTACCTGCGTTTACGTCTGTCAGGTGGAAAACAGCTCCATCCTCTGGCAGCAGGTCGTTTCTAAACGATAGGAGGATTCACATTAAAAACACATTATCTGGTGGCTTCTGTGTTGAAATACAACCTGCAACTGGGATAAAGTGTTCAAAGCAATT